CCTGACCTGTCTATCCATGTGCTATGCTTGTGCATTCTTTCTCCATACTGTGACAGTGATGCGGATTGGAGATGGCTTGAACGCATCTTGAATGCACCGACTTGAATTCGGCTTGAAAAGCCCAATTATCCTGTTTCCAAGCCAACATGAGTTGTACCTGTGCTTGCCCGTTGTGTTCAAACTACATGACTGTTGTCGTATATACGCTGTCTGGTCTGCTTTGTGTTGCTATCAAGTACATGTAGTGAGATATACACACACTGTTCTGCTTTGTATTGCTGTCTGTAGTGTCAAGACATGTAGTCAGATATACACTAGGGAGGTTCCGGAGTACGATTTTTCGTGCCAAAATCCGTGGAGGCGCTACGGATTTTTTATACGTCGTTTTCGAGCAGTGAAAAGTTCCGGGGTACGGAACTTATGTGTTTGCCGTGATTGCCTAGGTTACGATCGCAAACACGTCACATTCCCACGCTACGCCTTTTTATTTTGAAAATTTGTACCGAAATCAAAACTTCCCGTGGAAAATCGATGTTTCTCGTACCAAATTTGTACGCGAAAAATCTTTCTGCACCCGATGACGCAAAATCTCCATACGAAACATGGTTCGTATGAAAGCCAGTCCACACGAATTCTCCGTGCCGAAAAATCGTATGGAGCACACCTGGAAAAAATCCGTAGCGCCCATACGGATTTTGGCACGGAAAATCGTACCCCGGAACCTCTCTACTGTCTGTTCTGCTTTGTGTTGCTGTCAAGTGCACTGCTGCTACATACAGGTCTCCTCTCGATATAACAACTCTCACTTGTACATAAACCTCGCTAGTACATAAAAAAGTCAAATCCCGCGCCGAAACAGCATCACTCCCATACAAATTTCGTTCTACACAACATAATCCTACATAACATAAACCTCGACATAACACACGCTACGGCGCGGTCCCCGACGTGCGCACTCTCGATACAACATAAATTCACGTGCACGGTACGATCAAGCGGTAGCTGTAGCTAGCCAGTTTAGGCCAGTTTAGTCCTACATAACGTAAACCTCGGCATAACGCACGCTACGGCGCGGTCCCCGATGTGCACACTCTCGATACAACGTAGATTCACGTGCGCGGTACAATCAAGCTGTAGCCGTAGCTAGCCAGTTTAGTCCTATTGTGCATATTCTGCGGCATTGATGGTATCTGATGTCGATGGTGGTACGGTGTGTATATGTTTGCACGGTTGAATCCTCCTTGCAATACCCTTCATTTCGAGATACATCTTGTATTTTACACATGGTTTTCTACATAACATAACTCTCGATATAGCATAATTTTTGCGTGGTCCCAGAGATTACGTTATATGGAGAGTAGACCTGTAGTAGGGTGGGACATTAGAACTGCCGCAACTTCTTGCAGTCTCATACCTACCAGTCCCGTCTTTTTTCTTTCTGCTGCTGCTGTTGATCTTGTTGACTGGTGTTCATTGTTGTTATTTGCACCTCTTGGCTGGGTGGTTTCCAGACGTAACGGCGGCAACACCGGGAGGCACATCGATTCTGGACATGTTCTCACCGAGCTTTGTCGACTCTTCACCGGGTAACATGGCAGCCCCGTCTCCAGCTACCATCAAGGCCATCACTGGTATGAAGCCCATTTCGGTCAATTCTCCAGCTCTGCCCTGGGCGCACAATACCCCGGATGCAGCAGACTTCTCTGCAGCTGCTGGCACTGGTAAGGGAGTGGGGGAGTGTGAATTATTCCCTGCGACCACGTGACCTGTTCGCAATGTCCGTTTTGGTTTATGGAATCATTATGGAATTCCTAGCTAGTCCCTTGTTGTGAGATAGTCAGGAGAAAGGAATGTGGTGGCTGGCTTACAGAACATGATGGTTTAGTGTAGACAAAATTCATTAGTTATCTGTATGACAGGAACCATTACCAATTTAGAAATCCTTCTGCTGTGATTTTAGTGCAGTTGTGCTTTCTTGTTTTGCTAGCCTTCGTTTTTTGTTGTTGTTGTTGTTGTTGTTTCAAATCTTTATTCTCACGATAGCCAGTGGCCAATAAGAGTTGTTGTTGTTGTTGTTGTTGTTGTTGTTGTTGTTGTTGTTGTTGTTGTTGTTGTTGTTGTTGTTGTTGTTGTTGTTGTTGTTGTTGTTGTTGTTGTTGTTAGGTGCTGACAGTGTGATGGACGTGGGCTACGACTCTGGATGGAACATGCAGTGGTCACTCAATGACGGCACCGGTGACGCTAACCTCATGGACGTGCTGTCGACGGATGCGCTGGGTGTGCAGGCCACGCAGCCTCGCGCAGCCAGCACTGTGCTGTCTCCACCGCCACTCGGCTTGCCGTCACTGCCAGCCGCCAGTTCCACCGCCGCCGCCACCGCTAGCTTGACCGAGCAGACCGCCACCGCTACACAGCAAGGTCACACATCCGCGCAAGCCTCACAGCAGGCTCACCTGAGCTCGCAAGTGTCTGTAAGCTATGCATCTCGTCGCCCCAGCATAGCTGTCACTGTTGCCGAGACTGCGCCACCCGTTAGCACTGTGGAGGAGAGGATCACACCGCCAGAACACATTCGCAAGATCATTGCCCGCCAAAAAGGAAGCGAATCGCGCAGCTCTTGGGAAGCGTCATCTCCCACGTTAATCAATCACCGCTGTTGGTTTGAGTTACTACGAGAGCGCAGTGTTTCCAGTTCCGACTCTCCGGTTGCAGCAGCTTTGCTGGCAAAGGGCGAGTCTCAGGACAGTGGCATTGGCAGTATGGAGTCTGTTGATCTAAAACTTACTGAAGAGAATCGTTCCGAGTTCTGGACGAGTCCCCTGGAAGGGTTTCTGACGTCTTCGCATTTGTTCCAACAATGGCGTGGTGTGGTGCAGGATGCAGCTCTCCAGGTAGGTCTAAGATGTGACATTCTCCCATTGACATGTACATCGTAGCATACTGTGCTCTACTATCTCTGCTGCCCATTCAGTGTAGGCTCTAGTGGTATAGTCAGTTTGCCAATTCTGCGGGTTGAGAGACCAGTATGTGTACTTGGTGACTTGCAATCTTCAATACAACCCCTGTAAGTAACCTGGAACTCATGGGTGGGTGGGTGGGTGGGGGTGGGGGGGGGGTTTGACTGTGGATACACATACACACGCACGCACGCACACACACGCACGCACACATACACACACACACAACAGGAGGACGAAAGCAGTTGAGTGGTAGCTCTGAGTTATAAGCTCGACGCTCTTCAAGACAACGAGTGTTGGAAACAAGGCCTGGCATCATGCCTTTTCACACAACGCGCTTTCTACTTGAAAACAGGACTGTGCCTGGACTGCGTTTAACATTCAAGTTCCCTGATTACATTGAGACAGTGAATCCTGTGCAAGTGTAGTGATGTAGACATTGTGAATCCTGTGCAAGTGTAGTGATGAAGACTGTGTAAATCCTGTGCAAGTGTACTCCTAGAGTGCTGCTTTCCCTCTAACTACTTGTATTACATTCCTTTGTATTGCTGTGTGCAGTTTCATGAAGTCACCTCACAGCCTTTGTCGTTAACAGTTGCGGCAGACAACGGGCTGCAGTGTCGCATTTGGCTTGACCTGAACTGGCCGTTCATGCTGCAGGCAGCTCTTGAGGCATCGGCGACAACGAGCACCAGTGAGGCAGCAGCAGCGACGACAGCTACAGCATCAGCATCAGGTATACTAGTAGTCGAGTGTGCTCGTTGGTGTGTTCATCAATCATAGACAGCTCGAAGGGCATCTGATTTACTTTCTGCGTATGCCCACTTTGTGTGTAGTCCAAGATTTAGACAGTATTCTTTTTGTATGTGTGATGTGGAGATGTAGCTCTCCGTGGCTCTGTTGATACTGCCCTGCTCCTTGCATGTGTGACTGTTGATACTGCCCTGCTCTTTGCATGTGTGATATTTGATCTCACATTAAAGCTTAGGTTTGAGCGTGTGTAGGCTGAGATTGAAGCATATGTTCTTTTTCTTTTTGATCATCATTCTCTTCTTCTTCTTCTTCTGCCACCTTCTTGCTTTAGGCAACTCAATCAAAGCAGATGATCTTCAAGTGATCGAGAAGTTATTCATGCTTCGGGTTAGTTGAATCATCAAGTTGTTGCACAGTGCTCAGTTTAGGGATGTCTTCGTATGTCTGCAATGGCACGTTTGCTAGTACAGTAGTTGACTGTCTAATAATGCCCTTACTCTCCTTCTCTACTTCTCTCATCCTCTCAACATGCCTATGCGCTGTGAGCTGCAGGGTGATGAAGTTGCTTGTGCTCTGGATGTCTGCCCCACTTTATGAGTCTTCTGGTAGCATTCAAGTATCATTTACCTGAATATTTGCCTACGTGCTACGCTAGTGATCTGAGTTGAGCTTGTTCTGGTGTATGTGTCTTTGCAACCACTCAGGTGTCAAGACCGCCGTACCGACACAATGCCTTGGTGTCGTTTGCTCGGCTGATCACTCTGAAAAAGGAGCTGCTGGAAGATGTCGTACAAATCTTGCACATGGGCATGGTATGTCATAAGCAACACTACTACAAAGTAGTCTGTGACAGTTGCTTTTCTCTGCGCTTGCGTGTGTGCAAATAACATCATGTCATCTACTATAGGTCAGTGCGTGCGTGTGTGGGGTGATAACTGTATAATGCAGGACCTTTGAAGCATGTACAGTATCTTTGCTTATACGGTGCATGAAGTGTTTGTCTGGATATGTTCTGATGTGTCTTCTCTGTTCTCTGTTCAGAAGCCCGACCTTTCATTGCCATGGAGGCCCGAACTATGTCTTGTGACACCCCCGAGTGTATGTTGTCCACCGTTAGCAACTCCTGGTGGCCCAGCCATAGCATGCACCAGCAAGCTACTCATCCTGGTTAGTACCGCAGTGCTGTGGTTATCTACGTAGTACACTGTGCGTGTGTGTGTGCGTGTGTGTTTGGCGTGTATGGGAAGGGGTGGGGGGGGGGGGGGGAGGGGGGGATACCTCCACCTCTACCTCCTGGCCTGTGTGTATCGCTGTACCTTTTTGAAAGATCTGCTTGTTTGGAGTATGCTGATGTAGTGCAAACCCATGTGTGCTGATGTAGTGCAAACCCATGTGTGCCTGTGTGCCTGTGTGATGGCTTGACAGTGTTCTATATATGCACCACAGACCCCTGGAGAGGACTAGTGGTCCAAGTTCGTTTTTGATTTTACGTGTTCTTGGGAGCACTGATGTTTCTAATATGCGAGGAATTGTTATACTTTGAAGTATGAGTACAATGTACTTGGAAGTACTTGGAAGTGTTGCTGGTGATACACGCGGTCTGAGTCGGTGTCTTTTCACTCCCTTCTGTTCAGGTGAATCTGCAGGCTACAGATGTCAATACGGCGTACACTCAAAGTATGGATGCTGCTCGACCGGTTGTCCTACCGTTTGTCTTTGATCCTGCTGCGAATACCGTCGAGTACAAGGATTTTGCGTCCTCTACGGAATCCAATAGTCTGCCCACAACGCCCATTGCTCCGCTCAGCTTTAACAAGAGAGTCTCCAATGCTGTCAAAGAAGCCATGACTGCTTGGCAGTCTCAGCGTGATTCTGCAGCAAGTAAGTCAACTGGAAGATTTTAAAAGAAAAAAAAGGAGAGTTAGATAGCCCTGATTTGATTAGATCTTTGATTTGACGTATTGAATTATTTTTCAAAGATTCTCCAAAGGCTGATGCTGTTAAAACAAAGACAGTCTTCCAAATGAAAAAAAAGAGTACCTAGACACGGAAGGCATCTCAGTGTGCAACAGGCAGGAAACCTCCTTGAGATAGCATGTTGTAGTAAATGTCACTGAGAGAAGGAATACCGCTTGCACCATCCTTCTTGGTGACTCCATCTTCAATGTGAGTTTTAAAATTGCATTCGGTTCATTTCTTTCTTGTTTCTTCCTTTCTTTCCTTCTCCCTGCCATACCTATCTGCAGCAGACCAGTCGTATTTATCGTCCGCCATCCGTCACCTCTGCACAAGTCTACACTTAGCAGCCGCAGACCAGTAGTAGCAGTAGTAGCAGTAAGAGAGTATCTCCAGACCAGTAGTAGCAGTAAGAGAGTATCCTCGTCCTCCCTACGCTGAGACCGTCATATACCGGTACATGTACGCGCATGATGCCATGCACAGGCACACATACAGTACAGTGGCATGCAATTTTCTCCCTTTCTCTAGACTGATGAAACCTCATATTTTCACTTTTCAGCCATACTCAGTTTCTGATTCCCCACAATAAAAAAACTACACTATAGAACATTTCATGATCATCCTCCTCTAGTAAATTTTTAATAGGCTTTTGTATATTTTATGACGCTCGTTGAAATGACTGTACCGAGTGCACAGAATGCAGAAGTCTTGAGCATTTCATGACTACATGTACTTCTGTATTCTGCTTATACAGCACTATTGTAGTGTAGGCTGTCTGTATGGGGCAACATGTGGTGTGTCCTCCCATTTTTTGCATCACATGTCTCTCTCCCCCCCCCCCCCTCCTCGTGTCCTTGAATGTACATGCAAGAATGGTCCCGGCGTATTGCTATCGTCTTGTGTTATTATGTTGCGCTTCTCTAGGTGGTCATCTGTCTTCTTTTCATCTTCGTCCTCTCTCCCTCTCTCTCTCTCTCTCTCTCTCTCTCTCTCTCTCTCTCTCTCTCTCTCTCTCTCTCTCTCTCTCTCTCTCTCTCTCTCTCTCTCTCTCTCTCTCTCTCTCTCTCTCTCTCTCTCTCTCTCTCTCTCTCTCTCTCTCTCTCTCTCTCTCTCTCTCTCTGTTTTGGCTTTGCTCAACCGAATGTATTTTAAAAACTTTTATTGGAATGAAACTCAGCGGGTGAAATGCTTTTTTGATTTGATTTTGCTACTTCATGCTATAGATTTGATGTGCTGCTGTTGCTCAGGGAACGTCTGGTAGCTCTTCAGTTTCTGGCTACCATCTCAGTTTTGTCTACATGAACTTGTACGGGCATTAAACTACTGAATCTTGCTGATGCCATGGAGGCTGAGGTTGTGTTTTAAAAGCACAGAATCAGCCGCACTGCGTGTTCTGTCACAGATTTACATGACTGTACTCAAGGACAGTGCATGCTCAATGAAATCCGATCAAGCAAGTGAATGCCATGCCGGGCTCTTTGCAGCCCTACTACTTTTGCAGACCTAGTCGACCTGCGAGCACTGGGATGGTGAACTGAACTGGTGCAAACGCAAACTTGATTCACACGGCCGGGTTTCACTGAGCAGCACTGTGTACATGTACATGTATGTGTATGTGCACCAGGGAGTCGTAAAATACCGGTATTTTACGACTCCCTGATGTGCACCATTGTCAAGGAGTTCCAGAGTCCATAACCATGCACTGTAGCTGTAGAACAGGACTGTGCAAGTCCGCATCCACACGTATGTGTATGTCATAAGCCCACCCACATATATGCACACCCACAGCAAGTACCTTGTTATCGATCTTTTAGGTCATCATGAATCATAAGACAAGCAGCAATGCACAACAGAAGCCACCTTGAGGACATGGTAACATGACGGCGAGTCGTACCCGTAGGTAAACTGTCACAGTCCCAGCTGCACATGCTCGCGTTTATAACAAAAGAGTAAAGTCATAATGCAGCGGCCGATCCAGCGATCTCTACATGAGGGTTCCAATAGTCAAAACTGAATAGCTGATACATGTACATGGACACGCATTATGGTTGCCAGTAATACATTCACAGAATTAGGGGTTCCATAGAACCCCTGGATCCGCCCCTGTAATGAATGTACTCGTTGGTACTGTCTACTGACAAGAGTACGGTTTATGTACTCTTGCTACTGATGATCTGATGATTGGCCCAGCCTGGAAGTCCAGTACCAGTACAGGTTGCGTTTCACTTATCTGGCATTCAGTGACCCAGTGTGCCAGTTATCCGACAGCACTGGCGGCTCAAGTAAAAAGTTTTTAAAAAAAGATTGTAGCCAAGAACACCATGTAGGACACGAGATAAATGTGAGGGATTCCTGCTGTTACAGTTCAAAATTTGCAATCGCCTATCGATAATTCGAAGCCCATTGCACAGTGCACTGGCCCGCTCCGTGAAAAGAAAGATCGTATTGCATGGCCAGTTCAGATTCGCAAAAGCCGATATAACTTTTGACACCACTATTCTCAGTATTCTGTGGGATAACTATAAGTAGAACGTCGGGATAACCAGAGGTCACGACGGCCAATTGAGGTTCAAATAATAATAATAACAACAGATTCCACAAGTAAAGTAATAATACATGTATGATTGTAGTCGGAGGGCGGGTGTGGGTAGAGTGGAAACATTCACCTTCATTCTAGGAGCACAACGAGGGCCAGACAGCAGGGTGAAAGCAATAATAATTAATAATATAGAGAGGACCTAGTTTAGAATAATCTGCAAGAGCCTGAGCCACACGTGTAGATATATCTACGGATTGCCAGTCACCATACACGCCATGGTGTAACCGTTCGGAGCGTTTCAGCATGGTACGCATACTGCAAGAAGCATGCACGAGAAACTTTGAATTCCCACTGCTACTAGCTGGATGTCGCTGTCAGAGCATGCAAGGCGGTAGCAGGTGGGAGAAAGGCAAACTGTATGACACAACAGGGTGAGTCATACAGCACCAGAGCATCACCGTGTGATCGAGGTATGGGACAGCAGGCACCACCACACTGACTGCCACCAGAGACAGGGATGGCAGGCCTATGACATGGCAACAGAATGCAATGCTGATGACTATAGTTGTAGCAGGCATTACAGTGCAGTGCCCTGGGGCTGCACAGGGGTCTGGGAGCACAAGCAGAGCACACCAGTGCGACGACATAATAGACATCCAAGCCGACTGTGACTCATCTGTCAGTGATACACATCAGCGATGTGGTACATCAAGGATGAGATTCAGAAGAGGCCTGGGGAAATGAAACGAAAAGAAAGGCATCAAAACACACGATACTGCTTAGGAGCAAATCTTAGCCACTTCAAAATTCACAATCAGAAGACAGAGAATACACACAGTTAGTTAATAGTTGTACACCTAAGGATTCTGGAATACTCTGCAATCTGCATTGACTGGAACAATAAGAGCAGGAGGAACAAGGATAGGACCGCACAGGAGGAACAAAACACTCAATACTCTCACTCAAGAACTCCTTACCATGATGCAATGGTGCTGAAGTACGGCTCCAGGACATTCTGAATAAGGGAGAAACGGAAGAATGCAATCAGGAGGAACATTACTACTGGTATATCAAAATGGGTGAATCAGGGCACAAACAGTGAATCTTGTGATGGAAACATGGAGCATTCAACAAGGTACTTCACTGCATCTCCCAATGCCTACTAGTGTACGTGTAGAACAGTGTGCACTGTAGACCCAAGTCGGTATAAAACCGGAGTGTGTCAGATGGAGATCAACTCATTGTGTTGATCGCAATTCTGTACACCCACTGCTACATCATAATGCAGTTGAACAGCAAAAGTAGAATAGACACGGGTGCAGTCAGCTCACACTCACCAGGACAATGCTTAGCCATACGAGTGCCAGTCCACTGCCCACACAGCAGCCCACAATCACTTGCTCAGGACTATGATACTGCAAGTAGACCCTGCCAGTTCCAACAACACCAAAGACACAATAGTATACTAATAGTTAGTAAAGCACTGAAAACCACAAAAAAGTCTGGAAGCACAACAAAACGTATACCGGTATTATCTCTTAGCCTGTCACCAGGAAACCCTATATATAGGGTTTGACATAACGCTACACATAAAGACCCTATATATAGGGTTAGGACCCCTAAAGAAAGGGTTTGATCAGTCCTCACAACTGGGCACACAATACACACAGTTTCACTTGGGTTTTTTTGATATTTTCACTGCATTGCCATTGATGTTAGCAGGAGCGCTCCTACGACGTGCGCGAGTGTCGCCGCATTTGCTGCTTCCGACCCACGTGTGGATCAGCTGATGCAGAAACGGCAATGGCGGGAGCGGCAGCTGCGACAGCCGCTGTTGATGCTTCGCCTTCTTCTTCAGGAGCATCCGACGCTGCTGGAACATCGACATCATCATCCTGAGTCGACACCAGGTCGCCAGGAACATTCTCATCGCCCGAGTTCGTCTCCACTAACTCAAGTTGCTCTTCCTCCATCGTGAAAAATCAAACCCTAGATATAGGGTCTAGAAAATGTTACGACAGCGCTGCACTAAAACTAACCGTACTCGAAGAAAACAGCAACAAAATGATCACGGTCTTCAGCAAGAGAACCGTACGTACATTCTACGTATGTAGGCCCAGGCGTCTAGTTGCCATAGCAGCCAAGTGGGCTCTCAAGAGAGCTCAAGATAGAACGCGCGGCTGAAAACCCTATATATAGGGTTTGACAGGCTAAGAGATATGATGGACAGACACGAAGCAAGCCAAGAGACCGACTGCAACACACTACATGTATCATGGCTTGACACTTCCAGCCCAGAGCTCTTACTTTGCAGCAGCACACATAGCTGATGATGAAGTACGGTAACTTCCATGTTGATCGTGCAGATACGACTGCAAACAAAAAAGCATGGTTTCCGGAAAGCACTCACCGACAGCAGCAGACGAGCAATGCCAGTGTCCACACACCTACGACAGCTGATCCATACGAGAATAGCATGAGACGGCTCCTCAATGGACGACACCTGCACACAGCATGGAAACAGACAAGCACAAGGCCAACAGGGACTCAGAGCTGGTCGAACTGCATGCTAATGCAGGTCAACTATCCTTGTGACACAACAACCTCTGAGACCAGATTTAGTGTGTGCTACGTACCAGTAATTATAATACATGTACTAGTATACAAAGCTGGGTTTAGTGGCAAACCCATATGCACAGAAAGCCGATCTTTTACCTCAAACAAACACCTGCATTTAGTTCATCACTGCAGACGTATTCATCACCGACAGTCTGAACAAGAGCTGCGGAGTGCTGAGTACATGATTGCAAGTGGCATAGATTCAGAACACACAGCTCAAGAAGAAGAAACTGCTCAACCTCCCGGGCAAAAGCAGTAGTTTCGACACTTGACTACCGTCTTTTTCTTCTTTTTCTACAAGTACAAAAGACGAACACAGGTGAAATCCTGATAATTCGAATATGGCTTAATTAGAACATACTGCTTAATTAGAAGTTTCTTCCGGGACCGATTTCTAGCAATACGATTTCCAGATAATTCGAAGTTAGCAAGCCATAATTAGAGGTCACTTTATTTTCTGCAAATCAACTTGGTCTGCATGCGCAGGCAGTTCAGTGTCCACTAAATCTGTGTCTAAGGTGCGTAGTGCAATTTTGCGTGTCAATGCGAGCATTTTAACATACATAATGTGTTGTGGGTACATGTTTGGATAATTAGAATGTCCGGATAATTAGAAGTTTTTTCCCCGGCATTTTGGTGTTTGAATTATCAGGATTCCACCCGTATCCGCATGATCTGCCACAGTTGCACGTATACAGTTATGAAACGCCATTAGCTTGTGACTCAATGTGGTAGTTGAGAGTGAAACAGACAACGAAATGCAATCAGCACCACAGACAGTGACTATTCCATTCAACACTGACTGCAGGAGACCCAACACACACACACTACATTGTACTCACCGTGTGCAAATCAGACCAGTGACATAGGTAGCCAGAAAGCCCATGTACTGAGAGTGATCAGACGGCATTCCATACGTCTTCAAATGAGTGTGCACTGGCACAAATAACATCAACAAGAGAGAAATACAGCGTGTAGACTTGAAAGAATAGAGAGATCAAGAAGAGAGACGGGATAAGGAGGAATGCAAGACAGATTGCGGTTCTGAAGTCTCTGCGTTGGCTGCAACTACATTGGTGCATGGTTGAAAGAAGCAAGTCTGACGGTGATGCCCAGCATTCAATACAGCATCACAACTGCCAGCATGTATATTATAAAACCGGAAAGTCTAACGAGTCACAAAGTCTAACATTTTAACGACCAATTTTTTCGTTATTTGAAGAAACGTTACCGCGAGATGTCTGTGTAAAGATGCCCATATAGTCCATCAGCCAAGAACTCAGAAGTCGTCAAATTCAAGCACCCTGTTGCACTTAGAAATCGAATACTTGATTTTGGCCTCAATGGGGAGGTTAGGTACCCTGTACACCGAATCCGCAAATAAAAAGAGTAAACGACTTGCACGCTCTGCAGGGGGAAGCCGACAAAGTGACCATTTTTGGCATTTCATCGACAGCCATTGTTGTGCCCTAAACCCAATCTCCAATCAGTGCCATGCGCGTTTCAGGAATGAACTTTCAGATTTTTGTGAATTACGGGAAAAATCTTGCAAATCGAGAAGATTTGCAGTGTAAACCATTGCAGTTTCCGTATTACACGTGTGCCTGGATTCAAATTACAATAAAAATTAAAATTGTTGTTCGCCTAAACTAAAGTTGTAGAGTGTTGTTCCATTACACATCTCTTTCACTGTTCTATTTAATTGAGCATCCGAATACATACCTTCAGGAAGATTACAATGAGCTAGTATTGAACATCATCCACCTTCGGGTTTCCGAAGTGTGCACCCCGAGTCATGTCAAGCAGGTTTGAAGCGTAGTTTTTACTGTTTGGCAAAAGTGTGATCTACGCTTCCACCCTGAATGGAATCACCCCGGGAAGGTCCTGATCCCTGGAAAAATAAGGAACGTGGAGAGCTAAAAGTAAGGAATCTGCGGCGATGGATGTTGTACATCGAGTGAATGCCCTGCAGTTCTCTTCTCCATTACGACCAACTAGCAAACGCCATGGCTCTGGATGCTGACAGCAAACAGTTGAAATAAAGGCAAGGCTGCTTTGAACATGTTGCAACCAGGTAGTAGTACAGTTACTGTTGTACTACTTCGAAGTACTATCTACCACACTCGAGATCACCCAAAGAATAAAGCGATTGAATTCAAAATCAAAAAAATTGTTGGGGATCGTCTGAAGCATAATTATTCAAGCGAGGTACAGTCGGGCTTGATGACTGATCAAAGCCCTCGGGCTGGTCCCTTCAGTGGGCTTTGATCAGCCATCAATCCCTGTGTACCTCGCTTGATTATCTACTTGATACCATTGTAGTTGCAAACAAGTAACTACAACAAGAGTCCACTCTTGCCAATACTGGCAATAGTCATGTAGTTTTTTGAATTAGTTATTTGAAAATGGTGAGCATCTTCATCTTCTTCCCGGTGCGCATGTACACATATTTTTTGAATCTGTACGTGCTCCAAGCCAACTCACCTCTGCTCAAATCGACGGCGATTTATTTCGCGATTTTAGGTCGATCGCCACGGAAAACCACACCAAACGTTGACAAAACTCCACGTTTTTCACTGAAGACGCATTGGATGTCCTGATAAAACGGATGGAAAACCTCGTAATGGCTGATGAAGAAGAAGAAATTTGTCGAACTTCCAAGGCGCACTGTAAAAGGAGTGCAAGAGTTTCGCCAGGGAAAGTAGGCAGGTTGGATTCAGTGATGCTTTTGCTGTCGATTGATGTCAGTTCCAGGTGTTCGATTTGTAAGTGCAACAGGGGACTCACTTTGGCACCACTGGCTGATGGACTAATACAGATGGGTGGCCAGGTAGCCATCGTTGAACTTTCTGCACGTTATCATGCCAAAATTACAAAAACGTTAGACTTTTTGGTCGTTAAACTTTCCGGTTTTATAGTAATTATGTATATTTGCAGTGTTGATCATGTTCACGAGGGCTCACCATACGGTCGTGGTTGTTTGAAGACATTCTTGAGGACCAAGTTGACAGCGACGCACAGGACAAGACCTACAGACATGGTCGGCTAAAGGCAACAGGCACAAACATAACATATCACAAGTCATGCCTTCATCGTGAAACAGATCACCCCGACGAGAATGATAAGACAGCTTTCTTTCAGACACTAACAGAAAAGCAAAGAGAGAGAGAGAGAGAGAGAGAGAGAGAGACAGAGAGAGACAGAGAGAGAGAGAGAGAGACAGAGAGAGAGACAGAGAGAGAGAGAGAGAGACAGAGAGACAGAGAGACAGAGAGAGAGAGAGAGAGAGAGAGAGAGAGAGAGAGAGAGAGAGAGAGAGAGAGAGAGAGAGAGAGAGAGAGAGAGAGAGAGAGAGAGACAGACAGAGACATGTGTGGTGACCAACAGTTAGGTGTGCAGGCTGAGAGAGAGATCTCCCTGTAGCTCTGCTAGTCTATTATACCAATCGTATAGGTGTGACATGATATAGGTGTGACATGATATAGGTGTGACATGATATGAGTGGTATATGATAACGTGTGGTGCCAATGTATAACTAAGGTAACGCAATGCAACACCAGAGCATTAGTACTTGAAGGCAATACATTGCACTCTGTAAACTAACACCACTACATTACCCCCCTTTTTTAAAAAGAACGCTATTTTGAATACAAACTGCAGCGTACAACGCAACGTCGATCAGATGTTGTGTTCAAGGATTGAGCCAATGCAACTCAAGACTAGCTCTGAACCCTAGTGCTATCTCCTCATACCAGTCCCATAGCATCCTTTGCTTTCTGTGATAACTGAACGCTCCTTCCTGCACGGGTCACGATGCCTTCACGGAATACAGCCCCACCACCGGCAGGCCCTCCAGCCACTCGGCTTCCCAGGTTGGCACGCTGACTCTCCGGAGGGTCATCCGGTCGCGCTGGTGATGCATCTGGGGCTGGTGTACTTCCACTGGCGACTCCGGTCGGACCTGCTTCTGAATGAACAGGACCGGGCTGCACAGGGTGTCCAGTTGACTTAGGCTCCTCCTGTCGTCTCGTCTGTGGCATACTTGCAGGTGGCCGATCTGGGTGAGGAATGCTCGGCTGCCGCAGATGTCGCTCCTGCAGTGTTACCTCTGGCTGCACCTGGCATCCCGGCCGGACCACTTCACGTAAGTGAACACGATTCCGCAAGAGTATTCTGCGTCCATCCGTGATTCCAACCTGTCGTCCGTACTGATCGACAACTTTCCAAGTTTGTCTTGGGTTGCAGTAACCATCCTGCACTATAACTTTAGTGCCCGGCTTCATTGAAGGAAGCGCTCGCACTCCTCGGCGAGCGTCATGCTGCGTGGCCATGTCTGCCTTGGCTTGGATTTGGTGGGACGGATTGACAATCGTCGGAGTAATTGACGCGGGGAGCCTCGTGCGAACCAATCTACTGAACAGCGCCTCATTTGGCGCCATCCCAATCATTCGGTTGTTGCTGTTACGGACGTCGAACAACACTTGCTGCAGGCGTCGGCTGAACGGTAAATGTGGTTTAAGCCCTGCCATCCGCTCCTTCAGTAAGCGATGAAAACGCTCAACCATGCCATTGGACCGAGCGTAGCGTGGGCTCGATTTAACGTGACGGATCCCTAGGCGTTGGAGGAACGTTGCCATCTCTCTGCCAGCAAACTGGGGACCATTGTCCGAGACCAGTTGTGCTGGCAAGCCGAACCTTGCGAACGTCTCCATTAATGCACTCACAACGCTGGTGGTTGACGTGCTTTGCAGTAGGATCACCTCCGGGTAGCGCGAGCCATAGTCAATGATGGAAAGCAGTTGATGTCCTTCCACATTCACCAGGTCTACTGCGAGCTTCTCCCATACACCTTCAATCTCAGAAGGGAGAAGCTCCTGATGCGAGTTGCTATGTTTCCTATAGCACTCCGAGCAGCGCTCGGCGTACAATGTGGCATCTTTTGTGACACCGGGCCACCAAACTCGACGTCGGAGAGATTCCAAGAATGCAGCTCGACCTGGGTGCCCCTCATGTGCCAACGCCATAACTGCAGTGCGAAGCGCTTCCGGGATGACCACTCTTGCGTTGAAAAGCACGACACCTTCTGAGGCTGAGAGCTGATCGCGTACGATGAAGTATGCCTCTTCACTTGCACTCACAGCCTCCCATCTGGACGTCAGCACTCGTTGCAGAATACTATGTAGAATAGAGTCGTCCTGCGTGGCCTGTGCAACCTGCTCCAGGTCTACTGGACAGGCCTCTAGCACCATGCCAACAAACTCGGCCATAGACTTTGTCTCAGCAGTCGAAGGGGCGTGGCCGGATAGTGGAGCCCTGGATAAAGCATCCACGCACAAGAGCTGTTTTCCTGGTACGTGCACCAACTTGTAGGTGTAGGGCATGAGAGACACCAGCCAACGCTGTAGCCGGGGAGGTACATCATCAAACGGCTTCTGCACTATGGATATCAGGGGTTGGTGGTCAGTATGCACCTCGACGTGTCGCCCGAGCACGTACTGCCGGAAGCGTTGCAGCGCAAACACGACTCCCAGCATTTCTCTCTCCATCTGCGAATATCGAGTTTCTACCTCTGTGAGAGTGCGGCTGGCACATGTCACTGGTAGCCATTGACCACTAGAATTCTGCTGCCATAGAATTGCTCCCAGGCCACAAGGCGATGCGTCACAGCTTATGGCCGTTGGAACGTTTGGGTCCAAACGAAAGTAGGCCAGGTGGTCCAGTGCCTGCACCAGCTGCGTCTTAGCGTCGCTGAACGCGTTGCAGAATTCGCTATCCACAATGAAGGGCACACGCTTTGCCAACCGTCTCACCGGCTCAGAGATGGACGACATATCTGGAATGAATCTTCCGAGGTAGGTTACCATTCCGAGGAAACGTTGCACATCCTGAAGCGACTTAGGCATAGCCATGTCTGCAATGGCTTGCAGCTTGTCACCGTCGGGAGCCACGCCGGTGCCCGACAGCCAGTGGCCAATGTACTTGACGCTGGACTTGCTCAACTGGCATTTGTCTGCATTGAGCCTAAGATTTGCTGCTTCCAGGCGCTGCCGGACTGCTGCGAGACGCCTGTCATGCTCTTCCTGGCTGCTTCCAAACACAAGAATGTCGTCAATGTAGACAATCACTCCTGGGAGCCCTGCCAAAATATCCGAGACCACGCGCTGGAACATTTCTGGTGCGCTGGCAATACCAAATGGCAGACGCTTGAAGCGATAAAGCCCACAATGGGCCGCGAAAGTCGTCAGTGGACGCGACTCCTGGTCAAGCTCAATTTGGTGAAATCCCGACTCTGCATCGAGGACTGAGAACACCTGCGCTCCGTCCAGCTGCGCTGTTATCTCATCCAGGGTTGGTAGGACATGTCGCTCTCGGACAACATTCTTATTCAGCTGCCTGTAGTCGATACACAAACGCAGTTTGCCACTGGGTTTGCGAACTGGCACGATTGGGGAAACCCATGCCGCAGCCTCTTTCACCGGCTCGATGATGTCAGCATCGACTAACCGCTGAAGTTCTGTCTCTATCTCGTCCTTGATGCTGAAAGGGGGACGCCGAGCTGGCAGAGCGACAGGCACTGCATCTGGCTTGACGGTAATGCTGACTGGTGCAACGCTGACCACATTTCCAGACTCCACCAGGTGGGTTGGCACTAGTAGCTCGAGTTCCTTGATCACGTCCTGGCCAAATAGCACTCGGTGGGAGCCCTTTGGTACAATGAAACAGGCCACAGTGCAACTACGACTGGCAGATGATAGGGTGACGTCTGCCATCCCCAGTGTACTGACAACTCCCCCGTTGTAGGCACGGAGAGTTCGGTCACTGCGACGAGTAGGCTGCACTATGTCTGATGTCAAAATTGTTCTCGTTGCACCAGTATCGAGCAGGCCTTCACATGATTTTCCATCCACCTGCAGAGCTGCTGTGAACCAGTGTTTCTGATCAGTGTGCATGGTATACACAGACTCGCAAATTTCATTGGCTTCATCCTCCTCGCCAATAGTCTGGGCTCTAACTTCCTTGCTCTTGGACAGGCAGACGACTTCAAAGTGCCCGACCTTTGAGCAGTGTCTGCAGCGAACTCGCGCAGCCGGGCAATTGTCCTTGCCTGGTGGATGGGTTCCGCCACAGTACTTGCACGTGTGAGCCTTGCTTCTGCCGTGCTGACGGTGTTTCACCATATTCACCGCAGCCGTATCCGGTGCTACGGCTGCCACACTCCCTGAAGGCATGTCCAGTGTCCTTCCTGCTTCCTCACTGAACAGCCTATTGTCAACCTTTGAGGCTTCTAATGCGACAGCTTTCGCGATAGCATCAGCTAGCGTTAGTCTTGACTCCATTAGAAGCTGCTTGCGTGCCTCCTGGCACTGCAGTCCGGCTATGAACTGGTCCCGAAGCTGGCCATTCACAACCGAGTCCACTGCAGTCGAGTCAAACTCGCAAAGTGCCGCCTTTTCTCGGAGCCGTCCCATGAAAGAGGTGACGGACTCATCAGACTGCTGCCTGAGTTTCCTGAATCTGTGACGCTCCGCAGTTGCATTTACCGACGGGCGAAAGTACGATTGGATTGCGGCCTTCAAGACTTGGTACGCGTCCTGGTCACCAGAGGGTTCTGCGACCTGGAGACCCTTCACAATGCGGCGAAGCGATAGGCCTGCCAGGTTTAGAAGCAGTTTCTTCTTTTCCCCTGCGTCTGCGACCATAGCGATATCGAGATAGTCTTCGAAGTCCTCTAGCCATAGGTCGAAATCGGCTGCGATATTGGCAGAGGGGTCCACAACAAATTCGCGTGGTGGTCGACCCTTGACTGCTGCCATCCTGCCTGGCCACAATCCTGTTCACTGCGCCAATGTGGTGACCAACAGTTAGGTGTGCAGGCTGAGAGAGAGATCTCCCTGTAGCTCTGCTAGTCTATTATACCAATCGTATAGGTGTGACATGATATAGGTGTGACATGATATAGGTGTGACATGATATGAGTGGTATATGATAACGTGTGGTGCCAATGTATAACTAAGGTAACGCAATGCAACACCAGAGCATTAGTACTTGAAGGCAATACATTGCACTCTGTAAACTAACACCACTACAACATGCACATTGTATAGAGTGAAGGTCAGTACACATCCACAGGGTTCAATGAATGTAAGCCATCCCACTGCCACATATACTGCAGAAGCCATACCACTGCTGCATGTACGGCTGCACTGACTAGATTCTTACCGAGTGAAGGTCTCTAGCTCGGAACCAGAAACCAATGATGAACATGGCAGCTAGAATAGGGACTTGTGAGAAGTATGCCAGACCATGGCCGAGAAAATCTCCTGCAAGCAAAAGCAGAATAATAATGGTGTGGTCCTGTTTTAGTATAGAGTGGAAACTTCTCAAATACGATGTAGAATAATTGTAGATCCATCCCAGTAAACTAGATTCATGAAAAACAGAGCCCCTGGGTAAACCTTTTAAACTGACTGTGACTGAAAAGTTACCATCGTGCCCAATGACAGTGTGTAACAGTAACAAGATTTGGCGCATACAGCATTTTGTTCTCAAGCTCTTCCCATGCCAGATAACGTTACGCCCTATTATGCTTCATAGTGCTTCACTAAGCTCAACTGCTAGCACATGGACGCAGTATGGTTTTCAAGCTTCCCGACAGCAAGCTGATCGTTATGCCTGAATGATGGTCACCCTGCGAGAGGACAGCTCACATCCAGCCCAAACGATAGCCACCATTCCAGGGCAGGTGGCCGCATGCATGCACTATACAGCAGGTAGTAACAGTACTCCCTGCTACATGTACAGTATACACATTTATACTGCATGCATGCACATCATTGCAGCTATTCGTCGTACAGGGCTTTCCCGAGCTCCGGGAGTTACTGCTGTTCACAATACTAGGAAAGGGTACACATACTAGGGAGGTTCCGGAGTACGATTTTTCGTGCCAAAATCCGTGGAGGCGCTACGGATATTTTATCCGTCGTTTTCGAGCAGTGAAAAGTTCCGGCATAAGTTCCGTACCCCGGAACTTATGTGTTTGCCGTCATTGCCTAGGTTACGATCGCAAACGCGTCACATTCCCGCGCTATGCCTTTTTATTTTGAAAATTTGTACCGAAATCAAAACTTCCCGCGGAAAATTGATGTTTCTCGTACCAAATTTGTACGCGAAAAATCTGTCTGCACCCGATGACGTAAATCTCCATACGAAACATGGTTCGTATGAAAGCCAGTCCACACGGATCTTCCGTGCCAAAAAATCGTATGGAGCACGCCTGGAAAAAATCCGTAGCGCCCATACGGATTTTGGCACGGAAAATCGTACCCCGGAACCTCTCTACTGACGACATGCATTGTGCTGTCCCCATGGAAAATCGCGATTCCGCGGCCGCGACAAATTCCGCGATTTTCTTGGGTTTCCGCGAACCTAGCATTTTCCTTGGAAATATGCAATTTTCTTCATTTTGCCTCAATTTTCAGTGAATCCATGAGCCCATGCCATGGCCCACCCTGTACAGACTTTCATGCATGGTGTGTTCTGTGAGCTTAGCTATGTGTACTTGGTGGACGCGAAGCGCGTGGCTGTGAACTTTTGTCCCCAGGGCCGAATTTTGACATCGCACTGTTCTTCGCGCTTCGAAATTCCTTGCTAGACCCTCCTTTCACGTTTTTGTGGTCCATAACTATCTTTGCAAGATACTGCATTTTCTGCAAATTTACCATGTCTGGCCCACATTTTTCACTCTTTTCGCCCGCAATTTCTTGCGCAAATTTCTGATTTTCCCCCCGTGATTTTCCCGGGGGACAGATTGTGCTGTTCGAGCTGCTATTTTGAAAATTACTTTTTTCTGCCCACAGTGTACTACAGTAGTACTCTGCGCGGTTGCTACCCAAACATTTTTTTTCATTTTACGTTTCGTTCCAATCAGGGAGTGGTCAAATACTTGACGACTCCCAGCTGGTTCCAATCGTGTGCATCATTTATTTTGTTTTATCATTGTTTGTCTGGTACATGGTACGAACGGCCTGTCAAGTAAAGTACTATGCTGCACGGAATACGCATTTTAAGTCAAATAATATCTAGAATAAATCAATCAAGCTCACTACGAGTCGTACTCCCAATCACTAGAAACTGCATTGTGTTCTGTTGTGAGCAAATTATTCATTGATGTTCAAATAATTTAATTTCAGTGTAAAAAGAACAGGCGTTACCTTCTCTGTATTCCACCAGGAAGGTGCCCAGGGGCTTCAGTACATCGCTATCAAGATCCATGATATCTGAGGATACCAGTGACCTACAAGTCTGCTTCTTCAGCTGCGTCTATTATGAGAAAATACAGCTGTAATTGGCTTTTTGAACCTTTTTCTGTTCTGTTTTTGACAATGCAACAGTCCAATGCATTTCAAACGGATCACGTGATTATAAACCAGAAGAATCATCGATGCATCGTGTCATTTGAGTTTGAGTTCAGTTTTCTTTGGAAATTTGGACAGAAATTGATTGTGTTTCATGAATTCAGGCGGCTATCACCGGTTTTGTCTCGAGAGATTTCGACATGGGCGTGAAAACTGAAATGATTTTTTTGAGCAGGCGTTTTGCTTTTCAGGCTCTTGATTTGAAATTTCATGTGTGAGCATCGCGTCGATGGCAATGTCAGGGGTTTCCTTTCCAATTGTTTTAGGATGCTGGAAGGAAGGGATCCTTTCTGACACCCAGGCCGATTTGATTTAGGTTTTCTTTATTTGTAAGCTCCGAACTCCCTCCGTTAACTGGGAGCAACTAAAGACAAATTTGTCGCCGAAGTATCCCTTGACTCCTGAGGTCGTTTGTGTTCGTTGCCAAAACACAATGGAATCTGAAGTTACAAATGATCTTGTTCAGAGGCGGCTATTCAACGAAGGGAGCACACCGAACAGTAGTCCCGTGCCTGCATCCACCTTAGACAATGGATTGAGAGTACCGAAGGAGAATTCAGCAGATCATCAAACACCGCGGGATGGGGTGTCCAGGTCGTTCACGTCCATCGTTGGTATTTTAGCTCTCTTAGCTGCTGTGGCAGCAACGTACGTCGTGGAAGCGGGCGGTGATGGCAATGTTTTTCTCTCTGGTAAGTGAACATGTTCTCCCGTCGAGTATCGATTGAGGTTTGGGGTGTAAGTAATGTGCGCAGTATCGTGACAAGTAAGGTAGTATTGGCTAGCGTAGTGCAAGCATAACGTAGTTCCCAGTCAAGAGATTGCCGATTAATATTATGGTGAAAAGGTTGTACATATTTGCTCTGTACACTGTATTAAGAAGCCCTTGGTCCATGGTCTATGGACGTGATTTCTTTTCCCACGTATTGCCAAAACTGTCTCTCGGCACTATACGCATTGCCAAACTATCTCTCGGCACTATACGAAACACAATTGTCACATGATGTTTAGGACCAGGCTCCAGTTCACTTTCTCTCTTGGGTACGACAGGAGAACACCGATTACCCGCACCCCTTGGGGCGGAGGGGTTGTTCAGCGGGTTTGGATAAGGAATATGTTCGGATAAGATAACAAGTAGATGTGCATTGCTTTTAAAAAAACTTTGTAACGGCGAGACTATAATAAATAATGGTGTTTTCTTCGGAGACAAATGGCCGTGGCCCTGCGATATCTATCAGAAGCGTTGTGCGGGACAGGTGAATTTTGGATTACACTTCTTATGAAAGTCAACTCTTGTTCAACCATTTCGAGCAAACACAGCATCAAACCAATCTCTATCCACTCCTCAATAACTAGCCAAATGCTGGAAATACCAGTTTGAAAAGATGCACAGAAATACCAATCATTGCATGATGGTGGACATCGCTGGCATGTCCACCACTATACCAGTATCCCTGAAGTTTCTATATCAGTGGCAGGCGAAGTGCAAAACTCAGGATGAACTGCGAGGGGAGTCCGCACTGGTACGTTTGGAGCCACCTCTGTGACACCACTGTTTAATACAGAAGACTGAGGGGCTCAAAGGCAACGGACCAGCACAAAAGAATGACTCAGTGCGACTCAGTTTGATTGACTTTTGCCTCAGAACAAACTTCGGCATGTCAGCTTCCTTCCACAACACTTATTTCGAGTGAACGATCCATGTTGATGACATGAGTGTCTGGTCAACTAATTGTTGCTATTAAACTGTTCCGAAAAGTACAGTCCTCTCTGCCATGCCTTTTACTTCTTACCCAACCTTTGACCAGGAGCGCCTCAGAGACCTACTCTGACTTCGAAATACCGGGTAATGAAGAGCACGGGCAAGCTCCGTTGCTATGCGGGGAGGTGAATGCTACATACTGGGGCCAACTTCTTTTGCCGTGTGTGTGTGTGTGTGTATGCATGCTTGTGTGTGTGGCTGTGTATGTGTATACATGTGTGTATTATCGTGTACTTACAGCGCCTGCACAACTTGCAGTAGTCGCGTTGCTCTGGGGATGTGCGTCGTTTGCTTTCACATGGTGGTACACATACTTTGATTCGCATGACCCTGGAAGTTTTCCATCAAGTCCTTTAAAACTTGCCACTACAGCTAACTCGTAAGTTTATGCAATGTATACACTCATTGCCTTCAGTGTGTAGAGTTTGTAGTTGCTCGATACCTTTCTATCAGCTTCTCGATGGATGTCGGTCTTTGTATGATAAAATTCAATGTATGATGTCCATTCCAATTGTCAACTACATGTACATGTGCAGCAGATCATTGGTTATGGTCACACTGGTACGAGAGTAGCAATCTAAGTGCTAGTGTCAAGAGATTCTTGTTTACTCATTTCCCCTTGTAAGCGAAAGGATGACTCCTGAGGCTCATCACTCAATCCTGTTTCTCTGTCTCTCTATCTGTTTCTCTGTCCCTCTATCTGCTTCTCTGTCTCTGCCACTTGTGTGTGCGTGCGCGCGCGTGTGTGTGTGTGTCCGTCTCTCTCTCTCTCTTTATCTCTCTCTCTCTCTCTCTGTCTCTCTCTCTGTCTCTCTCTCTCTCTCTCTCTCTCTCTCTCTCTCTCTCTCTCTCTCTCTCTCTCTCTCTCTCTCTCTCTCTGCCTCTCTCTCTGCCTCTCTTTCTCCCCAGAATGCCAAGCGCTGGGGCGCAATGGCATTTCTCCTACATCATGGCACCTGTGAATGGCGTAATGGCAATGCTTATGTACATCTACTGGAAACTCTTGTGGCCCGGTGTTGGCACGAACTGACAAATTAACACGTCTACTGGATGGCGCTACAATGCTCCCTTGAGTTTTATAAAGATTGCCTGACGTATTGCCCGTGGAAATCACCCGACTCCAGTAAGCCATTTGCTGCCGTGCTGCTTTCTTAGCCGGCTGCTGAAGCAAGCTGCTGTACTGCTAGTCTGCGGGGTTTCCCCGGCATGAAACTATCCGGAACACACAGTCTTGTTGATTCACTGATACGATGTGGACAAGCACCATTGGCCTGAAGCAGCTGCTCTGCCATGCTGTGCCCTGCTTTGCCCGGCTGTGTGATATTGCACACACAGCGCCGTGGCTACGTCTATATTTACGCTGAATTAAATATTTGTTGTTGGGTGCCAGATGCTTCGCCTGTTGATGTCGCCTGAAACAAGCTTGTGCCCTCTGCAGCCCGCTGCGCTGTGCTTGGCCTTTGACGACCATTGTGAGACATTTCCCCGTATATTACTAGTGGAGTTTTGCATACGTCGGATCTATTGACATGTTCAGTCCCTTTTTATTAGCCTGAGAATGTGTTGGCATGATCATGTTTCTGGTCATATGATACCTATCATGTGGAAGTAAGACGCCAAGTGTAGAATGTACCACCATGCACTCTACATGTACATGCATACTAAGTCTTGTTTTTAGCACGTCTAGATTGACCCTTTTACTTTCCCTACCTGGTCCCGTGCCCCATCTTAGTCATGTAGCCGTGCTCCTGGCAATGCAGCGTGCTGGCCACCTCTGCATCCCATTTGTTATGCTTTCCGAATATTTCGCTGTAAGTTTGGTTGTTTACGGCTACGTCTTTGTAAGAGTTTTTATCGTTCATGATTAGTTTTATATGTCTTGTTAGCAAGCTTTCTTGTGTACGTTTTTTAAGTATCCGGAATTATCATCTGGTGACATGTGTCTGTTTGCAGCACATTGAAAGTTGATTTATTAGGCCCGACAATACTAGAGAAAAATAACTGGCCTGGCCTCCAACCGACCGTGTGTCTGCGGGTGTGGAAAGGCAACCGCCCTAGTCTCCAGCCGACTGTGCGTCTGCGAGCTGGAAAGGTACTTGGCTGCATCGTGGCTGCTGTATCCATCGCATAACTGTGAAGATATGCGATGTGTTGCGTACCCATGCCGCCTAAAGGGCGTATACACATGTCGCATGATGTGTCGTGCAGGTTGGTATGTCCAATTCAGCATGCAACAGACGCCCGGGATGCGGTGACAAGACATGCAAAGTTTTGAAGCAGTCCCACCAGCAGTGACTTGTGTTTACACCTTGGTCTATAAACAGGAACTCATACTCATAGGTCCCTTGCCATTGACAGGATTTACACCATGGCACCAGGGTTTTTTTCCCCTTGTACAGGTGAAGCCTAGCGAAGCAGCTCCCTGACCTGTACCATCAACCACCACCACTTTTCTTTCACGCGGTGTGATGTGGTGGATGTGCATTGCTTACTCACAACGGCTTTCAGAGAGCACCTGTGTTGAAAGACCGAGTGCTTTGAAGTTTGAACAGATGGCCCCATGAGAGCTCGCTGAAACCAGTGTGACGCCAGTGCAGATAGCCTTCTCTCGGATATTTGATTAGGGACCAGGCATCCGACACTGTGTTGGTAGGTCTACCCTCGTTGATTTCACCCTGGTCAGGTTTAGTGGGGTGTGCCCGGTCAGCGCAGATGAGAGGATACGTGCAATGACCATGTATGGTATGGTATTCTTGATTTCACTTCACCAAGCAAACAGGCAATAATGCCTTTTCAGCAGCCAATGGCTGGCTCTCACAGAATGATGAAAAACCCATGTAGCATTGATGGAGACTATTCCCAAGATCAACCCTACCAAATCCCTACCATTGTAACTACCGGTATTTGTACTGCCAAGAGTATAAGAGTTATACTCTCGGTACTGCTGGTGCCAAGTGCAGACCGAGACTGCGAGCGACTGCACTGAGTGTAGTCTGTGTGTGCGCGGGATGGGAGGGGGCCGGGGGGGTCCGGAGTCTGTACGACTCGTAGATCTACTGATCTAGTACTGCCTGGGCTCCTGCTCCGGCCGGCTGATCCTGCATGCTGCATGCTAGCTGCTGTTGTCATGGTGCTCTTAGTCTTACTGACTTCTGTGTGACTTGGACGCTTGGCTGTCACTACTAGTACTACACTAGTCACTAGCATGCACTGTCTGTTTTATTTCAAGTGTTTGCACACAAGGCAGTCAGTGACTCAGTATGGACAGGGGCTATGCCTACAGAATCTTTACAGTCATGATCAGAAAGAAAATAGATTAGATGGTCGGTGCTCGGTTTCGTGAGCAAGGAAATGGTTGAATGAAAGGTTTGCTCCGAACTCGAATGGCAATCCTCCGCTAATCAGTTTCTACTACAGTCGTACAGACACTCCATCGCGTCCACCAAGAAATACAAACACGCAGCGCTGGTATCAGCTGTTGCAGCGTCCATGACAGAAGCTTGGTTCAAACTGATCAGAGGTGGTCTGGAGCTAGATTAGAACTCCCTTCCAATCCCCCATCATCGGCCAGCATTGTCACCCGGCCGTGGTTCATAAGGGAGGAATTATTTCTAATTTCTACACTGGGACTCCGGCCAAGTGCGGCCAGCAAGAGTTCAAGATGAGCGAGGACATGAAGTTCATTGTGGAGAACTTAAACAAGAAACCGTTCAGCAAGAAATTCAACCTGATCAGGTGAGAATTGAATAGCATTAAATTTCCATTTGCATCATGAGTCAGAGGAAAGGTCTACAAAGACTACAATCATGTGCTTCAAGTCCATGCACTAGGATGCAATGCGCAGCACTTGCTGACACTCCACCTCCATGGCAAAAACATTAGCGAAACGAATGCAAGCCTGATGAACACCACTCAGAGCGGCCGGTCTACAAAGCTCTTGCGAATCCTCGGACCCAGATAACGAATGAGCAACTTTACTCATGGTGGCTCATCTCAATCTCCTGGGAAAGTGTGGAAGGTCTCTGGTATGTTGTAGGCCGTTCCAGTGTGTACACTGGTATTTCTGACTTCCCGAACTGGCATTTGAATGAATTAAACCTGAGACTACCAACATGGACATTCAATGGACATTCAATGCCATAGACTCCTCATTGTTGTTGTTTGTCACTTTCCCACAGTTAGTTATTCATCTTGTCATCCCTCTCTCTCATCTGTTCTCTGCAGTTTCGATGCCCTGGAGCCGCTGCAGCTGCTGCAAGTTCTGAACGATGTGATCAGCGAGATAGACCCGCAGCAGAAAGTGGACCTGCGCGATGAGCCACCGGAAGACACGGCGGTGCGCATGTTTTCAATCCTGCGCCTGCTCAAGTACAAACCACCGACAGACCAGGGCAACCTGTAAGAGATGCATGCAAACTCTTCTGTGCCTGGAGATCTGCAAACTGTTTTTTTTCACGGCTCGCGTGACACTCAGTTAGACTTAGTTCTCCGCATCCACAGGCACGCCACCACCGTCTAGGATCAAACGATGCTAACAAATAATCACGAACTACAGTAAAACCTGTCAAGGCGACCACTCGGATAAGGGGACCACTCGGATAAGGCAACCAACTGTCCAAGGGGACCACTACCACCAGGACCAAGGGTTGTCATTTTCAGTCAAATGACCCTGGATAAGGAGACCACCTGTACACAGCGACCACATTTTGAAGGTCCCTTGAGCCATCGCCATAGACAGGTTTCACTGTACTAGTAACAAGTACTAGCAGGGAGTACAGTGTCGTAGTGTCTAGTACTAGCAGGGAGTACAGTGTCGTAGTGTCTAGTACTGGCAGGGAGTACAGTGTAGTAGTGTCTAGTACTGGCAGGGAGTACAGTGTAGTAGTGTCTAGTACTGGCAGGGAGTACAGTGTCGTAGTGTCTAGTACTAGCAGGGAGTACAGTGTCGTAGTGTCTAGTACTGGCAGGGAGTACAGTGTAGTAGTGTCTAGTACTAGCAGGGAGTACAGTGTAGTAGTGTCTAGTACTAGCAGGGAGTACAGTGTAGTAGTGTCTAGGGTGTACAGTGTAGTAGTGTCTAGGGAGTACAGTGTAGTAGTGTCTAGGGAGTACAGTGTAGTAGTGTCTAGGGAGTACAGTGTAGTAGTGTCTAGGGAGTACAGTGTAGTAGTGTCTAGGGTGTACAGTGTAGTAGTGTCTAGGGAGTACAGTGTAGTAGTGTCTAGGGAGTACAGTGTAGTAGTGTCTAGGGAGTACAGTGTAGTAGTGTCTAGGGAGTACAGTGTAGTAGTGTCTAGTACTAGCAGGGAGTACAGTGTAGTAGTGTCTAGGGAGTACAGTGTAGTACTGGCAGGGAGTACAGTGTAGTAGTGTCTAGGGAGATGACATACTGCCATGGCACCCGAAATAATGTGCTTTTTGAACCTGGATTTGGAAGTTCGACGTGATCCATGGTCTACACAAGTCCAAACCAGCGATGCAATATGCGAGCATGCATAGATCAGCCCTGCCCCGGATGATCTGCCCCATGTACCCTCCATGGATTGTTCGCGCTTGGAAGGTGGGGCGGATCAGCAGGTCCTGACTGTAGATCATACGGCGCATACATACTGGTATTGTACACACATTTCACGCTACTGTAAGACATGTTATTATAACGAGTCGCAAATTTAACGATTGTCCAAAATTCATAGGTTAACGAGAAGATATGTTAACGATCTCGCAGTATTCTGCCATATCCACACACAGCATATTTGAAGCAGTACGACCTCAACGGATCTTATTATAACGAAGAAATGTCATCCGTTAAAACGCTAGATTTGCTTCCTCGTTATATATACATGTCTTACAGTATGCAGGCGATCTGTACTCATTCCAGTAGCGAGTTACACACGAGAGTAGCGGGCTGGTGTAAGGCCACACGTGGCCCTAGTATACTGATGGTTTTATATCATAATTATGACCTTTATTTAGTTGCAATAAAATGGAATGAAATGAATTATAGCAACGTTCTCGAGAGACGAGGCACCCCGGTGATTATTTAGAACACTTTGATTTGATTTTCCTCCATGCAGGAGTGCATTCCGCCTTGGTTTGGTTCAAGGGGACAAGCTGGTGGTTCATCCAATCCTGTGCTATTTGTTACGCAACATCGATGACCTCAACACAAGGATGTACCTGTCTCGATTTCTTGTGAAGATTGATGTTCCAATGGATATGCTGCAAGATGACACTGTTCAATCAACATTCTCTACGGTGGGTGGAGCACTCATATACCTACTTTTTTCTAGCCTTTCTCCCCTCCCCCTCCTTCTCTCTCTCCCTCCCTCTCTCTCTCTCTCTCTCTCTCTCTCTCTCTCTCTCTCTCTCTCTCTCTCTCTCTCTCTCTCTCTCTCTCTCTCTCTCTCTCTCTCTCTCTCTCTCTCTCTCTCTCTCTCTCTCTCTCTCTCTCTCTCTCTCTCTCTCTCTCTCTCTCTCTCTCTCTCTCTCTCTCTCTCTCTCTCTCTCTCTCTCTCTCTCTCTCTCTCTCTCTCTCTCTCTCTCTCTCTCTCTCTCTCTCTCTCTCTCTCTCTCTCTCTGTATGTTGCAGACATTTGACATTTCACCGGTCTTTAGCTGGGAAGTTCAGGGGAAATAGGTGTTTGGCGGTTCAATCGCCTATCAAGTCCTCTTACCAAGATTCCTTCTGATTCTCTCTGGCATTTCTCTCCTGGGGAGACACACACATAAGCAGTTTCTGGCAATGAGCGAATGCTTTGTCTTTCTGTCTATCTATCGATTGTGTTTGTTCAAACGACAGTACGAGTCTCTAATGAAGGAGTTCCGGGATGTACACAGGGCAAAAGAGAAGATCAAATCGTCCGGTGCTACAGCGGCTGAAATCAGAAAGGTACATCCTAATAAGAATAAGTACCGTGAATAGACAGGTACATGTATGTGTGTGATTCTACCAGCTACTGAATAGGTACTAGTGTCTGTAATAGTGTAGATACTCGGTAAGTATCGTTATAAACTACTAAATTTGATGCCGGATACATAGGTAGTGTCAGTCACAAGTAGACAGATTCAGCATGTTCAGTGTACAGTGTACACACGGTGTGTAATCCAGTGACGCTTGCACTTGCATAGAAAAGCAAGCACCCAAACAAAGGGAAGCAGTTACAGTAAAACGGTTACTAAAACCTGTCGTCAAGGCAACTACTCGGATAAGCCGCGGCAACCACCTGTCCAAGAGGACCACTGAAACCAGCATCAAGGGATGCTATTTCCAGTCAAATGATCCTGGATAAGGAGAACACCTGGTAACAGAGACCACATTTTGAAGTTGCCTTGACTCGCGCTGGTCGTCTTAGACAGGTTTCACTGTACATGTACACTTGATGAAAATTGCAGCATTCCTAGCATTCCTGCTTGTATGCTAGCACACACTACACCTCATATGCTTGTACTAAAAACAAGACAGCAGCTGTACAAACCATATGTGTCAGGGCCAACTTGAGCTGCGACAATGCGCTGTGTGCAAGCTTCTCAAACTGCAGCGCTGAAAAAGGCAAGTATCAAAAGGTATCCATGGTAACCATCGAAGCAAATAGATGTGCAGATTGGCAACTGGTAATACATATAGTATACTATAGTCCATTGGGCAAATCTGGGCCCCTGATACACAAATCTGGGCCCCTGATACACAAATCTGGGCCCCTGATACACAAATCTGGGCCCCTGATACACAAATCTGGGCCCCTGATACACAAATCTGGGCCCCTGATACACAAATCTGGGCCCCTGATACACAAATCTGGGCCCCTGATACACAAATCTGGGCCCCTGATACACGTGTCTGAAACAATAATTATGTTTTGCACATATCTTGATCAATTTCACCGTATTCACTTCATCTTAGGCTTAAACAACGGCTATCATATTTCTGACCTATATACGTCATTGACATCACGATGATCTTGAATAAAAATGAGGTGAGACAGTGGAAACCTATGGACCCCGATCATAGTACTTCAAGTACTTGTGCAGATTTCAGCGGGATTTTTTTCTGATCTCCACTTGCTCTATTTGAATTAACTCTTCAGACTCTGTCTGTTCTTGGCTGTTGCATTGGAGACTTTGACGATACCCATACCCTGTGTTTGGTGTGTATGTCCGTGTATTGCTGCCACTCACAGGATATTGCTAATATGGAAGAAGAGCGGCGCCAAGTCAAAGCAAGACTCGCACGCCAGAAGAAAAAGGTGTGAACTCCCACAGACTGATCACTACTCTGCTGTCGTTGACTGCTTGCAACATCTGTTATCAGCATTTGCACTATCGGTCGCCGAAGACTGAACTAGGGGTCAGCCTCCTAGCCTAGACCGTTCTTATTTTCATGTATTACAGTCTATGCATGGTTGAGTCACCCCGTATACATTGGGATGCTGTGCTTGGTAAAGTTCTAGCCTGGCTGTTCTTCGGCGCCCGACAGTACTGTAGGTGATCATTTCAAGTATTTATTCCCATTTTTTTGCCGAAAGGCGTATAACAGTACGTCTGGAGGAGCCAGGGTCCAGTGGCACTGTGCGGACGTGGAAGACATGTTTGCTCTGTATGTTACATGGTAGTAATCAGAGAGATCACTAGCAGCACGAACCCGGCTCCAGATGAGACAAGAACCCACATCAGGTACAGATGAATGCGAGACAGCCTAGACGGTTGCATCATGCCACGTCTCTAGCTCTGTAGCACGATGGATGCAACTTCTAAGGTGCATGGTCTACCGTCACCTTTGGCAAAGCTCTGGACTCTTTAAAAAAAAGATAACGGTCACCTTGTGGGAGATGACACCTGGCTCTTGTATCCCGTACATGTCCCTCACTACCCTGCGATTTGTGTGGATATGCAACATGTATGTGAGCATGGCCAGTGAATGAGTCAGGGTCTAACAGTTACATGACAGTACACTTAGTAGTACTTCAAATACATACAGTAGTTCAGTTTCTTTATCATGTGGTGAACAATGGCCGCGTCACATTGCGATGTGTGCTAATAGGTTCGAGACAATGTTCCAAACGCAGATGCTGCCATCAAGGCAGCACAGCAGCAGCGCGGAGAGAAAGGAAAGGAGAGGGAGCTGGCAATGCAGAAGGTCGACCAGAAGAACCAGGTAGGCAGCTTCGTTCTATGTGCTTGACATGCTTGTATATGTATAGGCATAGTGGGATGGTCTAAGACCATGATTGAGAAACAAAGTGTACCAGGTTCAAGTCCTGCTTGGAAGCGGAATGATTTTTTCCAGCCGTGCTGTGACCCCCGGTAAATTGGGAACTCATGGCCTGGCACGAGGAAAACATGGATGCAGTGAATTGGGATTTTCGGTCTTAGACCACTTGCTGGTGAGCTGATCTACTCACCTCACATCGCTTTAGGGGCTGCATCTGCGCCTTGATCCTTGAAGGGTGGTGGCGTTCCTACGGATGCAGAAAACTCGGACTTTAGCCGAGTCGGACACGAACCGTGAATTTTTTTTAAATAATAATATAAAAATGTGTGTTCGTGCGTGCATGGTCTATTGGGGGGGGGGGGGGGGAGTAGTAGGTGGGTGCATGGTCTATTGGGGGGGGGGGAGGGGGGGGGGAGTAGTAGGTGGGTGCATGTGCCAATGAATGGCGCCTGGATCGGACACAGCATGGTGACCAATGATGTTGTCACGTTATGTAGATTGTGACAAGTATATCTAGCAATCTAGCAGGAGGATCCAGGGCAATGTGACATACACGACAGTGATGTTCTGCTTCTGCTGCAGCTACTGCACACCGAGCAAAGGTACCAGCGATTGCGCAAGCAGCTGAGAGAGCTCCAGACCGCTAATATGGGCAGCTCAGCTGAAGGTAAGCTGTACGCATTGTGGCCACTGCCAGTCTACATTGCTCAGCTGAAGGTAAGCTGTACGCATTGTGGCATTGTGGCCACTGCCAACCTACATTGCAGTGCCACGGGTCATTGGACTCATTACCAGTTCCACCGACTCACACGCTGCACACATGTGCTTGTGTTGTTAATAACAGCACCTTGTAGTAGTATGCCGCACCGTGGCTATGAACCAGGCCCGGAGCGCCTCTGAGGTGTAGTCCAATTCTTGTTATTTCTCCCTCCTTAGCATTGGGCGGCAGTGTAGAGTCATGCTTTTAGTCCTTGCTCACTTCCTGCATTCTTCTTGCGATTTCCTAAATTTGTCCTAAAAATGTGTGTTGATGTGCTACGATAAATCCTGGCAGGACTAATCCAGCAACTGGAGGAGGAAAATGCTGGCAATGCTTTCACTGTCAAGGAGAAACTTCCAAAGGTAAGATTACCGAATCTAGCAGACTCCGTCTCCACCGATTCTAGCACCGATGCATATGGTAGTTTAGTGTTGAAGGATACTATTTGGTATTATGTGTTCTAGAACATCACTTGCGAGCTTGGACCTGTTTTGTTTTTTAAATAAATAATAACTTGTTATTGCTGCTATGCCTTTTGTCTGGCCTGCAGGAACTGGAAGCAGCCCATCAGCTTAGAGAGGTTTTGAAAAAAGTGGTGGACGAACCTGTGTTGACGCCAGATGATTTTGAGACACTTGAAGCAAAGGTAGGCCAAATAACTTATAGCTGATGACACAGACACTGGTATGTCTGACATACCGGCATGCTTCGGTACAGGTGTGCGTTTACAGTAGTGTTGAAACGAATAATCGAATAATCGAATAATTTAGAATATTCGTGGGGTGAACGAATAATCGAATAGTCGTAGGAATTATCAGAAATCGAAAAAAAAAAAAAAAAAAAAAAGATCTATGCTCAGTGCTGACCCTACTGATATTTGCACTGCGTAGATCTGCTCGTAGTATTTCTTCTCAATCACTTCTCCTCCAAGGTTTAATCTCCTATCGGTATCTAGTAATACATGTACTTCTGTTCTTTCCATACGAGGGAAACATGGATGCAGTGAATGTGATTTTCGGTCTGTGACAACTTTCGACCAAGACCCTATGCAGAACTGGATCAGGCGTTTCACACTCTGGGGGGTTATGTACTCTTGGCGGTACAGGTTAACAGGTTTGGCACCTCGACATCAAAATCCGATAATCAGCAAAAAAAATTAAAAAACTACTTAAAAAGTGCTGAAAAAGTGTTGAAAAATGCCATCATGCGTATGATAGAATATAGATTATTCGTTCGATGGAGGGCGAAATTATTCGATAGATTATTCGTTCGAAGAATCCGTGTTCGGTTTAAACACTAGTTTACAGGTTGATTCATATACAATTGTTGGTGAAGATTGCAAAGTGCTAAGTATATCACCCAATAGCCACATGCTAACCGTTTAGCCCTACACGGCTACAGTTGTATTTCAATGCGTACCAGGTGTTGTACTGTAAAAGCAGAAATTTTCAGTGGTGTTTTATTTTCGGTAACTTCGGTGCCGAAATTTTTACCGAAACTAAAACGCATCGAAATTGTCCGTATAGTACTAGTACACTTACCTGGAACGCGGGTTTACCGAAAATTTCCCTCCGCCGAACCGCCGATTTTGGAGAATACCGAAAATATTACACCACCGAAAATTTCTGCTTTTACAGTATGTGCGATTATGTCTGATAGCTGTAGCTAATACCTACTACTTTTTGTGCCGCTGTGGCTGTCCGTGGTTCACTTGCAGCTGCACCAAACCAATGAAGTGTGCCAGTCACTGCATGAAGAACGCCTCCAACAGCAGCGGCCTGGTGATGACAAACTGTCTCTCTTCCGACAGCAGGCGGCCGTAGTGAGCAGAAAGAAGGCTGCAGTTGCACAGACATTGGCGGAGCGTCGGGAAGAGGCAAGTTATCACTGCTGTGCTGCCGTTCTGTAGTCCTGCTTAGGCAAAGGATCTTATTATGCTACCGGTAGCAAGCAGTAACTTTCTATTTGGTAAAGTACAGTGTGTTGTCTTACTCAATTGCAGAAAGCTTGTGAAGCAGTAGGCAGCCAAGGCAGCTTGCTGCAGTGCTGTCCACAGTGCAGCTATGTGTGTAAGCACGCCCGAAACACTATTAAGTTTCAGTATCGTATTTCCGGAGTATATGCCGCACTTTGAGCTCTCCTAAATCACCCAAAAAAGCCAGTGCGGCTTAAACTACGATGGGCGAATGTACCGTGCAGTACAGGGTAGACGTCTGTATTTCATGACAAAAGATATCTAGGTGCGGCTTATCCTCCGGAAAATACGGTATATTGCAGTCTATTGGGTTCAATGCTATTCATCTACTATAGTATATGTCCTCGCAATGATGATCATCAGTGTTTGGCTAGCCGTCCCGAACACTGCCGCATTCTCCCCCGCATCTCACCTCGGCATGATCACAGAAGCTGTGGAAATCTGCCGCAGGATGCTATAACTGGATCTATCAAATGTAATCTCTTTTTCGCAGCTTGGAAATCTTGAGGGAGAGCTGGCGGAGAAACGAGCCAAGTTTGACGGTGTTGGCAAGGACGATTTGGAGCCAGATGGGGTGAGTTCCGTCACTTTCTCCTTTGGAAACTCTGCCACATTTGCATGTTACCAGTCACGGTAACTACCTGTTGGTAGCTATGTAACATGGATATGCTCTCTGCCTGATACTTCTGACACATGCATCTGAAATCTAGTACTTACTCCATACAGTCTACCCTAAACCTACCTACAGCAAGCTGTTTCGGCCATGAAGGCCTCATCAGTACAGCTACGAGCTAAATAGGCCGAGCTACCAGCCATGGTGCAAAGGAGGCACATAGACTCAGTGGTGCATGACCGTAATGGTGACACTGCGGCGGGCTATGCCGGGACCGCCAAGCAGGTGTTACCCTTACATTGACGGCCGGCCCTAACCTGCTGTGTAACGGTATTACTGTGCGTTACCTGCTGTGCAGATGAACAAGCTCGTGAGTGCAGTGCGCCGGGACCATGATGAAATGAGGGCACAGAAGAGAAAGGTAAGTTCGTGGCGATGACTCCGCAGTAGCTAGCGGGGACCGTACACATTGGTGTGCTACCACAGATGCCTATTCAGTTTACCTGCCTTCCTGGAACAGCACTGGGCAGCTCCATTAGGCCTGCCACTGGTCAAAGTAACTTGATCCTGCATGTTTTTACGTTCCGAGTGAATGGCTGTGGTCAAATCGGCATAGTTGCTTGACATGTCCTAGCCAACCTCTTTTCATCCCTGTAGTTTCCCAAAGCTCATCAAAGTAAAAAAGTAAAGTTTGCACGTCTGCGTTACAACTGGCTATACAATTGCGTTGAGAAACACCAGCTTAGGAATTTTCGCTCGTGCCAGGCCACCACCATGCCTGTGATACCAGGGTGGCAGATGCAGCGCCTAACGGCGAGGGTGAGGTGGTAACTCTCACAACCAATGCCCGACTAGGGGGGTGAACCTCGTTAGCTGCATCCATGTTACCCTCACTCCGAGTAGTGAGTGCCCAGTTGACCGTGGGTGTCGGCACAGTTCCTGGCAGGTATAGTGGTTTACGCATGCATCACCGCATTTGTTAGCACAGCACACACTCCCTGCTCCCAGCGCGGGTCTCGAACTCGGGACCTTGTGATTCGCAGGCAAGCCCACAACCACTCGGCCAAAGCGTTGGTCCATCAAAGTATATTGCTTTAACCCTTTGCAGTGTATCAGTCCATATGGCCTGATTCTTCTCAGTGTTATGCAAGTATCTGGGTTTTTCCAGTTTGAATTCTTATCGTTTCCTATGCCTATAGCAAGTATTGTCAGTCACAGACTGTAACAAGATTGCCCTGTGCAGGATGATACAGTGTATAATGCTCAAGTCGAGAATATGGTGTGCAAAGCCTCGTGATACGGGCCCTCTGCATTCTAACCCGGACCTATTTCATCATTGTGGTGTTTCAGCTCGAAGCTCTCCAGGCCGAGAATGGTATCAAGGAGCGCACTCTTGATCTTCTCATCGAGCGTGAGCAGGAGATCAAGCAGGAGTTGGTAAGAAGAGCTGACACTACATCTCTCTTACTGACACTCCGGGACCTCGACACGTGAAACAGTGGCTACTTTAATCCTGGTGCATGCCTTGCCCTGGGTTAGACAGTAGACACACATGTACACGTTAATGCACTGCACCAGTGTATGAAGAAGTAGTTGACATGCACTCAGGCCGGCATGTACAATGTAGCCGATACAGTGCATTACAGATACAGTTGTGGTGCACATCGGGAATCAGTGTTGTACCACAGCCGATGCTTTAGGGAATTTAATGCGTGCACGTGTAGTTTCACTGGTTACCAATACACCGTTTTTACACGTGAAGCAGTGAGTCTACCCAAAGTTGTTCTTTGTGTTCTAGAAAACTTGCTTGACACCTCTATAGTTGTAACTAAGCTCTCTAGCTTCTCGTGTTGTCGACTTGATTGTGTACTGATTGTGTACTGATTGTGTACTGATTGTGTACTGATTGTGTACTGAGGTGCACAACTCAGCCACACTATGTTAGTCACAGTCACGGCTGGGCTTGGTGTTGCTGTAGGTTTGGGGTTTTTCAGTCTAGCTGTCAGTTTGCATAGTACTGTACTGTTGCTGTAGGTTTGGGGTTTTTCAGTCTAGCTGTCAGTTTGCATAGTACTGTACTGTGTAGTCATTAGTATCCATGTAATTATGTAGCCTTGACTGCTACCGGTGTATATACTACCATGCTGGACTGAGTAAAACAAGATGTTCCCCTATGCCCCCCCCCCCCCTCCCCTGCCATGTCTGTGATTGTGTGCTTACAGGTGGAAGTGGAGGAGCAGTACGGGATCACTGGCTACCAGAAGACACAGCACAAAATGGAGAAGGTTTGTGCGGCATAGCTGCTTCGGTTCACAAGTCACAGCGGCTGTAATCAATGTTTTATTGCTATTCTGACTGTGTGACGTGTGTGCTTGTTGATCTGTCCAGGTTGCATCCAGGAAAAGCAAGATTGACGAACAAAAAGAACGTGTTCTGGAAGAGATGTCTGCCCTTGTGAGTCCTATCACTTGCCTCTCGCCATTACTTAAATTAACTACTCTTGCCTCAAGTTTACGAGAAAACTATTTGGATATGGTTGTGCAATTGTTGGGCAGACTGGATATGCGCAGCTACAGTACGTAACATGATGAATGTAGGAGACGTGTCATTGAATTGATGTGTGTGTGTGTGTGTGTGTGTGTGTGTGTGTGTGTGTGTGCGTGCATGTGTGTGTGTGTGTGTGTGTGTTCTTTTCCAGGTCATTGAGTTGAACAAAGTAATTGAGGAAAAGAAAGCCACGCTCACTCCACTGCTGGCGGATATGCGTACATTACGTCAAGCATTCACTGTAAGTGTACCTACCAGCTGCCATAGTCGTGTGTCGTGGCAGATACCGAGTACGATATCACCCGTGGGCGAGTTCAATGGTCCAGTTATTGCATGCGGGTCGTCTACCTTGTTCAGTATTCGATTTACTGTCTTCTGAACTTTAACATGCACTAAATCTCTCTCAGATTCACATATTTCCTTTCCACTTAGGTTTGTATTGCTCCTCAACACACCAGTTTAGTAGATAAGACAGTAGTGCAGAAATATAGCCTACTCTTTTGTTTAGAAAGGGTCCGTTCCCCGCACTGGAGCTCACGCGTGTCCGCCGGCTGTATTCTTTTTTCTCTTCTTTTAGCTTCGATCCATGCTTGTCGGTCAAGTTTTTCATTGACGCCACCTTTGTGTGACCACTGCTCTTTTGTGACCTTGTTTTTTTATCTTGATGTAGGCCACAAAGACAAGGTATGATGAAGCAAAGGCAAAGTATGACACGACTAGGTCCGAGGTCGAGTCTGAGCTGGCACCTCTGGAGCAGGTAGGCCATAGTCACCAGCAGCAATGCTGCTTAATACAAGTACTAGTTTTCAACCTGCTGTACTCTACAATCATGCGTACCATTTTGTCATTCCCAGTTGAGTGCGGTTGGAGCACACTATGCATTGTAAAAGATCGCCCGAACATTGCCGTCATCTGATGGTGTGCCGTCTGTCACACTGGGTTGGGCCGAGTAAGCGGGATTCCGCAACAAGTTTTGCTTATCTCTGTGAGTGTACACCGTGCATGCTCTGTACAGTTACCTGTTGTTCTGTGCTGTTTGGCAGGAGGTGCGGTCACTGCGACAGAGTGACATGCAGCAGTCGTCTCGTCTTCTCTACCTTCAGGCCACTGTCGAAGTAAGCAAGTCGAACAGAAGCACACTCGCTGCTCATTAAAAAATGACACATGAATAGTCTGTGAGCCGGATGATAGTTTGCGAACCAATTGGCTATGATAAACATACAGTCTCCTCAAAGTACTGGGTCGTATACATGTAGTGCGAGTTTACGAGCCAAATTGCGAAATGCTAACTGTGAGTTTAATTGTTGTGTTTGGCGCAATGTTATTGATTCTATGGGAAACGGGAGAAGACTACAGCCGGCCATCTACAGCCGACCATCTCTAGCCTTCTCTTGTTGAAATAGAAACTGTACTTGAGTCAACAACTGACATGCAATAGGGATAATTATGTTGCTGCATTTGTGCCTAGTCCTATCTATAGAACTTCCCAATCTGAATGTGCGTGTCATGGTTTGTGCTTGCCGGGATGTGTGCAGGCGATGAGTGTCAAACTCGCCCGCGCTGCTACTGAGCTAAAGCTCTACCAGTCCGGCGTCAAGGAACAAGACGCGAAACAGCAAACATTCAGGTGACTTATCCAAGGTTCAACTCTTCATGGTTGTGCTAGGTTGTTCCCTAGTTATCGCTGGGATGAAAATTTCTTGGATACAATCATATGCTCTGATTAGCCGGTAAAGTGTCAGGTCATTTTGGCATAAGAAGCATTACTCTATTACTCAGTAGCAGCCAACTTCTCGGTCTACTCGGTACAAAATATGTGGGGAGTAGTACTTGTCCGGAAGTCCTTATCCGTTTCTGCTGTGATAGCGTTATTTTCCAACGCTAACTTTACAAAGGTACATCCCCGGGGAGATCTGGTGTGATATTGTCCAACGCTACTTCAAGTACAGAAGTACATCCCCACGGGGATCTGGATTTCTTGTCAACTCGCCATGCTATGCATGTCTACCGTGTTATTTGTGCAGGGAGTTTCACAATAAGACAATGGTTCATGTGGAGAAGCAGAGCAAGGTCAGTGCTAACATCGCCGTAGGCTATTCAACGGTGCGATGACATTTTTGTACTGTTTCGGATGGTTGCTGTGGCTGGCTATTACCCTTCATTTCACATTCATTTGCTATTAGCAGTCGTTCGACGAGCCACGAAGTGTTGAATACATGCAAGAGTAACAGAAAAGGGAGAGGGGAAGCTGTGTCGCAACTCTGAGTTTCACGTATTACTACAATCATCAGGCAACCTGGAACAGTGGAAGGCTCTGCCCTATATGGGTATTGAGCACTCTTCGGACAGTGGAGCACGCTACTTGACTACACGAGTAACAAGATACAACATACAATGAGAGATCATCTGGCTGAGTCAGGTTACCATTCTGCAGTGGCCAGCAGCACACCTGCATACTGTAGTGTAGGATGTTGGGGATCTGGGAATAGTGGGATGGATCCGCTCTAACACACTGAGAAATGGCTTGTAACGTTACTGTTGTGTACAGTGTTATCACCGTGTGTGCATGTCACATGAACCCGCATACAGGTCTATATGAGTATTGCGGCAGCTCGTACATGTTTATCTAGAAATTATCAAGCTTAATGTGGGCAGGCCGCATGATTTCTTCTTCCCATAATAAGGTTTAAGCTGCACTGGAGTATAAGCTGCACCCCATTTTTGGCCACGAAATATAGACATCTACCCTATTTATCACCGTTAATTTGATCATCGGAGTATAAGCCCGCACCCCCTTTTTTGGGTGAATTTTGAGTGCTCCAGAAAATACGGTACACTTATGGTGGTGTGTGTCACATGCCGGATGTGCACGCCCACGCGTGTCTATTTGTTATAAATGCAGGAACTGAAGCAAACACAGAAGGATGTTCGAACCCGACACCCTGAGAATATCAAGCAGATGAAAATGTGGCAGGTGGGGAAAGTTCACCTATTTATGAACGTCTGCTGGTGGAACTAATAACTAATTGCTGCATGCACCATTGCAAATTCCCATACAGGGTACAGTTAAGTAACTAGTTCTACACTTGGGACTACTTTCAGAATGTTCCTATTTCGGTTTTTGGCTGGAATGGCAGCCACATTCAGAAATGTCCTGCCTTTTGGTGCCTCATCTGGCACAACCCGTGATACGAAACGTTGTGTCAAATGTGTCCATGCAAGCCTCTGGATTCTGGGCACACGCAAAAAGTTATACTGTGTGTGCGTCCAAGTCGTCCCAAAGAAATATCCATAACTAAAACCGGGGGAAGTTCTAAAAACCAGAGTACCTGGACCCTGGAATGCCGTGTTTTCCTGTAGGAAAGGAAGATGCACCTTGCCCCTTGCCGCTACATTAGATTTTGTGAGTTGAATGATACAGTCTACAGTCTACTGATGGAACAACTCTCTTATTTCATGTGACTGTCTTTGCCACAAGGACTTACATGCGTTGATGGGTGCCAAGAGGGAGGCCTTCAAGCAGCAGGAAGAGCAACGGCAGAAGCAAGTTGCTCAGGACCAGGAGATGCTGGCTAACGAAGATCACCTTGTCTTATGAGATAATTATCATCACGGGATACTAGCACTGGCAGCGTACCTCACGCACACTGCAATGGTGTCTCTACGGCTGTAGCACAATAACCTAGGATGCTTCGCACCCGCTAGTTTGGCATAACTGAATCCGAGCTTCCAGAACACCAGTCAGTGACCTGTCTGCTCTTCTATAAGATAATCCCTTGTCACTGCTCACTGGGTAGATTGTCAATTGATAACATTAGCTGGTTCAAAGTACCAACCAATGGTGTACATATTTTTTAATCTATACAAAAAGTTTTTTCTTCTATAATAATTATGATGTCACGATCAAGAAAATAATTGAAGCAGAAACGGGCTGTGTCCACTGTATGTTATGTTCTGCACACACTGAACAGTCTGACCAAGGTGACTGGTCGTGGGTGTGTAGTGGTATATAATAGATCTGTGTCCTTAGAATATACCCGAGGAAATCAATAGAACAGAGAGAAACCGTGGCTGAGGTCTCGGCGATGAGTTGTGAAACATATTGTCGGCGACCTGGGGACTAAAATGCTGACCAGTCTGAAGGAACGTGCTGAGGAGTGAAGATCGCATTCAGTTTTGCCGGAGCTGCATGATAACACAACTCACATCGTGAGCAAACACCTCACATCATATAATACTGTACTACGAGCACTGCAAGGAACCACATCTCCATTTGCAACCTGATCACAGTGGCATATCGGTTAGCACATCTCTTGCCACCACCCACTGGCACTGGACTCCTCTTGGATGGCCATATTGGGCAGGTGTGGTGTTGCCGACTGTTGGAGCGGTATTCTGTCAATAACAAAGTCAACAAAAGTTAGAGCTCATCCGTGATAAATGGCGCGCTTCTTCATTCTGTGCGGTTGTCATATCTGTTCTGGCAGTGACACTTGAACTGGACTCTTTGCATGAGCGTGGCATTCCATCATTTTCTGCTGCTCTGGCTGCAGTCTTGTCGAATTGCATGCGCTGTTTCAGCCATTAATTAAGCGCGGCGGCTAAATTGATGTTTCCATGGCAATGTGACTGCCAGTGGACAACGGTGATATGGGAGAGTGTGCGCCGGGTCCAGAGAATGCTAGGCCGAGGAGAGGTGACCCGGGGCCTGGGCCATCGACCATGTCGTCATCAGGTCGTGAAAATCTCAACGAGCGGTCACTGTACGCCTGCCACCTGCGCAAACATCGTACACGTTCAAGCACGGAGCACACTTTGTGAGATATTAAAGGTTTAAAAAAAGAGAAGAAGTCCAAACCGCCTCTTACCGTCTTTGGCTCAAGTGAGAATGCAAAACTGTTCGCCAGTGCACAATCATTGCCAGCCTTGGTGATGTGTACTACTACTACTACCCATAATCCCCCAGAGTGCGCAACTGGGATGGGGTTGTGGGACGGAGTAATCCGTGATGTACATCATTTTTTGGGTCGGACTTGCGTCATTCCGTCGACGCGGTCCACCACGGACACACTTCCCCTACTCATGATGTCACACTATGACGTGCAACACGGATATCGCCGTCCCAGATCTGATCAGTCAAGTTGCACACTCTGGGGGATTATGGACTCTTGCTACTACCTTTAAGTACCGTTGATCCGCCCCCTCTCTAATTCCCGCCCCCTGTTGATTTTCTACTTGTGAAGCGACTTCGGCGTATACAACGAAATACGATGTTGAACCGACGCAAGCACTGCTGTACACAATACGTGCCAATCCAGGATGAAATAGTGCACATCGAGTCTGATCCTCCACGTTGTTGTACATCGTACTGCACTTGACAGCCTTGATCTAATTCCCGCCCTCTGCTAAAAACCCAGCTGGGAAGTGACATGGCGTGGGGGGGGGGGGGGGTCAACGGTATTTTACGGTACTACTAGGGAGTCGTAGGAACCCAGCAGGACTTCCTGATTTAATACAAGTACACGTACCAAGGGCACTTGACTCTATAATGTAGGTGTTAGCACAGGCCACACAAACACTAACTGCTCAGTAGAGTACCCACAGTGTCCACGCCGTTCATCCGTGACGCTGCTAAAAGCATGTAAAGTTACAGAATATCCCTTAACTACTAGTAACTGCCATTGGGTTCAGTCAGATATCTCAAATGTAGTCTACGTACCGTATCGAGTATAAGCCGCACTTTGAACACTCAAAATTCACCCAAAAAGGGGGGGGGGGGTGCGGCTTATACTCCGATGATCAAATTAATGGGGATAAAATAGGATAGATGTCTGTATGATTCGTGACAAGAAAGAGGGGGGGGGGCGGCGGCTTATAGAAAAATACGGTAATAGTCCAACCTGTTGTGTAAATTACGCAATCAATGCATTGCTGGGGTGAACACATGCGTATCGGCTAGATACGTACCGTCTCGAAACGATGTCATATCTTGCGCATAGGATGTCAAACAGGGTCTGGCTGAATTCCTAACGGCACAAGAATACAAACAAATCACGAGACAGACGCTTTTATGTAAACGTTAACGATCATGTATATCACGAAGACTGCCATCCACTGATGCTTTTTTTGCCATTGGATACTACATGTCCACTGTGTACGTAAAGAAAAATAAATTCATCAATCAAGACTGAGCTAGCCTAACCGCCTTGCTACAACGAGTCCATGAGGGGTGGACACACGAAAGATAAAGAAGTGCAAAGCGGGCGTGCCAGCGACTTGATGTCGCGTAGATTTGCCTCCTTATAGAAATTAGTTAGCTCACCTCGTGCCCAAATCTGGCTCTTTGTGACAACGCACACAACATTTGGCAGTCGGCCTGGCAGTCTGAGAAGAGGCCACGGTCGACAGACGCTGCCAAGTCCACGATATCCTTCAACGAACTGCGCATGGTCAACGCACACTGGCTGATGTCAGCAGTATCGGATTTCAGCCATGCTAACATGGATTTCTCTGCCCAAACAACAGCACCGGGAAACCTGCACTCATGATAACTAGCGCAAGATCCTATATTACACAGACTGTCAGCGGCCCAGGAGAGGCAACGTACAGTGTACATGAGCTTCAAGTAGCCGCATGCACATCTACTGCAAACGCCGCTAATATTATTGGAGGAACTCTAAGGCTTCCTAAACCAGCCCGGTTTCGTGATGATAAATGTGGGCGACCAGAGTCTTAAGTCCACAAAAAGTACAGCGAAGGAATACACTTCTCATTCGGTAAGGCTAAAGTTTAGCGAAAGCACTCCTTCGCTAAAATTTATCATCACAAAGTGCCTTTTCTCAACGGTTTGACAGCTATGGATTGCCTGTTCCAGTAATCACCGGCAGCACAAGCGGCTTGGGTTGTACACATCCCTATCCATTGATTAATGTTTGTGAACCAAGCGCAATGTAGGCGTTCTTGCTGACGTCTGCCTTCAATTCGCCATGCAGTGTCATATTTAAAACACGTGTAGTGGAAAAATGTCTTGATGCGTGATCTCCTGACATGCATGCGGGAAAGTTACTACTAAAACTTCTAGGAAGCGTAGAATATAGGCTGTACTTAATGGCAAGATCCTGTCCAATGCTCGGGCTCTCAGCTCGTTCTCACTGCTCAGCTCCGCTGCAGGGTAGAACAGAACAGAGAACAAGGCTATCCCCCGTGATTTATGCGGACAACACCCTCAAATCATGCGCATAATACTAGTAATGCGGCCAAAATCAGTGAATTACGAGGACAAGTTACGTTATCATTCAGTATGCCGGTGCTCACTGACTCATTGATCTGACTACAATACTACATGGCCACTATACTATAGTGCTTGTACTGTCATGCACTAAGGTCTATGATCATTCTATGCTAAAGTACCTGATACGATGATTCTATGCTAAAGTACCTGATACGATGATTCTATGCTAAAGTACCTGATACGAATGATCCCGTCAGAGGTGGATGAAAGCAGAGCTGTGACACACGTGCAAGGTTGTCCTGGATTGCACTTTGAGGTTTCTAGAAGCACAAAGCACAATATTGAACATTGTGTGCATCAGATCATCAGATGCGAAAGGAAAGCCCACACACTGTTACTGACTCGGCTCAGCCGCATTAGAGGTATGCACGCCATGACATGTGACATGCTGTAATAGGGCAATGGCTACCTCCCTCCCCCCCCCCCCCCCCCCCACACACACACACACCCGCGAGCAGGTATGGCATGAGAATACAGCCCGTTGGGGAGGGGAGCAATGTAGCAAGACGGGGCCACGGGTGGTCGGGTGGGGGATGTACTCCCTGGTAGCATAGCTTTGGTAAGACACTGTCTCAGTAAGACAGGGTGTAATAGTCAACCATGGCCATGGATCCTTCAGTTCTTTGCAACACTAATAATACTACATTGTAGGAGCACAGAGGCAGTATGCTTAGGTCTGCGAAAGTGCTCAATATTTGATTCAGGCAGAGCGGCGTACACAAAATGCACACAATGAAAACCTTGGGCAAATTCCGTTGCGACTCAGAGTTTCATGGCTGAACCAATCAGCCATCGTTGTCTGATGATTGGTTCAGCCATGAAACTCTGAGTCACAACGGAATTTGCCCAAGGTTTTCATTGTGTACATTGTAGTAGTAGGCAGAGCTACCACTGTTGACCCTACTTCAAATTGAGCATTTTTTTTAGTCATTTCGGCCAGTTGCCTACTATACTTCTTTGTTCATCTTGGGGGTTAGACAAGGGGAAGTAGTTAGCCAGGTAGGGGTGTGAGCCCGCCTTTCGGCACTGGGAGTTACTGAGTGAAGAGGACCCACACCTTGATCTGGTGGGCTGTTCGTGGGGATTTTGCAGTCAGATGTGCGACTGCGGGGCTCGAACTTGCGACCTCTTGGGTCGCAGGCAAGTGTGGATTGAGCATTCGGCTGATGATCAACTACTATTGTAAATTTGTAAGATATTTGTACCGCACTGGTACATGGTACTCGTGTCAAGAGTGAAATTAAAACCAGGGAGTAGTACCCCCTCCCCTCCCCCTCTAATTATGACCCGGGGGGGTTATAACGTGATAGCATACTAGTAGTTTATACTTATACACGTGTGTAGCTTATACACAGTCGTGGAGTCTTGATATCAAAGGTGCATGGTAGACTCTCATAGTCATACCTGGCCAGTCTTTCGAGCAGGTTGGGACATACGCCGATACGTGGACGATGCGTGCCATCTTAGGCGTCTCACTATGATGATGGTGACGACAGCGACTAGCACCTGAGCAAAGACATTTTGTAATTTGAGTGGAGATCGAAGAGTTGGAGTTGAGGAGAGATTGCGACTAGGCAAACAAGCCACTGGAACATAATGCTCTCCAGATCTGGCTAATGAATGTAGCTACGTGATAGCACTAACCCCAGCCGCTAGCGGGGCTACGTGGTAAGGCCACAGCTCCCTCGCGACGTCCTCATCGTCACTGTTCATGCTGATCAGCTCAAAACACTAAGGTCAGGGAACCGAGACAGCAAAAGGTATTACAATGTAGATCTACTAGTCAAATCATTGCAAAATATTCCAGTAAAATTATGTTGTTCATCGTGCACAGCCTGTACAAGTACAGTGCTGGCAACTGAAATCCGACCCCCTGAGCGGTGGGTTCACATTCTAGCGGTCTCTGTTTCGTAGTTTTGCCATCCCATGCATGCTGGCTCTTTGCCATGTGAGCGCACCGCTCAGGGGGTCGGATTTCCCAGCACTTTACTTACAAGACTATTCATCAGCCTACAGGCAGAAAATTTCGCCAGTCAATAATTTCCTCCAGGCTCCAACTCCAAAGAAAGGGAGTTCGTCCGGTTGAAAATTTCGTCCATGGATCACAAGAGTGTATTGAAAAGCTGGACAAATCGACATTAGTCCGGCATTTAATTTAGTCCAAAAGCTCCTTGGACGAAAAAGACGCTACATGACATTGTACACATGCTAGTCGTGTAGAATGTAGCTTTGTAGGCTGCTTACGTTTACGTGTTTTGTAACCTAGGCGATATGCCACAGCCGACGACGATGTATACGGTCATGATGTATTCCTCAACAAGCAGTTTACCTCTGTCGCGGTGCCTGATGACCCACGTTTAGTAATACCCCCTCTCCAATATGACACTCGTCTTACTCGCCAATTCACCCGCGTTCATATCACTACAGCAGATGTTCGTAAAGCCATCTCAAACCTGAAATCTGGGAAAGCGCCAGGGCTAGACGGTATCACGAACAATATGATAAAGAAGCTAGCTCCTGCGATTTCTTTTCCACTTAGCCGCCTATTTAACCTCTCCTTTACCACAGGCAAGTTCCCTACTGACTGGAAACTGGCTAAAATTGTGCCTGTTTACAAGTGCAAAGGCAGCAAATCTCAAGCTAGTAACTATCGCCCAATTTCCCTCCTGTCCTGTATTTCCAAACTTTGCGAACGGCTCTTCTTCAATCAATTGTATAATCATATTTCTCCTGCTCTGGATCCCGCGCAATCTGGGTTTCGTCGTGGTGACTCGACCGCTCTACAGCTCACCAAGCTGATCCAAAACATTGCCGACCATCGTCATATGGGGCGGAAAGTTGCCATGTGCTTTTTCGACCTCGAGAAAGCTTTCGACACCGTGTGGCACCGTGCATTACTTGCTAAACTTTCCAAAGTTTTCGGTGTGTGTGACTCAGCGCTGGAGTGGATTACAGACTACCTATCCGACAGAACGCAAGTTGTCTTTGTAGGTGGAACTCTCTCAGATGCTTCACCTGTTCTGTCCGGAGTGCCCCAGGGATCCATCCTAGGGCCCCTCCTTTTCCTAGTGTATATAAAATGATCTTCCCAGTCATGTTGAAGGCGTGTCCTTATTTGCTGACGATACTGCACTGCTCCGGTTCAATGAGTGTCTAGACAGGCTGCGAGACAGTCTCCAGCGCGGTATCAACGAAGTCCATCAGTGGATGACTACCTGGAGACTAAGACCTAATATCGCCAAGACTGAGATATTATTCCTGCCGAACTCAGAGCCAACCTATGCATTCACTCTTCCCGGATCCCTCACAGACCTCACAGTGGTAAAACAACACAAACATCTTGGTTTGGTCATTGACTCAGACTTATCGTTTAGTAGACATGTCGACTATATCTGTAGCAAAGTCAGTAAAGCTGTTGGCTACCTCGTGTCTCACTGCTCCCACCTACCGCTTGAATGCATTCGCCTTTTTTATCATTGCTATATTCTCCCCATTTTTCTCTATTGCTCAACCGCCTGGTCATCCCTACTTAGTAAATCGTTAATGAGTACCCTGGAAGTCCACAATAAGAGGATACTCAAAGTCCTTTTCCGCAAACCATCATACTTTCCTTCTGCCGAGCTGTATGATATGTTTAACACCTTCCCTATCTCTAGTCAAGCGGATCGAAAACTGTGTATTGTTGTTCATTCTATTCGTCTTGACAAAGCCCCGCCACACTTGCGTAAATATAACTGGTTTCTTCCCACTCGTCCTACGCGCAATCTCTGCACTTTACCTAAAGCCCGAACCTCAGCTTATACCAGATCTCCGTTTTTTGCTGCTTATTCTCTCTGGCTGGCCCTGCCTCTATCAGTAAAATCGTCTTGTACGCTAAAGGATTTCAAGGCCAACATGAAGCTCGTGTTCTAATAACTGCTATAGTACTGGGGCCAATTCAAAAAATCGACCTCTAAAATACATGCCTTGACACATGTTGGCTAACAAGGATTTTTCGGTGTTATTTGATAGATAATGTCTTCAAGAGTGTCTTGGCCCAGTATGGCGTGTCCAATCGCGTCCAAAGGTCCCGAAATCACCCTCGATAGGAATACAAAATTGCCGAAAAAACTAAGTTCTCATCGGCTATATTCAAGCATTTTCAAGACTTTCTCGGTACTATATTGACTGGACCGGGGAGTTTTTACCCTTTTATGTGCCAGGAGCTATAGTAACACCGTACATACACAGGATGCGAACCGACGCGTACACAGATTTTGTGCGAGAGTTGGAAAGATTGAGCATCAAGTAGTGTAGTTGTGACATACCAGAAATGTGTTACCTCGTTTGGACACTTTCTTCGAAGTTTTGCATTGACTCGCAGGCGCTTTTGCTGTCGGAACGTCCACGAATGGATCGATGCTAAATTCAGCAGAACCTTCATTACAATGTCATCTTGGCTCCCCGGAAAAGTAAGCATGATTCCAACAAGGAGCAGCAGAACAATTATGTGTGGAAAGCAGGGGAAAGTCAATATAGCTTGCCAAGCCAGTTGTAACTATTCATAGGACTAATCTACAACCGTGGAAAGTTTCAGACCTGGCTAACTTCATCGGGCTGGAATGAAGGCATTTACTTTGTGAGTACTGCTGCACAGGAGGTGTTACAGTGGACGAGCATTTGATTCAAATCTACAGGAGCGGCTAGTGTTAGTACCATGATTTGAACACACCGACCGTGGTGATCAGCTACCATTTGCACAAAAAAAGCCTATTTACCAGCTCAACAGCTCTAGGACAACTGCCTTAGGAGTGCCATGCTGCAGTGAGAGGGAGTAGCTATGTGGTGTGGATTGTTACAAAAACGAAATCCGAGTACCTGGAGGTAACCTATCCCAATATGCAACACCAGCAGTAGAAGAATAATTTCCTTGTCACAGAATTTGATGGCTGGGCCTAGGCAGTGTGAAACTACAGTTATACTTATAAAACACTAACTGCAAGAAAGAGTCCGATGTCCAATGTCATGGCTTGTCTCTCCTGAACTGATCACGGCACGTAGTTGATGCGATTCAAGAGCGGCGGTGAAGAGGGAAAACAAGTTCATATAATACCTCATGTACTAGTGGCTAAAGAATTGTCCCTGACAGCAGAGCCAATAGTGATGGTGTAGGTGGCGGAGTAGAGATGGGCTCAGCTGTACGGCGCAGAGTTTCCAAAGCTCAGACGGAAGAACAAATTCAGTTAAAGTGAAACACATGGAAGTGAAAGTATTCGCATCACAATGTTGGGATGGATCAGCTTTTTAAACTGCAGCTATTCACCTGTGAGCGTTGTCCAACTGCAGCCTTGAAGTCTTTTCAAAGCATTTAAGTATAGTGACAAGCTAGCCAATGTTTGAACTGTTTAATATCTACAAGTATGCAAAGGATTTTGGTATTTTCATTTTCATCATTTTTCGTTACAGCACTGCCATCGCATACAAAATTAAAAGTGTTGTCCTTCTTACATTGCTGCGAGATCTATCGTATTATCTCCACGTACTTCGAGTAAATTAATTCAGGTTGCAACTGTCCTATAGCACTTCTTTCCTTAGACTCTGACAGTTTCCTACCACCTTTTTCTTCTCCTGTTAGTACTCAGTGGGTTACAATACCTATTCTCTCAGTTGAAGTGTAATACGGAACCGTCTGACGCTTCTCTCGTGTTTGCAGTCTGATAATAATGCATGCCTGTAAATAGTCTCATGTACCTGCTAGCCGCACATGCATGTACACGTACCTCAATGCTAACATTCGACGCGACATGTAATAATACATGTACATGTCCAATAGCCAAGTTTCACTGCACTTTGGAAATTTTGTTTTGACACTGTAAAAGTACAGTACTTGTCGCCGTACTGTATCTACTGCTTATTCTGAGCAAAATGAGGTGCTACTTGGCCATATACATGTCAGTAAAAATGGATATAGGAGCAATTCTAGTTAGGTTGCCATGGTATTAACGGCCTTTTTCTATTTTGATGTTTTTCACCATGTTCGGACACAATTCGGCAATCGAAACCTTTGCCATTGTGTTCAGGAGGCAAAAACCATCCAGGAATGATCATAAAATCCATGTTAGCAAACATGTGCCAAGTAAAAGTGAGAAATTTCAAATGGGCCCTAGGACTACTAGTTCTTCATCCACATTTGTTTCTCTTTGCCTCCAGTAATGTGTAATATTTATTTATTTTTGCTTTGTTTTTGTTTACTGCCATGGCTGGCTACCGCCCCCCTCCCTCCATATTGGCCTATATTCTCTGGCCACGGGAAGGTGAAATAAATAAATAAATAAAAATAAATAAATTAGGAGTCAGGTGGTCGCTCGACGCTCGCAGAAGCGCACAAAATGAAGATGACGATGCCGGGTGAAGCCCCCCCCCCCCCCCCCCCCCTCTCTCTCTCACTCTGTCTGCGTTTCTCGCTTACCCGGTATTATTATTTTAATATTATGTCACTAACAAAGTTGAAGGGGGGGGGGGGAGGGGGGGGTCCTACCGTGACCATGGTGACAGTACCCAATAAGGCTGAGGCTATGGCCATAGGTCCATTACGTGTAAGCACAACACACCCACCCACTGGACGCTGCACAGAACTATGCCATGGATCAGCTTTTCCAACAATATTTCCATCACTTTGACCACCGTACTAGTACAAAGGCAGAAGAGACAGAGACAACCGGCTACATTGCAAGTCATTATATTGTAACGCTGCGTTTCATCAAGAGTACATGACCTGGTTATGGACAATCAGTCATGTACTCTTGGTTTCATGCACATACTCGTACACATAGTAAAGCTAAGGCAATCCTCAGACAACTGAGACTATGTGGCAACGATCCTTGTGGTGTTGAGCACTCTGGTAGGAATTCTCGGTATTGTGACTATTGTACTATCATGCATTTCCTTTACAGCCCGCCCAGTCCTTCAGTACTCAAGATCCCTGGGGCTAGCCCTTCGGCACAAACGATCTCTGGGACTGTGGATGCAGCAAGTGGCATGCATACACACAAGCAACACTGGCACACACTCATGTCTAGCCTTGCACGTACATGCGTTGCATGTACTTGCATTGGTGTAATTGAAATGCTATTCATCAGCCAGAATCATCACGGCTTTCATGTCTCCTCGAAATAATACACAGAGACTGGATATGGCCCTTTCCTATAAGACGAGACTGGCCGTTTGTATGCACTGTAATTATAGTTGAAAAAGGGAGGAAAATGGAAATAGCGTCTAGTAAAAAATTAATACTACTTGTAAAAAAATACTCTGAAGATAGGTACATTGTGCGAGATCCGGTCGAAAAAGGTCATTCACGATAGTGTGGATTGATTTCTGGACAGACGGGAACTGATAAAATAAAGGCACCGGTCCAAGCCAGCTTGGGTCATGTCAGGGTTAAAAAACTAAAAAACATCACAAGAAACAGGAGAAGGGTTGGGTCAGGCCACTGGACATAATAAAACGGTTCACTGAGGATTTGCATGCCGATGATTAGGCTCAGGCAGGAGAGGAAAAAAAACGATCAAACAAATCAAACCAGCTCTATCCATGTGGCTACAGATATCCCTGCCATCCATTCAGCAGAAGAAATAGGGTACCAAACAAGACGAGAAACATGCTGAGCGCCACACACCAGCATCAGAAGTGAGCGACACAGCGCTGCCTAAAAATAACATATTTTTTCAATACTCGGAGGCTCAGAGTATTCTGATTAAAATGTTGATAGGTACACCTGCCCCACCAAGCACTTCACCTTGAAAGAAGAATCGAAACGCAGGTAGCAACAGCGGCAGAGGGCTATCACTCGGGAAGTGGCCTAGAGGATCGACCTCCCTAGCATAGTGTTCACCCTCGTCTTACGCTGTCTTGCCAGTGCGCCCAACAAACTTATCCATGAAATGGGTGACACCGAAGAAATCAGCAATCAAGAAATAGGCCGAAGTTGGCATTATCCTGTACACGACAGAAAGACAAAGACAAACCACACAGAGCCTTCTTCACTTCAGTCAACAAGAGAAGTCACAGCAAATACAAGTTCAGTTACCAGTTGGCGTGGGAAAAACATTCCTAATATACATAAAAGATGGTTCCATTCCATGGCCTCAACTACTTACATGAAGTTGGTTGTTCCAACGAGGAACACACGCTTCTCGTTGGAACAACCAACTTCATGACTAATACCGCCGAAGTCGCAACTTCTAAGTTCAACTACATGTACTTACATGCAAATCAATACAATAGTTACTATTTGAGAGGTTCTGCTTCACGTAAATCGTAGAGAAATCACGTAAAGAATAGGTGTTTGGGTTAGAGTCACGGCTAAATGTGTTTTGGGTAGAGATTTCTACGCGGAGATGAGATTCGTTGTGGCACTGGCAAAGAAAATGTGTACGGATCTGCTGCGTAGCTTTCAAATTCAGGAGAAATTGCCAAATTCGGGACGGGGATTCCCGGTGCATATTCCACGCGATCTACCGTAATGTCGCGTATAAAAGCAGGTGCTTAGGGCCGTATAAGCCGGGGTTCAAACCATGCTTCTATTCAAAACATGCTTCTACGTCAACATCTTCAGTCTACACTGTACAGTGCACATTGTCCTGCATGTAGTGTGCACATACATGTACTTGCATGTATGCTTCTATCAAGAGTACATACCCCCCCCCCCCCCCCCCCCCCCCAGAGTGTGCAACGCCGATCCAGCTCTGCATAGGGTCTTGGTCGAGCGGAATCGGATCTTCTGATGTCATGCATACACTCCACACCAGCGCAAGGCCGGTCTCGAGGCAGGGCACCATTGTTTTTGATCCAAGAGTACCCGCGACTCCCCGGGTTCCCCTCAGATGTGTACCGTATTATGACGCAAAGATCCGATTCCGCTCGACCAAGACCCTATGCAGAGCTAGATCAGGCGTTGCACACTCTGGGGGGGTTATGTACTCTTGCTTCTATTCAAATCGTGCATCTGTGTCACGGCGCTCTTCAAAAAATCGGCTTCTATTTGAGTCCTGCTTCTATACGGGTCATGCTTTTATACGCGACACTACAGTATGCGTGAATATAGAGCAGAACAGGTTTTTGCATACATGTACGTCACGGGATTGTGAAGAGTGATCAAGGGATTCTTCACATCATGTTCTCGTAACGAAGAGCAGACCATTTCTATTATTTTAGAAAAACTGCCTGCACACACTGGTAACTTCAACACATGAGGTACAGCCCTATATTCATGCACAAACTCGCCCTCAGCATAACCACCAAATTGACGAAAGCAGAACTTACGCTTTGAGTACAACAAAGGCAAATAGGATGCGTGGCATAAGCAAGAGCTGGGCGTCAGTCAACACACTGTCGACAATGCGGCGAGATGCATACTCCGGAGTGAGCGGTGGAATGAGCCAGTCGAAACTGCAGCAAGAACAGAGAAACGCACACAGAGATTAACATTATGGCATAAGTCACATAACCGCTGCAGTGGCAAGCTGTGCGTGGTACATTGTGATAGAGTGTGACATGCCTAACAGGCTAACAGCAATACGGGTTTAAGGTCACAATCAAGCCTCACTCGCTGCACCCAAGTGATTCATTTACATTGACCCCATATGATCTTCAGTGAAAGTCAATGAAATGACAGAAATGTGCAAACCAGTAGAGCCCGATTCAACACTTGGAGACATCAAAGACCGGAGGAGACATTGGCCAACGCAGAGAAATATTGTAGGGTCACTGCTCACCGTGATGCAGCACCTTCAAACATTCCCGTCTTGACCAGGTACGGGCACACCACGGTAGTCTTCACGCCAGTCTTATTCTTAGAATGCAGTTCCATTGTCAGAGACTCGTTGAGGCCAACCGCAGCAAACTTGCTCGAGCAATAGTCGATCAGACCATTCACGCCAAAGAAGCCAGCACTAGATGCGACCGTGACAATGTGGCCATGGTTGTTCGTCAACATGAATGGCAAGAAAGCCTTGAGAGTCTGTCAACATAGAAGAGGGACACAAGAATACGCCCCACTCAGACACCTTCAGAAAGATATTAGAAAAAACAACTCCAGTCAACTTCGCTAATAAGGGACCATCGCAAAAGTTCGCAGAAGCCCCTGAAACGAAGAGCATACGTTTGGGGGGGGGGGGGGGGGGGGGGGGAGGGAGTCGGTGTCGAAAATCGCAAACCGGGCTTCAATTCAAAAAAGTATTGACGACATGTAGGAGCTGATATAGATTAGCATGCTCAAAGGATACAACTGCATAGCTCTAGCTGTTCTCGTTCTTAGATCACCCACTGCAAGGTGATATCATCGTTGCATTTATAAAGTGCTGTACATTGTTACACACTGATACAACAATGCTTGTGTAGTATATTATAATAATTATTATGTGTGAGCATCCAAGTGAAATAATGAAGCCCATATTGTGACTGTCGTTTCGTTTGAGGGGGGAGGGAGGGGGGTCAGGCCCGAAACTAACGGTCTTCGTTTCGGGGGCTTCTGCGAACTTTTGCGATGGTCCCTAACGACTGCGGATATAACGATAGAATTTCCATGCCCTGAGTAAAGTCCCAGCCGACTGTAATACACATAATGAGACTTCGGGTATAACGACTCTTCGCGAATAAGGACACTTTTCTGATGCCCCGCCGAGTGTCGTTATAAGCGAAGTTGAGTGTACAGTACAAATAGGCGTCTTGGGATCACTTATTATCTATAGCTACACATACTTTTGCGCTGGTTGCTCCCAAGCTTCCTAGCTACACGGACACATTATAGTTATACTGAAGCTACTGCATCAAATTTTTAAAAATGACTTCATCCTGGAAAACTGGACAAAGCTCGCCACTACATGTACACGTATTTCATGGTTGCATCATTCCATCCCCGGAGGATGCACCATCAATCCATCATGTGCACCAACGTCCAGCCGGGGCCTGGTGGCCACATCCACCTCCTACAGTCCTGTCGGGTGCCGAAGAACGAACAGGCTAGAATTTCACTATCAGCACAGCATACCGATGACATACACGGTGACTCGACTGCGCATAGACCATACATACATGAAAATAAGAACGGCCCAGGATACGAGGCTGACCTCCCCAATTCTTCGGAACCCGACAGTGCTGTCCTGTGTTACCACGGTGCGCACACAGGCATACATTTGAAATTCGAGTATATTTCGGGACACAAAAAAACAAGATTTCAGGACTTTTTCAGGCATATCTTCAGCCGACCAATCATAGACGCACACGCCACAGCAAACAACCGCAGCCGAAGAAGTCCAGCACTCTCGCGTATCTTCCACGTACTTGATGGCCAGAGTGCATGCACATAGTGTTGACTCTGCTGCTGTGACACGCTTGAAGTATACACTACAGTGACCATGCTGACTCTCGATCACAGGGTACAATCCATCCCCAAGCGAGCAAAAAAGAGATCTCTGCCACTACTCAAGACTTATAGACCCCTAGATTTTTTTTGAATATTTCAAAGTTGGTTTGAATCTGCGAGAAATTTCTTCAGGATATTGCTCAGGCAATCCCTCCCCCCCCCAGACCAATTTTTCCTCATATAGATTCCCAAGCGATTGGATAACAAACGCCCAATTTCGGAAATTTTATGCACAAAATGGTCACAGATTTTATGTGGTATAGATACTGGCAAGAGTGCATAAACAAGAGTATGCAACTGTGGTTAAGGGTCAGTGTGCGGCGCGCTGCCTTCATTACGTAACTTGCCTCCATCACGTTCTGAAAGCATGCACTCAAACCACAATTTCTGGTACACGCCCATCCGTTTTTGCTCGATTCGTTCCAGCACCTACGCGATCTCTAAATTTTGGCGCGTGAACTCCAGTTCCGTACGAACGTTCATGGCAAACCAGAGGGAAAGTGAGCGGTTTGATTTTCCGCAGTGCGCAAACTGCAGCTGAATGATGTCATGAAGGCAGCGCGCCGCACATCTGGCCCATAGAAAAGAGATCACAGTTGCATACTCTTGTTTATGGACTCTTGATGCTGGCCTAACGGGTTTTTGAAACCAGAGGTCTATACTTTTGAAATGCACTATAGGGTGCGTTCTAATTTTCTCTAGCTTCTCGGAGAAATATCTCCTGGAAGTTGAAGAAACAGGAAAAACTTTAGGGATGCGTCTCGAAGAATTTGGAGATCTTTTGCACATACGAAGCGCCAAAAGGAGTGACGCGAATGTAGTACGCACTATACTATATCATATATAAACCCGCAACAAAAAAGACGCTCATGATCCACAAGTGGCTTTCAGCAGTAGGTCGCATGCACTGACTCCAAAACATGGGAATCTCCAAGTTTTAGCCAGCCACCTTTGCAGCTTGGAGAGCTTTGGAGAGTCTCCTAAAATTCAGAGAGGATAATTATAAGAGCAGTTCTCCAACTTTTCCGAGAGGATCTTAGAATTCACCCTGTTGCGGAATGAGGCTGTTTTATTGAAGTTCGCATTTGCTGATGTGTACGAGTCATTGTTGCAGTCTGGTTTCAGTGGCATTGGCCTCAATGTTACTCTATTTCGTGAGAGATTGATGGCCACGTGTGGAAGCAGTGTCTCTGTACACCAAGTTGGTACAGGCTGTGTCATCGAGCGGGCGGATGGCAATACACGGCTTGCACTACATAAGGCACTTCAGCAGGCAGCACGGACTAAGCTACCACCCAGTACAGCTGATTTGACAGACACCGAGCGGCTCAAACGTATCCTCTACAGCCAAGCCGACCAATGGGCGGGGAGAAGTGACTATTCTAACTACTGTCAGATCAACATGGACGACATCGTCAGGTCCATTCACCCTGACCTGTGGAAGATTGTCTGGGAGCTAACATGCCCGCGCCGGCGCCTAGGTTCACTACACCAGGACATTCTCAGAAGTCAGTGTGGCGAGGGCGCATCCCAGGAGAAGCGGAGAATGTCAGTATTCGTTGTCATGTGCTGCCTTACTCACATCATCAACACCCAGTGTCACTACCCGCCACACGTGGTGGTCGCAGATTTCGTGGACAGCCACAGTTCCAGCTCTTTGCTACTAAAATCCCTCACGCACTTTGGAGCTTGTTGCAGCGTGGGCAGCTTGGAATGCCTGAAGGGCCATGCTATTGCTTGTCACGCAACGGGCGGATTGAAAGACCAGTTGCCGTTACATGCGTTCAACTTTACGACCATTGATAATATTGACAGAGGTGCACCTGGCAAACGGATCAGTGCAGCAAGTGAAAGGAGTGTATTCCATGGCACAAGCATACAGAATGTGGCCCCTCTTCCAGTAACGTGTAAGTCTGATAGCAGTGGTTGTTCTACATCATTGACGGACACGGACAGGTCAGCCATACGTGAAGCCTTTTTTCAGCTAAACACCTTCTTCAGCGACAGCCAACACAAGTGAAGACTTTGCGGCCCACCAAGTTCAGCTTCATCGGCCCTCACGAGCTAACGCCGTGGACCTGTCTATGGATGCACTGTGTCTGTCTGAACAGGAGAATGTTGCTACTGTCGCAGCATGTGACTGTGTTCACCAGTATATGCTGTCGTCAATGTCTAGTACTCCTGAGATGTCGCTGAAGAAGTTCTTTGCAAAGGAGCTTGGTCTGAAGGCAGAATCCCTTTCTGAGCAATCTGTGATCACACCCGTGGCCTGATCCACCCGATAGGATTGACACTATCAAGTCAATTCTGGATCAGCTGCAGGCTCTGACAATATTATGGAGCATCGCTAGATTGGCTGCTGCCATACATTGGAGACTGGCACCTACTCAAAGCACTGCGACCAGTCCTTCTAAAGATTTACTACCATGCTGGCCTAAAGGAAATGGCATCAGCAGCTGGTCACAATGGAGGAAACCTTACCGCACTTGAATGGTGTAGCTCCTTCAAGCATGCACACATCTTTCTGATGGAAGCATTTCAAGCAGTGTATCAGTACCTTCTTGAAAATGTAGCCAGATGCAGCAGAGATTCATTTTTAGCTTTCACAAGTGGTCTTGCTCACATGTGCAAGGAAGATGTAACGGCTCAGCTAAGGGTGGACTTTGTAACACAAGACTGCCTGCAGTACGTTCTGCTGTGGTTGTCAATTCCCTGTGGCCAGTGGAAACGTGTCTAAAAAACATGGAGCACCATCTAATTTGATGTTAAAACGTAATACCGGGAATTTTTTAGGTATATTTTAGGGTTTTCAAGGTCTGTGCGGACCCTGATTACAGTTAATCTGCACAGGCACGCGCCAACCTCTCCTTACCCACAGATGTGAGGTGGTGTTGACATCCATGAGCAGCTGGATTCTCTCGTCCGGTGTGTTCAGCAGGTTGGTACCGTTGACCAGCCCGGCATTGTTTATCAGAATGGTGACATCACCCACTTCCTGGCGCACCTAGTCAGTGGGTTCAGAAGATAACACCAAAAGCGAGCTTCAGTGCACCATCGTACATTCACTCAGTCAGAACAGCATAGCAATAAGACAAACAAAAACGCTGGATTTTACCCAGGATGACATCATCCCTCATGATGCCCTCCTGGGTGAAAATTCGGATACAATTTGTTTGTATGGTCTAGCCAAGGACTGTGTATATGTTGCGAGTTGGACGTTAATTGGAAAGAGAGAAACAGTGGTATCATAACGTAGTCTTATGGTTCTTATACGGTTATCCAAGGCAATAGACTGTGCACAGAAGAGAGAGAGGGGGGGGGGGGGGGGGCAGGGCACATGTGAGGTCAGTAGTCCAACTTACTTTTTCTGCGGCATCGAATACTTCCTGTCGCTTGCTGACATCCACCACATACGAAAAGATCTGCGTGTTCTTGCCGGAGCTCTTGATTTCTGCCACAACACTGTCCATCGCATTCTTATTCACGTCCCAGATGACGATGGAAGCATTCAGCTTGGCAAACTGAATTGCCATCAGCCTGCCCATACCCATTCCACCACCAGTTATCAGCACCACCTAACAACACACACATTTAAAGAATAAAAGAAAAAGGGACCAAGGAACTACAAGTATAAATCAATTATAAATTAATCCTTGGCTCTCCATCTGAGTACATTTAAATAAAATAGTGAAAAAACCAAAGACTTTCATAAACCGCACAGAGGCAACAATCAAGCAATCGGATGCTGTCATAATTATGATTGCAGGAGTTGATGAAAAGGATAACAAAAATTACAACCATCTCTGGTTTTCACAACTGCAGTGATGACGTACGGCATTGTGTAAAGCACATGATATTTACAAGGATTATAGTCATAAGTCTGAGGGACAGATTATATTTTTTCATATTATATTTCGTTGGGGAGATGAAAACGAACACTAAAAGTTTGTTCGCCATGCCAGGGTCGTGCACGGCACTCGCTAGGATTCACAGTATGGCGCAGCGGTTGCACTTGACCGCACGAGTGCAGGAGTCGGATTTCACTTGCCATCACGGTAGCATGAATGGCACAATGCTAACCACATGTAGTTGCTAACCACAGGTGCATTGACAACCATGTAGTTGCTAACCACAGATGCATTGACAAACATGTAGTTGCTAACCACAGGTGCATTGACAAGCATGTAGTTGCTAACCACAGGTGCATTGACAAACATGTAGTTGCTAACCACAGGTGCATTGACAAAGAATGTCAAGAAATTTAATAGTGCATGCTCTACATAGACAACAATGCTAATGGTTTTACCGTAATATGATCTACAGTACAGGGAAAGAACAGGGTCGGATCGTGAGAGTGATACTTCAGATTTTAGTTTCATAATTTATCTGAACAGCACTACATGTAGTAAGTTAGTTGTGCACTGCAAGGGAAAAACAATGATCAATGCATTGAAAGAAATACACACCACCAGCACACTATATCTACAGTGAAACTCAGGTACTAGAATCTACAGCACTGATCAGTACGTACTTCTCCAGCCACATCCTTCTTAGATTTGGGAAGGAGCCATTTCAGCGGCGAGAAAACAAACGTGAGAAACAGCAACTTGACGAAGAAGGAGATGAATTCAAAGAATAGGCGGATTGCCTGCAACATTTTTGATTCGGATCACACCACGTCTTTCCTCTTTAGTTAGCACTAGCAGACTATGATTCAGGATTTTTACTTGTAGACACAGCTCAAAGATCTACCAGACAATTTGACATCTAACTCTCTACCTCTCTGGGAGAACAGCGTCAAGACGACTTTGTCACTACAACCTGGCGAATATGTTGAGCACACTACACATCTTGCTCAGTATTGACCCTTGTCTGTCAAAAACTTGGAAAATCTCTGAAGTCGGATCTGCTGTCATCAAACAAGCTAGCTGCATGCACAAGATCAATACAAGACTCACAGTCACCGAGTCACCGCCGGTCACCTCGTCCTTGCAGTTGCATCATAATCCATGAATGCATGATGTCAGGTGGGCCGCGGGCATGCGCAATTGCGCATGCGGCACGTGCCTCGTCTGACGTCACGTATACTACTACGTCGTTCACACTCACAGAGGTCATCAGACGTTACCAGTGGTTACGTTGACAGTTCAACGACGACGGACTGACGTTCCAGAAAGGGACCAAATCCGATACTAGTATCCGGGAAATTCAAAATAATTCAAAAAATGCTGTTGCCGGTTTCGGTTGCAACCAGAGCTGGGCGGCTTCTTTGCAACAAGGAGAACGTTTCTTGTAGAGAAGAGGGAGATTTTTGGGATTGAAAAACCTTGTGTAGTTCTAGGTAAAGAGGAAATCCGAGCCTTTTTACCACTTGGCTCGTCTCCAATTTCTGTCGTAGCAGCTGTTATGGATATTCTGGATAGTTCCTGTGTCTCAACCAACTCAGCTGTCAGAATAAACATCTACGAGAAGCTGTCCTCCATGGGAGTGGCGCTCCCAGATGAAGGAACGCTACATCTTCGGTCCTCTTTAGAGGATTCTTCAATAACATCTCCGGTGACCACTCCAAAGCCTAAGAAGAGACGAGTAAGTAGCATCTCCCGTTTCGAATCCGATTTTGTTCAATCGCCAGCTGCTTTCGCAAAGTTTGCTCCAACATACAATGTATGCCGTGGAGCGGAGTGAAGTCTCCGTGTGTCAATCTGTTGAATACATGTAATCGGCGGACATACCGAATGTAATCGTGCGGGTTGCCTGTACTCGGGTACTTGTCTTTCATCCAATCAGTTCAGCTGCAAATCGAGACCCTCTGCAATTATTTGAATCTGGAGTTCCAACTCGGGACATCCGCTGAGCGCTGGTGGATGATTGGGTGTTTCTCTTTCCCAAGGGTTTACATGAAAGTCCATGCATGGGATGTGTGTTTTTTGCATTCTGCAAGTCATTGAAATGGGGTGAAAGAATTATTTGCGATGGGCAAGAATCTCTGCTGATTTCTTGTTCTACTCTTTCTTATCTTGTATTTAAATAATCGACGTGGAGACAACAATTTTATAATAGCAATAAAGAGAACAAATTCTGCAGTCATCGCCACGCTACAACGAAGTCATGAAAGTTTACCAGAATTAATTTTCTTGTCACATTCATCAGTGGAAAGTCGTGACTGAAGAGTAACCATGCTGAACAATGATTAAATATACATTCAATGATGTGTTACGAGAACAAAATACAGTGCCAAAATAGAATGAGGGAAGGTGAGACAATAGAAGTGAAGTGAGAGCTAAGTGCAACGGCGGGTGAGAAACTATTAATTATAACGCTTGTATTTCTTACTATTTCTTGTGATTGTATAAATGGCACACCCAGAGCCTAGGCTCAGTGCAGTGTTGGTAGACACTGGTGTTCTGCAGCTTTGGTGTGATCATCAGTTGAATGTTCATTCAGTGTGGCATGACTTATGATCGTGTGGCATGACTTATGATCATGGGTCATGGGACAGGATATCATATAGCGCCTCACCGTCACGGTAGATGATAAATAGGATGAAGGAAACATGGACAAACCTGTAAAGTAAAATGTCGGTGCACCGACTGCCATCGTCATTACTCTTTGCTTTCTTGTACACGTGTGCAAGCCTTGAAACTCTCTTTCTAATCACAGGAAAATGTACATCATTACTGTTCAAGCTGCGACGCTGTTCTGATTGGACATCATGTCACATGCACTTGATACAGCTATACACACATTCTCAATTAATGAAAATACAATGTGGTGTGCAATCACCGAAATAGCCTGCAGTATGAACATAAAATCCATCATCAAAAGTTTGGCTGTAGGTGCACCCCTCCCCTTCCAGGTTTCGCAAGGTCTGAACTGATCTGTCCCTGCACATTTCCATATACGAAGCACAGCGTGCACTTGGAATTTTAGAGCCTAAAGCATCATGCTATCTACTGTTGTGGACATGGAAATCCGGTCACACGTCTAGCGGCCCCATGGCGCTGGCCATGCAGCCGTGGATAAACGGTGCACACATGCATTTTTATGCGCTGCAGCGCGCTGGGCGCATCGGATCAACATGTGCACTGCATGCGCGCAGCGGTCTGTACACGCTGAGGGCGCCGGCCCCGGTCAATCGACTGGATTTCCATGTCCGCTATAGTATGTGTACACGTGTGGTCCCAGAAAATACGACAGTCATTACTCAGATAACAACATGTTAGATGCGGTGTGTGTGTGTGCCGTACCACTATGGAGCTGTGTCAAAGAGAGTTGCTGTGGAGGGCAAAGTGCAATGCTACTTGCCCTATATCACGTGAAAGAAAAGTAGAACCCGGAAAGGTTAAGGCGGCTCGAAAAGAGTGCTCCATGTCCAAAGCCATACCGGGTCTCATCAAAGCAATTTTTCTGTTGATTGTGCATGGATTCTAGAATACAGTGTGAGCTGTAACTTTCCTGTCCTGCTACTTGAAAAGAGAGTAATGCTTCTCAACTGGTTCTGCACCTTTGCCTGTTTGATAATGTTCATGTGCAGATGACCGTGAACGAGCGTGAGTGCTGTTTTGGCGTGGCCCTCCCCGAAACGAATCACCTGGCAATGGTGAGACTGGACGAGAAGACCACAGCACGAGTGCCAGGGTAAGAACTGCACCACAGTCACTGATGCCTGTCTCGCTATCTGGTTTCATCTTGCCACTAACGCCTGATTTCGAATGTACATGTGCATGGTTGTGATCACCAGGTGCAGGCTGCAGGTCACTTGCAGGTCACTTGTATGCATTTCTTCTACATACATACATGTATACAGTCATGTACATGTATACACTGACTGCACTCTTGATAAGTTGATATATTCTATTGTGCAATGCTACACTGCATGACTTGGTCATCTGCTAGGACGTACCACGCACACGGGCAGGCTGCTGGCGTGTGTGCTCTGCGTGTCGGCTGGATCGTCGATTGAGACACTGCACGGGCTTAGCAGTGTTTTCCCCCCACATGGCTACTGTTTGTGCTTACTGCAGAGCGCTGGTGACAATGGTGGAGTTTCTTGAGGAGCACATACAAATGGAGGGCATTTTTCGCAAGACCGGCTCCCTACCTCGTCAGAAGCAGTTGCGGGTGAGCTCTCTTTCGTGCCTCAATGTTGAAATCTGATGCTGCATTGCAGGGTCTCACGACCATAGCAGAGACACTTGGCACTAAACGCAGACTCAATTGTAACAATTTAACAAACGCATAATGTCAGTATATGTTGCCGGGTGATTGCTTGTACGGTATGTGTGTTTTATCCATGAAACCTGAAAACTGTGGTCAAACATCTCGCATTCTATGACACAATATTATTCTGGTGTTTTTTGCACGTTGAAGATTTACACGAACTCATATAACCTGTGCACTTTGCACATCACTATAAAATTCCACGGGGCCTATTGTTTACATTCCGCCTTCCACGCTTTCTCCGGTGCAGTGACTATCCAGTGCTAACCCTGTTGTGTTTTGCCTGCTCGGCACAGGTTCAACTTTGCCGGGAGTGTTATTTGCAGGAAGATGCATCGGCCCACGATATTGCAAACCTCCTGAAGGTCTACTTCCGTGAGCTGCCCATCTGCCTCTTCTTAAATCAGCTGCTGAGTTCGTTTATTTTCGTCGCTCACAATTTCCAGCACTCGCCGACGCTGATGGATCGACTACTGCTGGACTTGTGTTTGCTGTTGCCGGAAAGTCATCAGTTTGTCCTCCAGTACACATTACAGTAAGCACCGGTGTATGCATCTGCAAAACTCTTTGTTGGTATTTGGCTCTTCACGGCCGGGGCAAGCGACAGCATGTCACAATAATCACGTTTATATAGGCTGCATTGTGTTGGCGTCTTCTCTCCAGGGCTGAGAATTGTTCTAGCATATAGATACTAAGTACTGTACTGTGCATTGCAGAAGTGCTCTGTGGGGTCTTCTGGCAAGAAATCCGTACTGAAATCTTCACACAGCTTTTACCAGGCTGGTGTGTCCAGTACAGTACTGAGTAAAGAGAGAGATTTTGCAGAGCGAACGTTCGCGCGAATTTTCGTTTGACGTCACGAAAAGCGAAACTTCGTGCGAACGTTTGCAGTTTTGAACGCGAAAGTTGCAGGAAACGCGAAACAAACTTTCGCAGTAATTTTCGCTCTTTGTGGACCGCTGGTCAGCCTGGTGCACGGTGAGCGACCCTCAATCTTCATGTTTGTGCTGGATCTCTACTCTTGGCTTGGTCCGCGAGTGCTAGCTTCCCGATACTTTTGGCAGCCCGTGTTGTTTCATCTCCAGAACCATCTCCGATCTCCTGCTTGCTCGTCTTCTCACTGCTCAGAATCGGTTACATCAATGATGCCTTTTTGAATCTCAGGTGTTGATGCGCAAGATTACGGCACAAGCCAACCCGGCCCGTTTGTCTGTGGGTCTCCGGCCATGGACAACGTAGTCAAAGAGCTCTCGTCTCAGGCCGTGACTCAGGCAGGGTACCTGGTGCGCGTGCCGCCACTCGCGACAAACAAATAATCGGATGGAGAACACTTCTCAAAAACAAGCGAGTGCACACGAAATTTTCTTGGAGCGAGAAACATGCAAACATTCGCAGTAATTTTCGCTCTTTGTGGACTGTTCGTGTGCGGTGAGCCACCCTCAATCCTCATGTTTGTGCTTGATCTCTACTCTTGGCTTGGTCCGCGGGTGCTAGCTTTCCTATACTTGTGGCAGCCCGTGTTGCTTCATCTCCGGAACCATCCCCGATCTCCTGCCTGCTCGTCTTCTCACTGCACAGAGTCGGTTACATCAACAATGCCTTTTTGAATTTCAGGTGTTGATGCGCCAGATTACGGCACAAGCCAACCCGTTTGTCTGTGAGTCTCCGGCCATGGACAAGGTAGTCAAAGAGCTCTCGTCTCAGGCCATGACTCAGGGTGCCGTCACTCGCAACAACAAAATAATCGGATGAAGACCACTTCTCAAACAAGCGAGTGCACGCGAAAATTCCTTGGAGCGAAAAACATGCAAAACACAAATTTCGCGCCAACGTTCGCAATAGTTTTCGCAACCCGGAACGCGAAAATCATTGCGAACGTTCGCTCTGCAAAACCTCTCTAAGGATTGCTTGGGTGGTGGCTTGGTGAACTTGCTGTGTATGGTGGAGTGCAGTCTGAAATACATTGAACTCTCTTCATGGCCTCACATTGCACTATGGCCCACACAGAGTCAGGTGCAAGCAGCCAGATCAGGCGAGGTTGAAGGAGTTCCCCTTAGATCGGGATGTGCTTTTGAACTCGGTATCAATGCGCGGATGGCGTAAATTTCTGAGACGAATATTGCCTTTTCACCTTTCCAGGTTTTTCTACAGGGTATCGCGGGAGTCAGAAAGCAATCTCATGGATCTTGACAACCTAGCCGTGGTACTAACACCCAATCTCATGCCATCGATGGACGCTGCGTGTCCAGACTTGGAACTCAGAACAACGGTCGTAAAGATCCTTATTCGCCAATCGCGGTGGCTATCACGACGGAGGCGCGAGGTCCTGCGCGGAAATCTCGACCGCGTTCAGTCTCTTTCGAGTCTGAAGAGCGGTACTAGTGAGGATTCCATGTCGCACAAAGCCAGGAAAATCCGACGACGACCATCTTTCAAAGGTACGTTATCTTACTTACTGGGGTAGCTTTAATTTTCTGCGTCCGTGCCGTGATCTCTAGGGTCAGAAGTGGTGTTTACAAGTAAGTGCAATGACCTCTAGGGCCAGGGGTGGTGTGTAAGCGCAATGCATGCAGCTATTATTCTGACTTGGTGTACTGTTGTGCGAGATTGCAAGGGAAGGAGACTTTATTGTAAAAAATATATAAAAAAGGACCAAGGACCTACAAGCTACGCTATAATGTCCACTAACACCGCCAGTTACTTAACAATGAGCTCATGCGATAACATCGCACGGCACTGACACTTTTCTTTACTATAAGTTAATCCTTGGCTCTCCATCCAAACGAGACTTTGTGATAATTTCTTTTGTTGTTGACTTTTTCTCTCGCTCCATCCAGATCTCGGCCACATGGCGATACGAAAAGGGTACGTCCATAAATCCATAATTAGACTTGTTTCTCAGGATTGATTGGTAGGAGTTGCATTTGCCCCATGATCCTAGAGGTTGGTTGTATTCCTGCTGATTCAGAAACGTCTAATCTGACTGACCCTCGTGCAAATATTATCGATCGGTAGTGTTCATATTAAATGAATTTACTTTTGATCAACTCACGCCAACTAAGAGACTCTGATCCGCCAGGTCTCCTGTGTGTATGTGGATACAGTTATAATAATCTTCGAATAGCAATGAGCAATGAGTTCTGTATCGTACAAACCTTCCAAGTTGGAAAGCCGTTGTTGTGTGCACCCAAGATATGCTACAGCTAACCGTGGAATGGCAATCCCAGTTGTCAATGTCATGCAAAGTCATTGCATGATCTGATCGCCAAGCATTCGGTTCGGACATTTATCATTTAATCATTTGTCTCTCCTCTCTTCCTGAAATTGATTCGTTTGCATTTTCTCTTCGTGTGCTGGTGTTGATATTGTAGAAAAGCTCTGGCAGCTGAGAACCCCTTAAGACGGAAAGAAACATTCAAGGAGAAGAAACCATCGTTGCTGCCTGAAATTCTGAAGCCGAAGAAAACTCTTATTCGGCGCCGATCTCTACGGCTTGCGACTGCTCTTGGAGTCAGCTCACGACTGAATGTGCCAGATCTAAACTCTTCGCAGCCCGATCCAGCCCGATGAGTATGAATTGATACTGATCAAAGTGATTTCACGGCATTCTGTTGACTACAACCTGGCCAGGTGGCACGTGTTCTGCATGACTTTGCCTTGACCAAGATAGCTTGTGTTCTGGCCGGAGGGCCGTCGACATTTTTCCAAGCTGATGTGTCCCCGCAAGTGGCGCTGCTTAGTAAAAGCGATGGCGAAGTGCAAGGGCTGTGACTGTTGCCGAGTGAGCAAGATGCTCGATCTCGCATTAGTGGCTATGTTGTCTTCTCTGGACTGCTTTCTTTCGGTTTGGCTGCTGTTGCTGCAGTTGCGGCTACTTCTTTGAAGTACATGAGAAATATTCGTACTTAGATCTTCTAAACGTTGTACATAATTATGTCTTAGTGTTCTTAGCCTATTTGTTACTCATCCAATAGATTTAGTGCTTGATGTAGGCATATTTTCATTTTGTTTCTTTCTATGATGAAAACTATCGCGCCATGCAAAAGCATCCAACCACATGAGATTGTAACGTTATAATTATGTTTTTACCCTTTCTCAGACCCCCTCCAACTTGTGCCTTCTGCATCCAACCTCTTTTTACTACCGCGGTACCTGTACAAGTTCAGTGTGCACTTTACTGCCTGCCTTGCGATTTTTTATTTTGCTTTTCACCTGGGAGTGGTGGAATACTCCCGCCTTGCTTATCACCATGCGAAAAAAAAATTGTCACGATGTGTCCATGAAAATTGTTCATGCACCATCAGTTTCATACCATTTTCATTTTTCATATTGTGCTATCAGCAATGGATCAGTACCTTCCCACATTGAGCCTAGCCAGACTCCCATAATTATTATATATATAATAATATTTCCCCGCTGTTACGCCTACACTGTAAAATGAAAGCCGAGGGAACAAAAGCTCTGAATGGAAAACTTCTCCTTCCCAACATGTGTGCCTAGGTATTTCCTGTCCTAACGCTATACATGATACTGTATCAGTAAGGCCGAACAACAGAGTAAGACTTCGTGTCTGAGTTTCACTGGCTTTAGAGTGAGGGATAGGTGCCTTTGTTTCGTTTTAGTGGAGTGGTTAATTAACTCTAGGGGCTCCCGTAAGGAGACCATACGTCTGCGGGAAACACCCTAGTAAAATAAAAGTTAATGGAAATTTCGGTATAAAGTACATGTCTCCATGATTATCATCACATACTGTGTACTGTGTATGAGATAAACAAGAGTTTAGTGAGTGGGTTTTGTAGTAACTGTACATGAAAGCAAGAGCCCATAACCCCAGGGGTTATGGGCTCTTGATGGAAGTCATCAGCACATGAGCACCTTGTACATGTATCTCATCCTGATTGATGCAAGATGTACTGGAGTATTCTGATTCCTGTTTCACTGTTTTCAGCTATGTGCACCCTGATTATTATAGTGTTCTGTCCCCTGGAGTTTAGAACATCCTGCGGAATGTTGCAGAAAAGGTCGAGAAACTTATTTTTTCTGCAAATTTATGATGTGATCCACAGCCAAACCAGCCTGATCATGACGTTCAAAGTACACTTCCGGTCGTTTCCTTTTTTTTCAACTCAGGATTTCAAATAGTTTTGGTTTTTAAAATTGTTATAGGCCCTTTCAAAACTATAGACGCGTAGTGTTTTGCAAAATTCGATGGGATTTATTTAAATATTAGGCCAAACTGAGGAAGGTGTGTGGTTCGACTAACATGGACATTTTTTTTACGGGCGGGCGGGCGGATTTTTTTAAAATATATTTTTAGTACATGTAAATACACTGTACTGCCAGACACCCAGTACATCGGCATTATTACGCAGTGTTATGCCATACATGTTGTATAAAGGGATCACTGGCTAATACTTTGAAACATTGTGTGGCAGAAATAAAAAGTAAGTTCGGGAACTACTTCGAAGTACAAATTGTACAATGTACCGGTACATGTATTGCTAGTTTGGTGTCGGCGTGCACGAATACATGGGCTTTTTTCATCGACGCTTCCTGTGCTTGCACACATGGAGCAGCAACTTACAGGTACAGGTGAAATATCGTTCCCACACGAGGAAAGTGCAATCTCGTCTATCCTTCATCCCAAAACAGAAGGCCGTCCTTAATCTGGAACGAGGCAATCACTCTCAACCGGACGGTCACTTCAAAATAAGTCTCGCCAGTCTGCCGGTGGTCGTATCGAGTAGAGTCTACTACCAGCACAAGGCAGCAGTCGTACCACTCACTGCACTGCACTGCAGTACAACTACAAGTCAAGTCCAAAAGGAGCCGCCTGCGTCCGCAGACTCACGCTGCACAGCACGTAGACGTGGACGTGTTCAGTCCACGTACGTCAGTCACACGACAGCCCGCCGAAAAAAAAGTTACGGTCGGGCTGAAAAATGTACGGTCGGTCGGGTGAGTCGAACCACAGACCTTTTTCAGTGTGGCCTTATTAGTTTTTTCTCCAGATTCCGTCTCTGCATCGCTTCAAGGGGAAGTTAAGGCAAAAATTAAAATTTCACCAGTTGTAGTCTTCGGGGTGCTGAGTCGAATGGTCTTGGTCCGAGGAAGCTGAGACGCTCCCTTCCTACTTGAATCCCAATCGAACTCGCACACTTCCACCGAAACTGGGTGACTGCGCCCTACTAGATGGGGATTTGTATGCAAAATGTCACTAAAAGCGCCATTTCGTTCTTATAAAAGCACGGATGACCGCGATTGGCCCATATGTTGTAGTCTTTTGGACGCTGAGTCGACTGGTTTTGGTCCGAAAAGGCTGCGATGCAGCGTTCCTCCTTTATTCCCAATCGAACATGGTTGAAGAAGCGGTCACGTGCTCTTGGGTGCCCAAATCACCTGGTCACCACGCCAGCAGGCGACAACTTTCACACCAAGGTTCAACTCGAGTTCAACTCGAGTGACAGGACTGCACCCAAAAAAGGTCAAACAGGCTAGTAAGTTGTACCCTGCAGGCACGGTGACCAGGTGACTGGTGTACGCAGGAGCACGTGACCACTTGTTCGACCATGTTCGATTGGGAATAAAGGAGGAACACTGCATCGCAGCCTTTTCGGACCAAAACCAGTCGACTCAGCGTCCAAAAGCCTACAACATATGGGCCAATCGCGGTCATCCGTGCTTTTATAAGAACGAAATGGCGCTTTTAGTGACATTTTGCATACAAATCCCCATCTAGTAGGGCGCAGTCACCCAGTTTCGGTGGAAGTGCGCGAGTTCGATTGGGATTCAAGTAGGAAGGGAGCGTCTCAGCTTCCTCGGACCAAGACCATTCGACTCAGCACCCCGAAGACTACAACTGGTGAAATTTTAATTTTTGCCTTAACTTCCCCTTTCACAATTCTGGCTATATACTTTGTTTTCGCTACAATTGAAGTTTATTTTTAGGCCAGGTTTTCCGGTTTTACATGTAATTTTTGTTTTGAAGGGTTTGACCAGTTTGTTTCGGATTTTTGCTCCTGCTGAGACAGTGCTGCGCCCAGACCATCGCGGGTGCATTTTTGTACGGGTCCTGGTAGCCTCGTGGTTTCGATCCGTGATTTCCAGTACAAGTGTGGGGTATTCGAATCCCATCACGCCTCCTGCCTTTTTTTCTCTTCTTTTCTGCATGTTTTGGATCTTGTTGGGTGAAATACAGTAGAGATGATAATTATATGTTCTCTTTTTGATTTGATTTGAGCCTCCCTGTTCCCTTCGCCTGACACGACGAGTGACAGTGGTTTCACTCATGCCAGTTGCAAGGTGAGTTCGACGACGAGGATTTCGGATACTCAAGCGTCAATCAAAATCCAGCTCTTGTTCGAAGATACAATGAACACGACTAATCATATCTTTCTCGGCATCACTGAGATTCTTACGGGCCTTGGAAGCCATTACAGTCAGGCACTCAGAAAATGCAAGCAAGAAGAAGATTCATTTGAGACTTTCATTTCTTTTGAGACTTTCCTCACACCTTTTCATTTGCGGCTTTGCGTGTTTTGCATCTTTTGTATTTCCCGCGGCGACGAAGAAAAACCTGAAAAACACATCTGCAAACCAGAAAACACTCATGCAAAACTCAAGGCTGTCGTGCGCTACAGTACGTACGGCTCGTACGTATGAGTTCACGCGTCTATAGTTTTGAAATGGACTGTAAGGGCAACGCACTTTGGAGCAGTTGCGGAGATTCTTACATTATACTCATTTTCCTTGCAGCCACATAATTTGCAGCGGTTGGCGCAGAATTATGATTTTGTCACAGAATTCATGAGGACAGATTATACCCGCGGGGTAGTTGTATCACACCTAGCTGGAGGTGTTCTAGCTGACTACTGGTCAGGCCAAAACTGCCAGAACCGTATGCCATCTTTCCTCTTCAAAGTGCCTCCTTGCAGGGCCACCTCTCCATATTTGTAGGTGTTGTTTTCCTTCCGATGAACTGTCCTATTACGTTCACTCAGTAGCACCGGTATACATGTAGCCACCATTGCGGCATGGCATCCTATTTGCAATTTCATTGCTGGGCCCGGCGGCGTTGATTCCGGCCGGCTTACTCAAGTTTTGGTTTTTGCATGCAAATCCAGGCCCATTGTGGTCAAGCCGTGGCCGGACCAACTTTTTGGACACTCAAGATTGTGCCGGTTTACTGTTGAGGAGATCATAATGTATACCCGGTAACCCCCACATCATACACACTACACAGACTCAAGTGAAAGTATGAAAGGCTAGACGGTTAATTATGGTCAGACCAATCAAAAGCTGCTTCCGTCGGTCCTGGAATCAGGGAGTCGTACTCACACCTGGTTTGGGTACGACTCCCTGATGCGAATTCATCTAGCCCCTCCCCATTCCACTGCCATTTTGTTGAGCATTCTTGCTCGTTTGGTTTTGTTCCAACTCACATTCAATGGGCGCTTTCGATTACACGCATTTCGGTCAATGCTAGAATTAGTTATTGTTGATGCACAGTTCGATTACACAAAAAGTGACAAATTCCGTCGTTAGAATTGATTTTATCCAATTCTGTCGAATCCGTCAATTCTGAAGAGAGGGCGGAATTTCTCTAATTCTGGCGCCAGAATTGCACAGTCGCTGTGTTACCGGTCTGGTCATGACTCAAGCGCGCGAAGAGCCTCCCTGGCCGGTGTGTGCGCGATACTGGGTCCACGTGCGCACGCGGGAGGGCGTACGTGATCTCTTTTTACGATTCATCAATTATTTTGTTTGTGACATGACATGAAAAAAATGCGTTGTGAATTCCAGTCGTTCATTTACAAGGCCGGAATCCGCTCATTCCAGAATTTAAAAAAACAGTTCCAGAATTGTGTAAACGTGTAATCGAAAGCGCCCAATGAAATCAGTCAACCAAGCTGCTTAGCAACACTCACTGTCTTTGCCGTAACGTTATAACGTCATCGTCGGTGCCAATGTGGTAACCATGGTAACGCGGAAGGCCGGAGTTGTAGCTAAATGTACAACACTGCACTTATCACTATAGTATAAATCAGCAAGTGCGCTGCAAGCCAACACGTCAGTAAACTGGCGATCACGATCATCAGCAATCCGAAGTCCATCGTGATCCAACACACTATACACTGTAGTAGTAGTATGGGGCGTCGTCAAAATGATTATCACCGCTTGAGGACTACCGATAGGCGATACCAATACCTCTAGCTGCTTCATGATTCAAGTATGTTCAACCGCCAAGCTGGGAAAAAGTCGCTGGCCTGGGGAGTGGCTGTGACTGAGTGATGGAGTCCTTCCTACATGTGTTGTAGTTCCAAGCAAGCTTCATGCTTTTACTCCTCCATTTCGGAGGCACATTTCAGATACTTACTACATTTCAGATAGGTACATTTACTTCACTTTAAAATATGGCCCTATGGCCCAGTATGGGTACATGTCAGATACAACATTGTACAATCATTGTACATTTAGGTTGGCGTCCTGTATTTTCACATAAGGAGACATTTCAGATAGGTACATTTCAGATAGGTACATTTCAGATAGGTACATTTCAGATTATTGAATATTGTAGAACTGAGTGGAGTGAGTGGAGTGTGGGTCAAGTTACAGTAACGACGTAACTCGTTACGTTACAGTCATCACATGCACGTGGTCATAACAACACGTCAGTGGCTTCTGCTACATGTAGCATCGCTATCATCGTCTCCGGCAATGGGTGTCGAAAGTCGACTCAACTCTCAAGTCAAGGTCAAGCCTCTCAAAGCCAAGGTCAAGGACGGTGGTCAGTCGTCGCCTTCTTTTCTGTTGCAAATCTTCGTAGTCGTAACCAGTGGTAACGTGACTTGTCGACTAGATCACTGTCTGTGCTGTGGTGTCGACGTTCGTGATCATGTGGCAGCTTGGTGTGAGTGCAGAGTTTGGATCGGCCAAGAGCGCGCAATGACTTATGTGGTGGTGTGGTGTATTGGATTCCATAATGGCCGGCCGGGTCGTCGCTACTTCTTCTCAGCTTGATGTTGCGCTACATACACAGCTAGCGTTGATCTACATTCGAGTATGACATCGCTCGCGCAATTGCCCACAGGTACACATGGTACATGCCACCCAACTCAGGACTAGTCGGCTGTACACTACAAACTCTATCACAGTATCAGTATCACTATCAGTTCACTGCAATACTGCCAATTATTAGTACTACAGCTAGCTGGCTCTATTTTAGTCTACCTGCTGCTATTAGTAGTATTACTATTACCAGTGTTGCTACATGTAGCGCCCGTGGCCGTGGGATGTCCTGGACCTAAGCCAAGCGCACTGATCTTGCTTCTTAGCCTAAGCCAAGGCAACAAACCGCAGAGCTCAGCCAACCAGCGACATACATAATTCTAGAGAACGTCTCTGAGTCTGAGTCATCAGAGTCAGACTCAGAGTCGGTTCTTCGCAACACTCCACTGCGGACCTACTTGGTAGAGTCTACATAAAGGTAGCATGGCTAGCGCAGATAGTAGTAAGCTACTTCGACGACGTAATGACTACATGACGGTATAATGGTCGTTGTTTTTCCACAATTCCTAACTGTGCTTGGGTTGCTGTAGCGACGTCCGTCCTCCCCCAGAATCCACTAGCGCACTGCGGAGCCGAAAAGTGCTCAAACTGCAGGGGAGCTAGCGGCAGCTTAGTTTGGTGGATGCTGAAGTCGAGTGGGTCAAGCGCAAAACTGTGCCTTCCTAATCCTACTTGTACCTTTCTGTTCGGCTGGCTTCGGCTAGTAGTAACGGTCTTTTTATTTGTGGAGTTGCCAGTTTCGCGGCTGACACGCCACACATGGTGCACACCTGTACCTGGTGGAGTGCTACCATAATATTAATTTTCTCTTCGGGCGACGACTGTAGCCAGTGCACCGCTGACGCTGGCAGGCAATAGTCGGTGCAAACTTTCCGCTGGGACATTGCTGAGCGGTCCTTTGCAGGGTCGAGAACAGGATTTGAGAGAGGAAGCAGAGGCTGAGAAAATACCAACCTGTCTTTTGCTGGAACGAAAAGGAGAGATGACAACAAGGACACACGCGGAGAACAGTAGTCTGTAGTCGACCGTGTTATTCGCCAGTCCTCCGCTTCCTGAAGTTCACCGGACGTGAGTCGAACTTGAAGCTATGGAGCCGGTTGACAACCTCGGCACAGGTGAGAGATGAGAATCCTCTGTGCTCCGCGGACAGTGTTCACTACTGTCCGGAAATTTATAGAAGTAACAACATCGCCTAACCGCCTGGGCGAAGTAATAGGATGAGGTTGCGAGAAAACCTAGGGGCGATGATATGTGCGTTCTTCGTATTTTTCGTGGTTGCCCAGCCTTCCCATTGCTACAAGCAATCATGACTGTCTTGGTTGTTGTGTGTATGTGAGTACAGAACAGCCTGAGAAGAACAAGGACAACCAAGGCTTGTTTGCTGCTACTTCAAGTTTCATTGTTTCATGAAACTTGAAGTAGCCGCAGCAAACAAGCCTTGGTTGTCCTTGTTGTTCTGTTCTATATTACGCTCTCCGCTCTGCCTCCGTGGTGCTGAGCAGTGAGCACTGTCAGCACACTGTCACTGGGTACATCCTCCTGTGTGTATGTGATTATGTAGAGTTAAAGCTTACCGTACTCAATTGATTAGAAGCCCCTCTCGAATAAAAGCCCCTCTTGAACAATAGCCCCCCTACAAGGACTGTTTGGAAAAATACAAGCCCTTCTCTCGAATAGAAGCCCTACTATTCGCAAAGCATGGGGTAACCAGGTAGTGCCATGTATGAAAGTCAAGTGTGCAAAAAGCATCTCGTGCATATGTTCATATTGGTACATGTCCTGGTCGACGTAGCAACTAACTCGGTCTCGAGTCGCTATGAATATGAAAGTTTTAGAGATTCGATTGGAATACTGGTATGGCATGAAACAATAAAAGCCCCTCTCGAATAGAAGCCTCCTCAAAATTGGTATTGAAAAATAGAGTGAGTACGGTAGTTCACATTCGAGGGAACGCTGGCGGTACGGGGATGTAGGAGGCTGTCGGGAAGGTTGGGGTGGCCTGCAAAATCTGGCACAATTTGTACAACACGAAGTGCAGGAGCTGCTGCGATGGTCAACGTCGATCGGCGTGAGTCATAAGGCACGGCTCGAGACCGGTTGACTCACGCCCGTAATTCTTGTGATTGGTACTTTTTATCCTGTTGTTTCTCAAGTGAAGCAGAATTATGCTCACAGCGTGACCAGTTTGTCATGATGACCAAAAAAACATAGCCACAGACTTGGCGCCGCATTCTGATAGTATCCAAAAGAATAAAAAAGAGAACAGTTTGCCTGATACATACCAGCAAGAGTGCATAAACAAGAGTATGCAACTGTGGTCATGGGTCAGTGCGCGGCACGCTGCCTTCATTACGTAACTTGCCTTCATCACGCTCTGAAAGCATGCATTCAAACTCTCAATTTCTCGCACGAGCCCATCCGTTTTTGCTCGATTCGTTCCAGTACCTACACAATCTCTGAATTCTGGCGCGTGAACTCCAGTTCCGTACGAAAGTTCATTTCAAACTGGAGGGAAAGTGTGGTGTTTGATTTTCCGCAGTGCGCGGACTGCAGCTGAATGATGTAATGAAGGCAGCGTGCCGCGCATCTGGCCCATAGAAAAGAGATCACAGTTGCATACTCTTGTTTATGGACTCTTGATACCAGGATTATCACAAAATAAGGCAAGTAACATGAAACCCTGGCTTGCTAACATTCACGTCGGTCACGCAAGCCATTCGGTGAGCTCTCATAGGAAACAGAGTGCTTGAAGTACTGACGTTTGGTAGGTTGCAGTTACTCCCAATGTATTTCGTTGAGCAGGCCTGTACTAGCAATACATGTTTGTTGCACACATACCCAGGGGCGGATCCGGGGGGGGGGGGGGGGGAGGAGGGGGTTCGGGGGTTAGAACGAACCCCTTGATTTTTCCGACCATAGTTCGGGTGTGACCACTAACCCATGCCCGTGCGACGTGCGCGCCCCATGCTATGGCTCAGTCGGCCCAGGCCAGAGCGGTCCGCTAGCTATGCAGCTTGGTAGATCTACAGGACGTTGTACATATTAAATTGTTGTCTTGTACTTAGATAATACAAAGTAAAGAGGTAGATATGCACTGAATATACAGCTACAGTCCATTTCAAAACTATAGACGTGTGAACTCATACGTACGAGCCGTACGTACTGTAGCGCACGACGGCCGTGAGTTTTGCATGAGTGTTTTCTGGTTTTCAGATGTGTTTTCAGGTTTTTCTTCGTCGCCGCGGGAAATACAAAAGATGCAAAACACGCAAAGTCGCAAATGAAAAGGTGTGAGGAAAGTCTCAAAAGAAATGAAAATCTCAAATGAATCTTCTTCTTGTTTGCATTTTCTGAGTGCCTGACTCTAATGGCTTCCAAGGCCCGTAAGAATCTCAGTGATGCCGAGAAAGATATGATTAGCCGTGTTCATTGTTTCTTCGAACAAGAGCTGGATTTCCCACACTTGTACTGGAAATCACGGATCGAAACCACGAGGCTACCAGAACCCGTACAAAATTGCACCCGCGATGGTCTGGCAGCACTGTCTCAGCAGGAGCAAAAATCCGAAACAAACTGGTCAAACCCTTCAAAACAGAAATTACATGTAAAACCGGAAAACCTGGCCTAAAAATAGACTTCAATTGTAGCGAAAACAAAGTATATAGCCAGAATTGTGAAGCGATGCAGAGACGGAATCTGGAGAAAAAACTAAAAATATTTAAATAAATCCCATCGAATTTTGCAAAACACTACGCGTCTATAGTTTTGAAGTGGACTGTAGCTACGCGTTCGCTTCGGAGAAAGAGGTGCGCAAGCATTTGTTGAGCTGCTGCGGAAACTTCGAAATTAGTTTCAAATACTGGCCGCGCAGTGCTGTAATTGTCGTCGCGGCTCGTGCATTTTGAGCTGTCTTTTAAGGTTCGTCGAAGCGTCTAAAAGAGGCAGGCTCAAGACCAGCTGCCATTGAATTTTGGTGACACTCCAAAGAAAAGTGTAGCCACCAGTGTCGAAGGTAAAACAAAGAGCGAGACTTTGAAAATCACCTTCAAGTTCAACGTCCCATCATCCAATCTAATCAAAATTTCTCCGAACTGGGGACAATTATGACTGAGACAGGAAAGATGCAGGAAGCCTGCCTTATGGAACCTACTGTACAGTGGAGTCAACATCGGGCGGATCGGAGTACAATATTACGGACAATTATTGCAGACGAGCTGCTGGAGGAAGTACCAATCAGCTATTCTGCGGCAAAGAAAGTGAAAATTTCTTCCTTGTGCTGCGTGTCTTCAATAATGTTTTAGCTGCAGAGTGTTGAAAATAGGGGTACTGAATTTTCATTTGTATAGCAGCTGGCATGTTCAAGTACAGGATGGAATACATGTGGGCTGTCCTGCTGTGTACGTGATGTGATAAGGCGCGCATGCGCGCCTGGGCTCGTGGCTGGTTTTGCATGCTTGCTGTGCTGGACTAGGTCCGAGAATGTGAGCTCTCTTTTCCTTGTCTTTCTGTTGCTACCTCTAGCTGGTGGTATGCTTGGGACAAGTCGAGTTTGGTAAACTTCCCTCCCGGGCCCAACTTGTGCAACAATTCCTCGAGGGTGGGGAGTGGGTACTGTTCACATTCTGAATGCTTGTTAATAGTCCCACTGTAATCTGCGCAAATCCGTAATCCTCCTCCTGGTTTTTCTACTTGTACCGTTGGTGAGGCCCATTCGGAATGCGTCACTTTCTCAATCACCCCATCAGCCTCGAGTTTGTTCAACGCGTCGATGTACCGCTGTCGAATTGCTAGAGGTACTGGTCTTGCTCGTTTGTAGACCGGTTGTTCATCTGACACGTGCAGCTTTACTTGCACCCCTTGCACCGTACCCACAGTGGAGTTGTCAAACAGATTCGGGTATTTCTTAACGAAATCGGTAGTGGATTGCCCGCCAGTGCCCACTTTGAATATAGATTTCCATGGCAAAGTAAATCTGGACAAGACATCCCGGCCTAAGAGAGACGGACCATCACATTCAGTAACTCTGACCAGAACATTCTCCTCTACACCACCCAAAGCCATTTTCATTTCGATTTCACCCAGACATTTGATTGGATTTCCTGTGTATGTAGATAGGGTGATGCTGGACGGTACCAGCTCAGACACGGAGCCATTGCATTTCAGAAAATCATTTTTTCCTAGCAGTGTGACGGTGCTACCCGTATCAATTTCCAAGTGCACCTGGACCCCATTTAGCTCGACAGGCGTAGTGTACGGTGCTACAGCTCTGTCACTCATGGTGGCATTCACATTCAACATCGGTACAGAATCATTACAAGGAACAAGCTCACCGGGGTTTGATGTTGTCCCGACATGCTTGACGGACCTGGCCGCTTTCTTCTTTAGGCAGGCTCGTTCGATGTGTCCCAGTTTGCCGCAAGCACGACACTTCGCAGATTTGAAGTGGCACTCATCCGGTCGATGTCCCAGCTTGTCACAGCGGAAACAGGGCTTGTCAGATTTGAACGTGGCGTTGTCGGCGAGCCCCGGCTCTCCGCGTACTGCATGAACCTGCGTTGAAAACTTCTCAGACTCGCGGAAAGCTGTCTCATGAGCCGTGGCCATGTCGACAACCTGCTGAAATGTTGTCGTCTCCTCAGCCTTCGCCAGGATTTCCTTCGTCGTGCTCGCACGATTTCTGCTTTACGCCATCTGTTTTCTGTGTTTGGTTTGCCTGAGCACTTGGTTACAGATAACGGCAGTCAGTTCACGAGTGCGGAATTCCAGGCGTTCCTGGATGGCAATGGCATTCTACACACAACAACGGCACCAGGTCATCCAGCAACTAATGGCCTCGCCGAACGCTACGTTGGCGTCTTCAAGCAGAAGATGAAAGAAATGTCGAATACTGGTGAACCACTCAACGTCAGGCTCGACCGGTTTCTCTTAGCGCATCGAACAACGCCGACCACCAGTGGGAAGACGCCGGCGGAGCTGTTAATGGGCCGGCAACCGAGAATCCGGCTCAGTGCATTGCGGCAGTCTGAGAGTCATCGGCAGGTCAAGGTGTACCAGGAGAGCTTGACTACGCCAAAGTTTAACACCGGTGACGCTGTGTTCGCCCTGAACTTTGGTCGTGGAGCAACTTGGGTACCAGCTACTGTAGTGCATGTCCACAGCCCTCACAGTTTCGGAGTACAGGTGGATGATGTCGTCTGGAAGCGCCATAGGGACCAACTACGACCGCGGGCGGTGCAGTTTGGCCAAGTACCCGTTTCGTCTTCTGCGGACCAGGCGGTCGCACAGCTGCCTACACCGACCAGTGACCCGCCGACAGTGCTAGATTCTCCTCTACCACTTCCGGACGCTAGCAGCAACAGTAGCACTGTCAGGCCGGATGATACGCTAGCACCAGCAGCAGACGCCGTTGGAGTCGAGACGGCTCCCAGTGTTGTTGCACCGGCACCCTTGCGTCGCTCCGACCGACATGTCTCCGCGCCCAAGCGCTTGATTGAGAACTGCTAAGTATCCGTACTATTGCCTTTGAGTATGTATTGCTTGTCCTGTTACTTTGATCTGATGCGGCCTGAGTGTAGGAAGTGGACATTTCTGGGCCAGATGAATATTCTACATGTAGGTCATGACGAACAGTCTTCACATAAGATTGTTTTCGTTTAATTCATTGAAACATTTGCATGGTTCCTTTTCCGATCTGATCTAATTCCCCAACGCTATGCAATATTGGCTGACTTTATCTGTCATTCCTACCTCGATCTATAGCTCAGCTCTCATGGACTATTCTGGAAGCTGCAGTAACTGTTATAAGTATATGTGTGCAATGTTTTTGAACTTTTTTGCTTTTGTATTATCTGGCCGTGTAGTGTCAACAGCTATATCTGTCGGCGCCAAATTTGAGTGCCTCTTTGCTTATGTTATAATTTTACCCCGGGAAAAATTCTTGGGGGGCGATTGCTGTGTACGTGATGTGATAAGGCGCGCATGCGCGCCTGGGCTCGTGGCTGGTTTTGCATGCTTGCTGTGCTGGACTAGGTCCGAGAATGTGAGCTCTCTTTTCCTTGTCTTTCTGTTCCTTGATTATTACAATAACTGTACGAACCTGAGTAATGCTGTGTGTGGGCCCTTAGGGCCAGACATAACATGTCCCGATAACGCCAACATGTGAACTTGTTATACTCAATCTGCGGACAGCATGCTGTTTCGTTCTTTGTGAACTCCTCAGAGCAGCACAGAGAAAATGAGGTCGAACCTGATAGCAATGAAAATAACTTGAACTTGTTATACGTCATGCTCTTGTATGTCATCATTTCATCATTGTAGCCGGTAGGGTGGGAAAAAATTGAACCCCCCTTGGAAAAATCCTGGATCCGCCCCTGATACCAGGGGCATACCGCGATCTGGGCCCCTGAGTGTGAGTACGTGTATTCAAGTCGGGTACGTGTAGAGCACTGAGGGGGAAACAACATTGGCCAGGATTTCACTTACCACAAATGTGGTTTGCAGTTGATCAATGCCATCCTTCCCGTACTGCTCATTCTGCTTCTGGTTTGTGCAGTTACTCAGTATAACTACCACTCGTCATGGAGTGTATTGTGCCAGGAGCAGCACTGCCCGTGTTCCGACGAGCACATAGCGACTCTGGAGTGTTGCGCGGCATACGCAAAGTCGAGAAGTCAGTTCGTGGCCTGGCCACACCTGGAGGGCTATAAGTACAACGTGGATGATGCGGCGAAGATGATCCAGGATGGTCAGGTGCCCACCGCCCTGCCGCCTCGAGTGTGCCACGGCAAGCTCATATTCTCCAACATAGAAAATGTGCGCTTGACGTCGGCAAATGACCCGGTGTTGGCTGGTCGACAGTCCGAGGACTTCAGTGGTGAGGGATGTTTGTGTTGGTGTATTTCTCAAGTGAACACAGTCTAGTGGACTGCATGACTCACTGTGTAACTTGTGTGGTTCATAGCACACTTATCTGTTCTTCGAGGGGGTGAGCCATTGTCGCACAACTCGGCTCCGGGATTCAAAATAACTTAAATAAGAGACAGCCTTTGATCATATCGTAAGTGCTGTGTGAATCCGTGATGCCAATGTATGAACCGCGACAATATACATGGTGTACTAGCTGTGCTAGTACTTGTTAGCAACAATCGGAACTAGCGCACACACTGCACTGCATTGCTTTGTACTGCATTCAAGACTGACGTCATGCGCTTTGTTTTGCTGCGTAATCACAAATGGCACCAGCCCATTTTGCGGAAAAGAAAAACAAATCTTGCTTGCCCTGTTGTGCTCTTCCAGACAACGGATCGTGCTTCAGCAGTGTTTCTTTTCCTTTCGTAGCTTTGCTGCCAGCCCGAGTGTCACCTCGACACTGTATTTCTTCAGTATGTCTGACCTAACTGTCGACACTGTCAAGGCAATGCCTTGCCAAGCCCCCGCGGCGAGCCTTCTCAGCGCGCGCGGAGGCAGTGATTCCAGGGCACTAGCTCTTGCAGTGTGACTTGGCATTCGTGTGGTCTAACAGCAATTTTCATTTACACTTTTGTTATTAGTTTGCTTCACACCTTTTATCAGCCTTCTCAGCGCGGCTTGAATCCGAAAGGAAACTTAGTAAAAGTATTTTACAGGACCGTTTGCTGGCACAACTAGCCCTTGGTAGTGAGGTCTGCTCCGGCCAGGAGAACCAGCAACATGACAGTGCGGACACGGCTCGCGAGCCCAGAAGCCCGACTTGCACCAATGCCTCCTCCGCCAGCTCAGGTGACGCGGGCTCAAGGGATCTCTGCGCTCCCGTAGATCTACGTGACGAGGTGTAGTCGGCTTTGTCGGCCGCCATTTTATTATTATCGGAGAGCATTGTGCCGCTCCTCACCCAAGGCCAAGGCAATGCGGCTGCTGCCGCCACTACGCCAGGCCAAGCCCTTGTAACCCACCCGATCAGCCACCTGCACCAGCTGCGCCCAAGGCTGTGCAAGAACGTATCTTGCGAGGGGAGTTCGTAGATTTTTCAAGTTGGTTGCCTGAAATTCTTGCACACTTCCGGCCCAACATTCCGGCTGGTGCACAGCCCGAATAACGATAGCCAGCTAAATATCGTTGAGTCGGATGACCGTACGCGAAGCAGGTGCGTCGTAAGGTTCACGATAATTATACATGTAACTACCCGGCTCGAGGCATGGACCACATACATATCTGTTATCACGGCTGCTGCCCTACACCGCACTGCTGAACTGCTGAACTGATTGCGTACCAGCAGTTGATCCTGACTGCTAACCGCCAGTTCTTCCCAAGCGCGTGGCTAGAGTACGACCGCCAGCTGCGGCTGCTCGTGGCCCAGTAACCAGGCACGAAGAGGTTGGACACCATCGACGTGAACCTATGGCAGATAGCTGTCACAGGCCATGCACACCCAAAATGCGCTCAATGTAAGACGGCCCATCCAGGGGCGGTTTGTGTCCTTTTCGTCCCCAAGCCGGCAGCATTTACCTCCAGTGGTCGCAACCATACCAGCGACAGCCAAGAAATCTGCCGCAACTTCAATGGAGGTCGCTGTTCTTCGTCGTCGTGCCGCTTCTCCCACACCTGCAGCCAGTGTGGCAAGGACCACCCATGCATGCATCATGTGCAACCAGCAGCAGCGCGGAGCCAATCGGCCACCCCGCCGCTCCTAGCAGAATGGCTACTGAATAGCTTGACTCGGTACGTAGCTTCTTTCCTATACACTCTGCAGACACCACACTGCTAGCTGACCACTTTGCCCGCCTGTTACGTAACCACTCATATCAATAATGCGTTGCGTATGTTCTCCATGGGCTGCGCCGTGGCTTTACTCTTGGATCCGCCGGCCAACACGACATTTCGGTTTTCTCTAATAATCTACCCTCGGCTTTCACTCACTCGGCATTTATATCCGAGCAATTAGCTGCTTCCTGCGCCCGCAGCGAGACCACAGGCCCATTTCCGTCACCTCCATTTCAGTTCATGCGCCGCTCTGGTATTGGTGCCATCCCCAAAAAGAACGGCAAGCTGCGAATGATCCACCATCTGTCTAGTCCGGAAGGCACCGGCGCGAACGACAGCATTCCTGCCGAGCCGCTCTCTCTGCACTACGCGAGCATTGACAACGCGATCAACATCATCATGTCATGCCCACAGCCTGTGTATTTGTCCAAGCTCGATGTACGCAGTGCATTTCGGCAGATCCCAGTCCGCCGTCAGGACTTCGCTGGGAAGGCTCCTACTACTACGAGCGCTTTCTGCCTTTCGGCCTCCGCTCCAGCCCAGCCGTCTTTGACTCAGTAGCCACAGCAGTCAACTGGATCATGCAGCACGAGTTTGCTATAGATCACCGGCTTCATTACCTCGATGACTTTCTCGATATCTCCACTGGTTTGGCTGCAGCCAACCAGCAACTCACCACCCCCCTCCGGGCATTCACGTATCTCGGCACTCCTCTTTGCTCCATCCCAGCTCGAGGGCCATCACCATCATTGACCTTCCTTGGTATTTTCCTAGACTGCGGCTACCAGAGGACAAGCTGTCCGAGATCCGTGCGCCACTCATGGCTACTATCAGCGAGCGCAGCATCGGCCAGCGTCAACTCGAGTCCCTCCTGGGGAAGCTCACTTTTGCTGCCCGAGTCATCGTGTAACGAATTTATGTTACGACTATGATTTACGCATGTCGTTGTATTTGGTTCTTGTCTTGTGGAGTCCAGTGTCTGATGTCATATATGGTCTAGGTGTACGCGTGAGCATGGTGTGATGTGTGACGTTTATGGTATGTGGTGCATGCAGGAGTACGCGTTGTCAGAGTGTGAGGATGTGCTTCCGTCTGTGTGAGAGTGACTGTCAAGTGAATGCAGTACATGCGCAGTGCTAGTTTGGTCTGGGAATGAGAGTCGTGTGTGATTCGTCCGTGGTCTGGTTGTCTTGGTCTTGGTCATGTGTTCTGTACGTATTAGTCCCTGATTGGTCGTCACGATTTGTCCTCGGTTTATTACTGCTTGTTCTTTGTTGGTCCTCTGAGTCTTTTCCCGGGAGTCTTTCCCGTCGTCGTTTTCTGTCTAGTCTTTTCGTCTTTCTCCTCCTGTGCCCTTTCCGTTTGTATAAGAAGTCAGAAACTCCACCAAGTTGTTTGAGCTGTTGTGTGACACGGGGGCCAGGGGGAGAAGGCAATACCATTTCCTTTACAGTGGCGCCCAACTAGTGATCGGCACCCACGACCCTGAGATCGTTTTCTCTTCGTTTTCGCCGTGGCTTCAGTTCATGCTCGCCGTTTCGAAATATATTTTATTTCTCGTCGTTCAACTCACTTCACCGAGATTGCTACTACGGCCATGGAGATGGAAAGGCGTTCGCCAGCCTGGCCTGCAGGCCCCTTACCCGGTGAGTCGCTCCCAGTAGAGGGTTTGGTTGTTGTATATTCGTTGTGGTCCCGTCGCCTCACTCGATAGAGCTTGAGCATCATGTCGACGTACTCGGGGTGGTGCCTCTTGGCAAGTTGCGCTTTATCTTTTCGCGCTATCGTTCCGATACCATCAGTCTTTGTGACGGCGATCCGGTTCTTGTGTCTCTCTTGTGTCTTTCTGTTTTGGTTTTTGCAGTCAGTGTGCGTATATTTGCTGGGGTTTGTGCAGTTTTCTTGATTAGCCTTTCAGTGTGGTTGTGTAACTTTATTAATGCGATTAATAGTATAAGTGAAGCGGACATTACAAAATGATGAATGAGAATACATGTATCTAAAATGGTTGTTCCTAATCGATTTTCTCGAGACTATCATCAGGGAAAATCGTCTCACAATAGAGGCTATACGGAGAAACAAACTACTTATGTAACTGTTTGGTTTGTAAGCTTGGTTCGGTTTTGAAGTTGCCACACACGTTTTGCTGTGATGGTTTGTACTGGAACAGTTTTCTTGGTTACGAGTTGGTTCATAGCCATAGGTAGTCTTTCAGGGAGCGTATTTTGTTCTCGTTTTGTGTCGACCTGCGGGTCTGTTCAGTTCACCAGGTGAATGTCTGATCATGGTGAGCCACGGTTCCCTTCGTGAGCTGGTGGGCCCCAGTGTTTGTTTAGCCTTTTGTCGGGGAAGTATAAAATTAAAAAAAAACAAATAAATAAAAATCTAAATATTATGGGTCGTGGGACGACAAGATTATTATGGGTCGTGGGACGACAGGATCATACGGGGTCGTGGGACGACAAGATGATCCGCCATCGGAAAAGTGTGGGACACTTATGCCGGCTCCGCGCCGAGTTTTCTAGTCAGGTTAGAGTCCTGTGGGTTTCTCCCCTTCTGAAGTTTGTGTGACAGTGTATCGATGGATTTTCGATTTGTTCTTTTCCCTGATTGACTACATGCCTGCTGTGTTCTGTTGCTCCATTTGTACATGTTATACACATCTTCCACATCCGAATGGGCAAGTCGTACGACGCACCACCTCGTGGAACCACACCCAAGGTTTTCCCATCTCCACGTCTGCAGCCAGCCACTTGCCGTTGTCCTGTCTTCTTCTCCTGTTATTGTGTCTTCTCAACCCTTTTGTTTTCCTCCTACTCCATTTTTCTACTTCTGAGAGTCGAGGTCGACTCTCGCCGGAGGGGAAGGCTGTGTAACGAATTTATGTTACGACTATGATTTACGCATGTCGTTGTATTTGGTTCTTGTCTTGTGGAGTCCAGTGTCTGATGTCATATATGGTCTAGGTGTACGCGTGAGCATGGTGTGATGTGTGACGTTTATGGTATGTGGTGCATGCAGGAGTACGCGTTGTCAGAGTGTGAGGATGTGCTTCCGTCTGTGTGAGAGTGACTGTCAAGTGAATGCAGTACATGCGCAGTGCTAGTTTGGTCTGGGAATGAGAGTCGTGTGTGATTCGTCCGTGGTCTGGTTGTCTTGGTCTTGGTCATGTGTTCTGTACGTATTAGTCCCTGATTGGTCGTCACGATTTGTCCTCGGTTTATTACTGCTTGTTCTTTGTTGGTCCTCTGAGTCTTTTCCCGGGAGTCTTTCCCGTCGTCGTTTTCTGTCTAGTCTTTTCGTCTTTCTCCTCCTGTGCCCTTTCCGTTTGTATAAGAAGTCAGAAACTCCACCAAGTTGTTTGAGCTGTTGTGTGACACGGGGGCCAGGGGGAGAAGGCAATACCATTTCCTTTACAATCGTTCCTGGACACACATTCATGCGTGAACTATGATCAGCGTGCCCTGAACTGTATCTGTGTATGCGAGTGCGGTGCATAAAGCCCACCTTGAGAATGGGTTTGCCGGCCCCTTAGTAGATGCGTGGCTTCTGGAGAGGGTGTTGAAGGGCATCCAGCGATGCCATGGTACGGCTGTACTCACCCCTCGCCTTCCTATAACTACGCCAATCCTACGACACCTGACGGATGCACGCCGGAAAAGAGTATCCTGAATGGCCATGACAAGCTGCTCTACCAAGCCGCCATGCTGCTTCTTTGGACTTCTTCGGTGTGCTGAATTCACTAATGGCATCACACGGGGCTGTACTAGCTCCCCTGGTGACGGACGCCTGCAACTCTTCCTGCTTTCATCCAAGACGGACCCATTCGGTAAAGGCGTTACTAGTGACATTGGCCCGTCTGTACCGCCGTACTGCCCGGTCCGTGCCATTGTTAGCTACCCATTTGTCACTCGTCGCGAGGGACCAGAGCAGCTCTTGTTCGTACTCTCGAACAGACAGCAGCTGACCAGGCAGTCATTCACAGTAACAGTATGGTCTCTTGTCGCTGCGGCCGGTGTACCATCCTAGTCGAACTACTCCGGGCATTCGGTCCACATTGGTGCAGCCACCACCGCTGCTATGGCTAGTGCCCCGACTCCTTCTTCCGAGTGGCAGGTCAGTGGAAAGAGCGATGCGTGTCTATGCTACATCCGGACTACAACAAGCGCTAAGCGCCAGCTATCGTCCCGGCTTGCTGCCGTGCCATGGATGCCATGATCCCCAACTCGGGTGAGTAATGAGCTACTGAACTCTAGCTGCGCAATGCTTGCCTGTGCTGACATAAATTGACCCTTGCTGTGCGTCAATAGTGCATAGCTAACGGAGTGCTGGTTTCATGGGTCCACTCTCACAACTGGTGTTATCTAGCTATTTGCTGCGGCTCTGCCTTGCGCTATATTACATCCATTTAGCATTGCAGCTCTACGTTGAGCTAACAGCAGCTCTACTTTGAGCTAACAGCAGCTCTACTTTGAGCTGACAGCAGCTCTACTTTGAGCTAACAGCAGCTCTACTTTGAGCTAACCGCAGCTCTACTTTGAGCTAACCGCAGCTCTACTTTGAGCTAACCGCAGCTCTACTTTGAGCTAACAGCAGCTCTACTTTGAGCTAACAGCAGCTCTACCTTGAGCTAACAGCAGCTCTACTTTGAGCTTACAGCAGCTCTACTTTGAGCTAACAGCAGCTCTACTTTGAGCTAACCGCAGCTCTACTTTGAGCTAACAGCAGCTCTACTTTGAGCTAACAGCAGCTCTGCTCTGAGCTAACAGCAGCTCTGCTCTGAGCTAACAGCAGCTCTGCTCTGAGCTAACACCAGCTCTGCTCTGAGCTAACACCAGCTCTACTTTGAGCTTCAAACCAGTTGTTTCGAAACCAGCACTCCTCAATCCAAAGATGCCTCTTTGTTGACTTGTTTGTGTGAGGGATGGGGCTAATGGTGTACTAGCTGTGCTAGTACTTGTTAGCAACAATCGGAACTAGCGCACACACTGCACTGCATTGCTTTGTACTGCATTCAAGACTGACGTCATGCGCTTTGTTTTGCTGCGTAATCACAAATGGCACCAGCCCATTTTGCGGAAAAGAAAAACAAATCTTGCTTGCCCTGTTGTGCTCTTCCAGACAACGGATCGTGCTTCAGCAGTGTTTCTTTTCCCACCATCCCTCCCTATCCAACTTATTCACACCATCATAATTATCGTACCCACTAATCGGGTCCACTCTCACAACTGGTGTTATCTAGCTATTTGCTGCGGCTCTGCCTTGCGCTATATTACATCCATTTAGCATTGCAGCTCTACGTTGAGCTAACAGCAGCTCTACTTTGAGCTAACCGCAGCTCTACTTTGAGCTAACCGCAGCTCTACTTTGAGCTAACCGCAGCTCTACTTTGAGCTAACGGCAGCTCTACTTTGAGCTAACCGCAGCTCTACTTTGAGCTAACAGCAGCTCTACTTTGAGCTAACAGCAGCTCTACTTTGAGCTAACAGCAGCTCTGCTCTGAGCTAACAGCAGCTCTGCTCTGAGCTAACAGCAGCTCTGCTCTGAGCTAACACCAGCTCTACTTTGAGCTTCAAACCAGTTGTTTCGAAACCAGCACTCCTCAATCCAAAGATGCCTCTTTGTTGACTTGTTTGTGTGAGGGATGGGGCTAATGGTGTACTAGCTGTGCTAGTACTTGTTAGCAACAATCGGAACTAGCGCACACACTGCACTGCATTGCTTTGTACTGCATTCAAGACTGACGTCATGCGCTTTGTTTTGCTGCGTAATCACAAATGGCACCAGCCCATTTTGCGGAAAAGTAAAACAAATCTTGCTTGCCCTGTTGTGCTCTTCCAGACAACGGATCGTGCTTCAGCAGTGTTTCTTTTCCCACCATCCCTCCCTATCCAACTTATTCACACCATCATAATTATCGTACCCACTAATCGGGTCCACTCTCACAACTGGTGTTATCTAGCTATTTGCTGCGGCTCTGCCTTGCGCTATATTACATCCATTTAGCATTGCAGCTCTACGTTGAGCTAACAGCAGCTCTACTTTGAGCTAACCGCAGCTCTACTTTGAGCTAACCGCAGCTCTACTTTGAGCTAACGGCAGCTCTACTTTGAGCTAACCGCAGCTCTACTTTGAGCTAACAGCAGCTCTACTTTGAGCTAACAGCAGCTCTGCTCTGAGCTAACAGCAGCTCTGCTCTGAGCTAACAGCAGCTCTGCTCTGAGCTAACAGCAGCTCTGCTCTGAGCTAACACCAGCTCTACTTTGAGCTTCAAACCAGTTGTTTCGAAACCAGCACTCCTCAATCCAAAGATGCCTCTTTGTTGACTTGTTTGTGTGAGGGATGGGGCTAAGTACAGTATGATGGTCCTACTGGTAGGACCGAGGTCTATGCAAGCTATCATTAACCCGTACATACTAGCACTGTGTACATGCATGTATACACTTATACATACAGGCAAGAGCACATACAGGCAAGAGTACATACAGGCAAGAGTACATACAGGCAAGAGTACATACAGGCAAGAGTACATACAGGCAAGAGCACATAACCCCCCAGAGTGTGCAACGCCTGATCCAGCTCTCCATAGGGTCTTGGTCGAGCGGAATCGGATCTTTGCGTCATAATACCGTACACATCTGAGGGGAACCCGGGGAGTCGCGGGTACTCTCGGATCAGAAACAACGGTGCCCTGCCTCGAGACCGGCCTTGTGCTGGTGTGGAGTGTACGCATGACATCAGAAGAAGATCCGATTCCGCTCGACCTAGACCCTATGCAGAGCTGGATCAGGCGTTGCACACTCTGGGGGGTTATGTACTCTTGCTAGTACAGCCTATACATACAGGCTATGCAGTTTACACATACTAGTACTCAGTCCGCGGACAGAATTGTTTCGGCCTTTGTGGACTCGTCAACGCAGCAGAGAAAAATGGGGCTGAACCTGATTGCATCGTGCAAACAGCAAAGGCACTACCCCACATGAAAGTGCTCAGCCACTACAACTACAAGAGCAGGAGCCAGTTTACACATACATGAACATGCCTGTAAAGTTCACACATGTGCAGTCTTTTTCTGTCGAAACGGGAAGGAGGTTCTTCCTGGATTGGTGTTTGGAAAGAGGGGGGCCTTGATAGCAGTGTTTGATAAATCTGACTATTTGGCAAGACGGCATGTATGAATCTTAGGAGGGGATTTGCCAAATCCAGTAGGTACAGAGATGACTGATATGCGGCCGTGAATCCTGAACACTCTTGCTGGTACATTTCCCCATGACTTTAATTACTTGTGAGCCAGGTGCATAACTGACCAGAGGTCTCTGGTGGCTGCTCCCACTCGGCCTATTGAGCAACAGTGCTGTCTTGTTGTATGCCCATGCAGACAATTTTGTGACGCTTGAATCACTCGTGCACGACGACCAGTACATCTATGAAGAATGGATCAAGTGCCAATGCCCACACCTAAGGGCCAGGTAGCGGCTCGACTTCAGCACACACACACATACACTCATACCCCGTTTATCCGCGCGGTCCGGGACCGGGCCGTAACTTCGAAATGTCATTAACTCCGAATCACATACATTTTTGGGCAAAGGCCATAGATATGGCATGTGACGTCACTATTTCCACAAAAAGTGACAAAAGAGCAGTAATATTTCCACTGAAACTCGCCCAAAGGGTGCCCGGTAGACTGAAGTGCCCGTAACGTCGGAGTCTGGAAAACCGAGGTATGAGTGTACACAAGCAAATACACACACACACACACACACACACAACACCACGTGCACACACGCACACACACACACCACACCACGTGCACAAACACACCACACCACGGGCACACACACACACACACCACACCACGGGCACACACACACACGCGCACGCACACACACACACACACACACACACACACACACACACACACACACACCATGTGTAAACATACACACACGTGCGTGCATGTGTGCGCCCACACACACACATGTCCTATGATCCTATGTGAGTGTAACTACAAAGATTTTCCAAGTAGGGTTCAGAAGAAAGACAATTTGATATCGATTCGAATGGCATATCTCTTGCTTCCATACGATAAGCCAAACTTGCCAAATCGTCGATTGTATCAGTGCTCACGTTGCCATAGCGAACAGCTCAGTCATGACGTATGAAAGGCTTAGCTCCACCACAGAGAAGGTCGATCACTGCAGAATGTGGTTAGAGTTTGCAAAGACAGGCCTGAAAAGGTGTAAGAATGAAGAAATAGTAGGTCGAAGGAGATCATTCGGGACCACCCATCACTGAAACAGTCAAAAGGAGAGTAAATAATGAGCAACTGAGAGTGTAAACTTGATGTGTGTGTTTTTTTCTCTTTTATGGCCTTTGCAGAATGGTGGCCTTTGCTTTCGCGGGTAAGGCCAAATTAATGATCGTTACGGATAATGACTATTAAATGACCAATAGCTGTTGCAACTGGTCAACATGGACCACTGAATTTAGTCTTCTCCTCTGAAGGAGTTGGCAGTGCTAACTGTGGCATCTCTTTGGCCATGACTGTGATCATTCCGTGCATTATAGCTGCAGTTTCATCGGCAACCATCGTTCGACTAGAACCGTAGGCTAAAGTTGCCATGACTGAACATCAGGCATGTTTGTCTCTTTGGCTCGGTTGAATCAACATAAGTCCTGGCTATCAAAGACTATTGAATTACGTCTTTGCACCTTGCGTTCCAACTGCAGCTCGTCCCCAGCCGGTGACACGATTGTTCGAATGCCTCAGGTCCCCTCCCTGTGATCGCTATAGCCACAATTGGTTCAAGGCGGCCTCACGGGCGATCAATTTCATGACTGCTATTTCGTCTTGTCACGAGAATGATCCGTACTGGGGTAGGTCTACATGTACATGCAGTTGTGATGTTCACAATCATGTCAGCTGCTTAATGCCCTGATCCTACATGCTGGTCCTGGACAAATGAAGATGAAGTCCGCAGTGAGACGTGTCCTTACTGGATGCTTTCCCCGACATGGCAGGATTCATCTTGCTACAGGGAGGCAAGTTCAACGCACAACATGCATGCCGCAAGGATCAGCGTGGCGTCAGAAGTAGCACCGCGATTCCATTTCCATTACATCATGCATGGTCCGAAATCCATCCGAGGCCTTGGCGCTGCTTTTGACACACAGGTCGGATTTCTTTGGGCACAACTGTACGCGTACTACTGTATTCACAATTTCACATGTCCTGCTTCTTTGCCGGTCATACATTATTCGGAATGCCGATCATCTATGATGAGCGCATGTTGCAATACAGAGTTGCTAACAGTTGCATGCGCCAAGCTAAGTGCAGAAAAATGTATTTTGCACTTTAGATGCGCTTTTTCAGGGGACGCTATGCTCAGGTGTGCGTTAGACTCACGCAAATACGGCATCTGAATAGCAACACAAAGCACAAGGAATTCCCTCAGCTCCAATGGCAACTGTTTAGAAGCAGCAGCTCACATCGCTCTGTTGACTACTTTTGTTTTTGCTTTGTGTGCTCCAGTCCAGTGGGTGTGTAGACATAATCTGGATATTCTCGTCTACCTGTCAGCTTTCAGTGTCTTGGCAGAATTCCTGGCCATGGTTTGGCATGACCGTCTTCTTGTAATGAACTATGAGAAGGACATAAAGAAGGGCTTTGGTGTTATGGAGGAAAGTCTCCTCATCAAGGTTATGAAGCAGGCGCTGCTACTTTTCAAGTCCTTGTCGCGAACCTCAAAGCCTTTGCCACGGACAACGGATTTTAAAGCAGCGGGTAGGTATTCCTTCCTGCTTTCTATGTTGAGACCTGCTTCTTGTTGTCATAGACCTTGGGAACTCCACAGAACACGTAGCACGGTATCTCTAAGTATCAAGCTCCGATCTGTGAGCCCTATTGGCCCGTGGGAGGTGAACTGAATGGAAACTAAGTTGTGTGTTGGGTGTGTGACCAATACTAGCTTTCTGCCTCAAGAAGACCACCAGCAGCAGCTATGTCCTATGCTTGCTTCCATTTGTACTGCTTTCCTGTAGGCAAGACCGGTGAATCGATGCTCTACAAGGTGCTGCTTGCGCAGCAAAGTGTTGGTGGATCCAGGTAGGAGTTACTTGTGTGGTCAATCTCCGCCAGTTGTTGCTGGTATTACTCGGTTACTATTTATGAAGAGAGAGAGAGAGAGAGAGAGAGAGAATCTAACAGTGCACATGTACATAGCCAGACCACTACTAGCCATGATGAGGGCTGTAGAAATGTACCATGCCCATTCTGAATGATCTGGTAATGTGACCATCATTCCTACATGTCCATTCTTAGCAGAATGTCCCTGACATGAAACAACACTCTTTACTAACAGCAGCTTGAAAGGCGCTAGTACGTGTTAGCATCGGTGCAACTGAAGATGACAATTTACTAACAAGCCGTGATACAAAGATCGGTTGAGACATTGCAGCGTTGTACGAATGGATCTACCCCAAACAAATTGTTTTTTTCACTCACATAGCAACCGGGTTGTACATGGGGTAGTGGTCTACCAGAATTTACTCACAGAATGTACTCAGTATTCCGTCACACCACACTCGCAGCCACACGCTAGCCAAAAACTAGGCCAGAAGCAATAAAGAGCAAGGCGGCCAGCAAGAGATATGTCAGTGCAAGACACGAGCAGAGCAATGTCCTGGTGTGGGTGACTGGCCAGTGGGGGAGCGCCTGAAAAACCGACTCCCTAAATTTCCAGCCACGACCGCTCAACCGGGCTGGGGAAAAAACTCGCCTTGCGGCCAAAAACCCTTCTACTAATATGGGACCTGCCCCACTGCCAGTCACACCCAAAAGAAAAACCGAAGAGAAACAAGCAGAAAGGAGTAATCAACCAAAAAAACCCGAGACCCTCGGGACAGAAACACACAAAACAAAGCATGCCATGGAAAACCAGTAAAACAGCACCCAATGGAAGCCCAACAACGTACGGGACCCAAGGGAGGGAGGGCGGGAAAACTCCACGCTCTACGAGGAATACAAGACCACGGTGGCAGGTGGGGGAGAGTTGCGCAGTGGAAGAGCAGCAGAGCACGATAGAAAAATGGTGAGTGAAAAATACGTTTTTTTACACTCTTTCGCTACGCTCAGCCTTGAAAAAACAACACATTCCATTTACAGATTTGATGTTGAAGTTACGATGCATGCGATATGCATACATGACCATGCCTGGCATGACTGGAAGCATCAGCCCACTGGGATATCCCGTGGCCCTTACACAGTCTAGTTATGGTACTCTCTGTAGCTGAAGAGATCTACGCGTGTCCCGTTTGATTTCATTGAGAACTGTGCGATTTCTTGCCCTCTCCCCCACGAGAGACCAAATATCTAAAAAGTCACAATGTTGCTTGATGTTGGTTGTGCATCCTGGCTATGCACCTGGGCTCCTCCATGTTGTGTGCAGATTGGCGAGGCTGGTGGAGACTCTGTTTGGTATTGCATCAGACTCTGGAATCCTGTACACGGAAGAGTTGCGCATCACAGCCCTGACTCTGGCTATTGATGGAATTCGAGGTAAGACCACTCTAGGGTTCCTCTCAGGTACCTTTCCAGCTGTGGCCCGCGGCTCTCATCAGTCTCCCCACGGCTGCTGGTCACCCTAAAGTACATGTGTATCTGTTCATCATGCGCGCACAAAGCTAGATACGAAAACGACGGAGCTCTGCTTCGATAAGATCATGCCCGGCTCCCCTGTTTCTGGCAATTTTACATGCGGCATCTGTCTTCCTAGTCCCGCATGTACATGTACCTAGAGATGGCTAACTGAACTGTGTGAGCACAATCAAGAGTTGAGACCTGATTAAAGTGGAGTCCATACCAATACTAGCATGTCTGTGCGAGATTTATGAGTGTCAGTTGTCATATTGTCAAGGAGGGAGTGTGCGAGATTTACGAGTGTGATTTTGAGTGTGATTGGACAGGACACTGCGCTGAAATAGAATGAGTGTTGTTGTGATAACATCATTTACGAGTGTGTTGTTACAATACAGTGTTTGTTGTGCGTGTTTGTCGGATACGCCGATATAATCAGTTGCATAGATAATACTTACGTTGTTGCTTGCATTCTCGCTCTCCACAGCAACTCCACTGCGTGCTGCGTTCTATGTATTCCTATTCTGTACACTGACTCTCTCTGACAGGGTTTGCTGTCACCCTGTCTCTGGGCGCAAGCACCCTCTGACAGACCAAACTGATTTGCTTCATCTCCACAATATTTATCTCCTTTCGATTTGAATTTCTGTTTGTTCTGCACTCTGATTTTTCCTTGTTGCACCTGCGCTTTTGTACGCGGAACTTTGCTGTCGCCATCGCGTCGCCATTATTTATATCCATGGTTACGTGGTGGTATGACTCATCGATGCATCATGCGCGCGCATGATCATTCTTCTTTTCTACTCGTACACTTCGATATGCATGCACGCACACTGATGTACACGTAGACTACACGTAAGCCAATGCACGCACGCGAGCACGTTTTGCTGATGACAGCGATTTGGCGATCGTTGTTTTTGTTTTCTGGTTGATTTGAGAGTGTGGTTGAAACCAATAAGTAAATACAGTCTTCTAGTTGTCTCCACGAAAAGGCCAGGAAATCGCGCCACAACAGGGGTCTGAAGACCGCGTAGTTTTTAGTTGTGGTCGATAATTTCACATGGTCCTTCGAGCCGGATCGTGGAGCTTGAGATCGAGAGTCGATTAGTGTTTTAAAATCGAGAAATTTGGTCAGTCATGGAGGAGAAGGAGGAGTCCAGAGAGACGAGTGAGACCACTAGCTCTGGGACAAAACAACCAGCAGTAGAAGCGTCGGCAAAGACGCAGGATCAGCTTGTTTTGCGCAAGAAGCGCAGGGTGCGTGGGGGCCATCGGGGATCGTGCACGAGATGCATGGGCGAGTTCCAGCACGTTGTGGACGAAGCTCGATATCTGAATGTGTTGGCCGACGATGTCCGTGCGGCTGTGCGTCATGCACGCAATTTGCTGGCGTGCAAGAGGGAGCTGCTGGCCGCTCTGGACGCAGAGGTCTTGGATTTAGTGTGTGACGTCAGTGATGGAGACGTTGAGGAGGAAGTCATGGAGGCGGATGACTGGACACTGAAGCTGCAGACGTTCTGCAGCACACTGGACCATATATTGGATTTCCCAGCAGAGGAAAAAGCACGTACCCGTGATGACCGACGCGCCAGTACACTGAGCACACTGGGAGAGAGCTCAGAGAGTACTGCAGACTCGGGAAAAGCAGTCAACCCGATCACTGAGGATGCCGCGAGTGATAATACTACTACTAGTACTGAGAAGCTTGCTGCCCTTACAGAAGAGAGTGTTGTGGCGTCGTCAGCGTCCAACTCACAGTTGAGTACGCTGTCGTCAGTGTCGGCCAGTGGCAGCTCTGCCAGAGTGAAGCTGCCGAAACTAGAGCTCGGCAAGTTTGGTGGCAACGCAATGGAGTGGCAGCATTTCTTTGATGTGTTCAAGTCGCTGATCCACTCCAATAGCGGCTTGACAGACACGGATAAGTTCACATACCTATGTCATGGCCGCGCTTCGGCGGGTTTGTGACTTGGCTTAGATCAGTCTAGTGGCTACCCAGGTAGACGACCAATATAGTCGCCATCCAAGTTGCTAGCTCACATAGAACGACAGGTTTCTAATTCCACTTGAACAGTGTTTATTTGAACCATTGCAGTACTAGATCGAAAGATCAAGTGTGTAGAGTCAAAAGACCAAAGCAGGAGAGAGTCGGAGTGACTCTCTCAGAATCGAGAGGAGTAGTGAGCTCCCCGAGAATCGAGAGGAGTAGTGAGCTCCCCGAGAATCGAGAATGAATGTTAGCAAAACAGCTCCTTATATATGCTACATTATGTGATCAAAAGTATACAGTGGCAAGAATGCGTAAGGATTATTTCTATATTACAAACAGTGGTGCAATATGTGCAATCAGCCAAACTAGAATATAGTACAAAGAATGATCAATCAATACGGGGAGCTCGCTCACCCACATTACATGAAAGGACTCCGAGGCTCTTCGTGCGACGGGGCCTGGAGTATGCTGTCGGAAGTTGCTGCAGCTAGAGCACGCCGCCTCCGTACGCTGCCTTGGTCGTTGGTCACCCTTCATCTCCTGCCCGTAGGCTCTTCCCTCTCATTACCCCGTAGGGTGCTTCACGGTCAAGCCGTGACCTCTCCCAAAAAGGGATAACGGAGTCCGCAGTGCGCGAAGCACTTGCAGGACCCTTTACGTCGTACGACGCGAGAAGAGGGGCCTTGCTTGCTCGACTAACAAAGGTATCAGCTCCCTTGCAGGACTAAGCAGGGTCCCCTCAAGCTCAACAGTGTAGTGAGTACAATGCTGACGACTTGTACTGAAGGTGTAGCCGCCGTACGACAACACTTGTGACTCGAGGCCACGAGTTGTAAGCCATGATTGCTCAACTAACGAAAGTGCCAAATCCTTCGTAGGACTAATCATGGTTCTTACAGAACTCTAGAATATTTCGGAGCCCAGCTTTTGGCTGCTGAACTCAATGCATGGTCGCTTTCACGACGAGTCTGATCCGGGTCATGACAATTCCCCGGCCTCTCAAGAATCACGTCCCCGTGATCTCAACTAACATTAAAGTCAGCGAGTCGTGACGGTAACCGCCTAGCTCTCGTTGGCCAAGCCAACTGGTTCTGCACCATAACAGGCACGGGCATAGAGTACGAAATGTGACTCCACAGGCGGGACATTTCCATCAAAAAATTTCCAACTTCAAAATGAAACTGGTACTGCTCCACTATCGTAGAGATGAGCCTGGTGCTGATGATCAACACGCAGCTTGTCATGTACAACTAAATGCACGTTGCAAATCTTCACGCAAAGCGTATACGTATGACAGTTCGCCATTTCGTGTCATCTCAGATGAATGTAGACCATAGGCCATAACGTGTGGTCGACACACCCTTCTACCACGTAGGTATCCGGTTCAGTACAAAAAACTGCTGCAGAGCTCCAGGAGCCATTTCATAGATTTGGTGGTATCCAACGAATCGGTTCCACCCACACTCCACCCATTACAAAAGACCTTGGCGACCTCGCCAAGACTTCCACGGTAGGTTCATTGCTGCCAGCAAGGACAGACACAATGGCATACGCCTAGTAGCCTGTGCAACAGGACCACGATCACGTGTCTCAATCTTGTAGTGTAGCACCGAAGTGCGATCAAGCTCAGATGGGTTCAAAGCGAACGCATCTCGATACCGAAGCACTAAGGCTTGCAAGCAGTGGATCTCCTCGCAGGAGATACCAGATTGTCCCAGAGATGTCTCATTACCATCTCTTCCGACCCCCACTTCCGTGTGTTCCAGGTCCGAGTCCCAGCTCGTCCACACACCTAGGCTCCAGGATCGAGTCCAGCTCGTCCAACCTACAGGCTCCAGGGTCGAGTTCGTCCTCGCCCAACCTCAAAGGTTCCATGGATGAGTTCGTCCTCATCCAACCTTTCCGGGGGTCCACAACCGGACATCTTGCGCCAATGCGCAACTGCTTCCAGACCCCGAGAGAGTCCTCCGTCTCAGCTATTTGAACTGATTCCTCTCCCTGGCCATCAGCCAGAGTGTCTTCGGTCACGATGCTCATGACCTCAGATATTGGTTCTAACCGACCAATCTGCATTGCCCTCTCTAGAGCCACTGCCTCGTCAGAGTAATTCAACACCCGTACGGGAACACCATCCACCGTAGGGCTCACTAGCGCATGCGCCATCATGACATCATTCATTCCTTGAAAACACCCATCAGGTATCGTCAAGGCACAGGTCGGCAACCCTTCCGACGTGTCTAGCACGGCGTTAACCGTCACCTCCGAAAAGGGAGTATCACTTCACGCCTCCGCAAGCGAAGAACGTGCTCTCGTTTGCCATCACCATCATGGCTTGGCGGAACGACGTCAGCTTTAGAAGCTTTAAAGTGCAATGCTCCACCACCCGAAGTGATCTCGCAAGGAATTGGGACAGCACATCGCGTCCAATGCCAGAACCAGTAACCAACATCATACTCAGTACGTGACGAAACACCACAGGGTGCGGACGTCGACAGATCCGACACCAAACAGGCATCGCCCAACACAGAAGTGCTGGTTTCAGGTGGGCATCAGCTCACTAGTGATTTCTATCACACTCCAATCAAAACATTCGAGATCCGCATCAACGAACTCAAATCAGCAGTTGTTCAAGCTCTCTGCAGAACTTGTTACTGTATCATCGTTTCAGCCAGCATCTCAACTGATGCGCCCAGTTTCGAAATCTGGCTTCGTGACTCCGTCACACGACAAGGACATAGCCCTCTTGACTGTTTTTGACCCGTCAAAGTTCAAAAGAACAGCAACACTCCTCAACTGCAGCTGAGGGCAACGTAGAAGCTAAGCTTCATGCAGTCATCGATCCTGCCACTTCAAGACGACTCTAAAAGTCTAAAAGCATTTCGCTTCTCGAGCAGTTTCTGTGCAAGCGCTGACAAAACAGTAGAGTTTCCTCACT